GCATCTCAGGTACTGTTCATGAGTTCTCTCTGCCCTGTGACTGAGCCGCTAGCACAAAGTGCAATACATTCAAGTTAAATTATTGTGGGCTTGGGACACTTGAAAGCATCACTTTTAATTGGGAATAAAACACTGAGGCCCTTTTGGGACTGATGTTGCAGGTTCAGGAGGTTATTGCATGCAAGAGAGTGCCAGCCCTAGAGTGACCCAGACATGATCTGATTTTTGATGTAGCTATACTCACCTAGTGACCAGGGCGTGTGTTGTGATCTTAGAGTGGGATTTTTGTTTGTGGGGGCTTGTTGAAACTGCTTAGCAAAGGCTTGGTAATAACTGGCACCCTCGGTACTGCAGGGGAAGCACTGTATCCTTGATGTGTCTGGCAATGCCATCAAGAGGTTGCAGCAAGCACAACTGTACCCAATCGCCATTTTCATCAAGCCAAAATCCATCGAAGCACTCATGTGAGTAGTATGGCAGCTGTGAATATTTGTTATCCTGCCTGCTGTTGGAGGGTGTGTGTGTGCGTGTACACGCAGTGGGGAAAAGGGGATGCCATGAAGAGAAAGTGGCTGCCTCTTCTGCACTTGGGTCAGCTTAGGGGGCACTGCATGCTCTTTCAACACAGCGCTTGCCTGTTGGGATTCCAGAATCTCCTGTACCAGCCACTGATAGGCCCACCTTAGAAAGGAAAGCTTTCCACAGACAACTATAATTCCTGATCACTGGGTGTTCTGGCAAGGGCTAATGGGAATTGTAGACCAACATCATCTTCTGTTCAGGCTACCTATCCCTGAACTGAAGACTTACAGCTTCAAGCGACTTGTTTCAATTGCAGCATTGCCAGTGGAGCTGTACACAAGCCTATTTTTGGATTTTGCACTCTTACACATTGGCCAGAAATGTGCCTGGGCTTGTGCCAGGTCTCGTGTATTTGTACTGAGTCTCTTCCATTTGGGCTGGCAGGGAGATGAACCGGAGGCAGACATACGAACAAGCCAACAAGGTATTTGACAAAGCCATGAAACTGGAGCAGGAATTTGGAGAATATTTTACAGGTGAGAATCTAGACTGTTCCTGAATGACTGGTGATGACATTCACACTCACATTTTTTGTGAAGAAAAGGGTACAGGCAGCAACCATTTTAGGTTTGTCCAATTGGTGTGCAGGTCCTTCTGGACCTGGAAGAGGGCAGAATGGGGGCAAGGCAGGGCATGTGAGGCCTGGGAGCAGAACCCCATGTGAAATGGTCAACACCTGTACCTGTGCTCACCAAGGATTTTAAAAGGAGGAGACTTTAAGGCACAGGCTAGGCTAGGCTGGAAAAGTGTCAGGGCTGGCAATCCTTTGAAAAGGTTGCAGCAATCTCCTGCCATCTCCATCAGGTTTCTAGCAGGGTACAGGGTATCCCTAGGAGGTTACAGCAGATGTTACATGGTGTGCTTTAGAAAAGGTAATGCAAGATGAAATTCACGTGTTGGTGTCTTTTAAAGTAGGCTGGCTCAGAAAGCTGTTTCCAGTGCTGAACAAGTAGTGCAAGTTGGTTCTGCTGCAGTTAGTTGCTCCTGAAACCTGTTCTCACGCACAATACAGAAGCACAGGGATAGAGATATTATTGGCTTCCAGCAATCTTTTGCTTGATGCCACAACTTAAGTTGGATGTTAGAATTTGAACTTGAGGAGGCAGTACAATTCCCTCCTCAGGTAGATAGAAAGGAGCTTGCCAAGTTTGATGTCTCTTCTACACTAGTAAATAACTGTTTTTGGTTTGTGTTTTCCAGCCATTGTACAAGGAGACTCTCTGGAAGAGATTTACAGTAAAATCAAACAGATAATAGAAGACCAATCTGGGCATTATATTTGGGTCCCATCCCCTGAGAAACTGTGAAGTCTCTACTTTCCAATCAACTTGTGAGAAGATCAGAGACCCCTCCCCCAGCCCCCTGCCCTTGGGGGCGGGGAGCATGAAGACCATCCCTGTCCCTTTTTTAGATGGTTGACAATTGAGTTTTCTAGTCCTGTTTTCTTTTTCTTGGGATGGACCAATCTCCTTCATCAAGTGACTGTCCCCACCCGTTCCTGCATGGACCTTCCTGTTGCTCCTTTAGAAATGGAGGCAAACCCCATTTGAGAGTTTTGTGTGTTTTTTTAATTAAAAAAAATTACTATCAAGAGTTAAAATAAAGAAGCAAGATGGGAGGTAGCAGATGAGGACTAGCTTAAAAGAGCCACCAAGGCAACAGATAAGGACACTGTCTGCCCCTGTAAAGATGCTGAGGACTGGCAACCTGGGGCAGCTTGCAGTGTTCACCCAGCACTGTGATGGAAGGGAAGGCAACAGAATGCATATAAAATTAAAAACACGAGGGGGGCTGCTTAAGTGGTACTTTGTTAGTGCAAGAATTATATTACTGTCATATCTCAGCCATGTGGCCTAGAAACCCTATTGTGGCTGAGGGTGGATTTAAAGGTACCAAGTGTTTGGTTTCTTTGGGTGCTGCTGAGTGTTTTTTTGGAAATCCAATTTTGTAGGGAAGGCTGTGTTTGGAAAGAACTGCAACTGGCGCTGTGGTTGTGATGTGTGCAGAGAGCCCAGGACCACATGTGAAGCTTCAGCAGTTGATTTGAGCACCATAAAGCAAATTGAAAATGCTACCTATTGCACATTGTTTTATGTCACCTGATGTGTTTGCATGAGAGGTTTCTTCTGGGTTTTTTGGTTTTTTTTTAAGCTGGTGTTAAACCAAAATCATGTTTGTGTTGGTGTGTTGGCTTTTCATTATTCCCAGCTTTTGATTTTAATAATGAACTTAACGGGTATACAATCCAGTTTTTTAAGTTATTTTTTAAGATTGTTCCGTTGTAAATAGATTCCAGACTCAGACCCAACCTACAGACCATGTGGAATGAACACACCAGCTGTTCTTTGTTGTGATGGGGTCACTTCCCTGTAGGGAGACTGAACTCCATCCCACTGACTTTTTTCTGGTGGAGTAACATTTTGAGATCCATACAGCGAAGCTGAAAGCAGCAGATGACAATGGGAAGAGAATCTGCATCCTAGATGGATACAATATCCCAACCGCATTCAGAACAGACTTCTCTGGAAATCCTTATTCTAGCAGAATTTTGTCAAATTCTGGTTGTAACACTTGGAAGCCCTTCCTGACAAGTGCATCACCAGGGGCTCAGTGAAGAACACCATCCCTCTTATTTTGCATTTCTGTATAATTTCTGTTCCGAGATGAGCCCCCATTACCCCACATGGCCAACCTCAGCTTGCAGTTCTTCAAGACAGGAAAGGGTAGGTGGAATTCAGAATGCACGCTGTTGTGAGGTACAGACTGTTAGTTTTACATGTACTGAGGCAGTTGCTTCCAGGAAGCCTTGATATATGCTCATCCTAATCATGTCAGTCAATGTGTAAGCTGTGTGGGTAAAAAAGTTTCTTGTTTGCCCGCTGAGCAAGAAAATAAGCTGGATCATTATTGAGAGAAGTTTTCAAGCACTCCCTAGTTTGGTACAAGCCCTTGCCTGTTATTCAAAAGGAGATTTGCTCGTTTTCCCAGTCTTGCCCCATCCAGCTCTCGAATCAGGCACTCATAGGCATCCGTTTTCCATGGAATGACAGCAATGGATGTTATGGGAGGAGACCCCAGTGTTACTGGTCCTAAGGGAGTGAGTAGGACTCGGCCTCAGATTGCAGCAGGGTGATGCTGCCCACTCCATAGCTGGTAGGTAGCTCTGTCATTCATTGTGATATTTGTGCACGGGCCTCATTGTTAAATATGGGTGAAAACTCATCCTGTGGAGATTCATTCTGGTAAGCAAGAAGCTGTTTCCACATCGGCTGTGTTGCAAGAAACCAAGTGGAACTTTGGTAGCACTGGAGCTGCTGTTTGCTGGCAGGACTATGAAGAATAAAGATGAGGGAACTGTCATTTACAAGTTCCTGGTGGAGGGAGTTTGGACAAGGGGCTGCCACATGCGACTTCTACTCAGCCGGCACTGCAAGGCACATTCTTGAGAACTGGCCTGTACACAAAAGCAGCAGCTTCTGAGGTGGCCAGTCTCTAGGTTCTAACTCCTTTTCTTTTCTAATAGCCTGTCGCCTTGTCTTCTAGGCCCATGGAGAAAAGGCCTATGTACCCATGGCATAGCTGAAAGTATCAATCATGACACTAGTTGGTTTACCAGTGTTTCTTCCAAGGAGACATATATTTTTAATAAACAGTTGCAATGAACTTGTCTGCTGAGGATTTATTCTGGGGCTATGGCTTGTCATCAATGTATTGGCTGCCACTGGCTCTGGGGGCCTAGTCTAGGGTAGTATACTTCTCACCACAAATCCAGGAACACATACTTTCCTTTCTCATGCACTGCTCCCGTTGTGTTGCAGGTTCAAAGTAAATAAAAGTTGCTGTGTGTTAGTCTGATGTTGACCCACAAGGAGGCAGTCTATCAGATGGCCTACACTGGCAGCTAGAGAGGAACTGGAGGAGACCCCCTTCCAAGGGTGGCTTGATTTGCAGTCTTGCCTAGTGGTGTGAATGGAACCACCCACCCACTTGTAGGAAAACGGTTGTTCAATACTTGTATAAATTTCTGTAGGCTGGTAGCAAAGGAACACACCTCAAGCAATGACAACAGTAGTTCCTACTATCTTCTATACAGATCCTGCATGGTTCTTGTCCTAGCTAGCACAGGCCAGTGACAAAATGAATAGTTGCCAGCTTACTGAAGGGATGAGGCAAAAACACAATTGAGTGTTACTTTCCCCTACGTTTTGCACAGCTGCTACTGCTTTCTAGTTTGTGCCTTTTGAGTGTAGGAATGGGATGGCCAACATGACATACCTCTCACTACCCTCAACCCCAGCTAGCATGGCAGCGCTCCGGGGTGGTGGGGGCTGAAGGAAATTGCTGAGTACCCTGGTGTAGAAACTTCTTTCTTCTACCAGGTGGATGGAAAGTTAAACCAATAAATAGGAAAACACAAATGTCATTGCAACTGCTAAACTACTTTATTCATTGTACAACCCCACTCCAGGCAAACATCTCTAACAAACTAGAAGGTGGTAGTTTATCTCACCTAACATGACACCATTGCTCAGCTGTATTCTATCTGCCCAAAGAGTTGTAGTATACTCCTATGTTCCAAGCTCTAACCATGAGCCAAAATATTTATCTGGTTTGGGCAACAAAATGACTGGTAAGTTGAGTGCAGCACCAGCTGCCTTTGCTGTGGACTTGATTTCTGTCACTTATTTGGAGAGGGTCCCTTTGCTCCTGGAAGTCTGTCCATCAATACTTGGTAAAAGGCGGTCATCTGTGGGCAGAAATCACCAAAAAAAGGCCAAATTAGTGTCATGCATTGAATGCTGGGAGTCTAATGCAGTTTGAGCCCCTTGTATTTAGGTCAAGCAGCTTTCTAGGAAAACTTTGGGGAAAACTTGACCCAAGATATTGTGTCTATCTGCCTATTCCCCCATCCACCAGGGGCAAATTCCTTAACCCAAGGTCCCTTCATGATTAACATGGCTGATCTCAGCTAGTGATTCCAGGATGTAAAAGGGACTACCTACCATTTAGCATATTGCATCCACTGCATGCTATGGTGTTTGCACCTGCTCAATACAGGCCATCTCCCTGCGTATTCTAGAACCACAGTTAAGCTGTTTCGTTCATCCTTCCATACCTTTCTCCTGTAGCTGGTACATATATCTCTCAGGTGATTCAAGAAGAACATTGCTACGCGACACCATTGCTCAGCTGTAACATATCTGGCCAAAGTGTTGTAGTATACTCCTATGTTCCAAGCTCTAACCATGAGCCAGAATATTTCTTCATCTGGATAACTGGACCGCAGCACCTGCCAGTAACCAGGAGAAAACAGCACTGATCAGGGTTTTCACGTTGAGGCTGTAGTTCTAGTGTAAACTGAAAGAATATGAGAGTTTGATGCAGCACAATAGCTTTTGAGGAAATCTGGCAGGATTTCTTGAGCACTTATGTTGGCTACAGACAAATTTTGGTTCAGAAGGACCTGGGCTACAGCTCAGAAGAGCTCAGCTCACAAGCCCCTACCCAACCACATGAAGCAGTGCATGTCAGTCACCCAAAACCTTTTAGATATTGAGGCCATATATCATTACTTAGACCTGGCAAGGTCTATGGTGCACAGGTGGCCACTTCTAGTGACTCCGGAAGAAAGGAAACCCTGACAGCTATGAATTCCCAGCCCAACTGCCATTACCAGGAAAGAAGCATGTGGAAATAATTTTGATGGCACGTCCTCCTCACCATGCTATCCAAAATCTTTAGAGCTTCTTCAAAGTAGCCCTGTGACTCCACCAGTGCATATGGATCTGCTCCAGGCAAATCAGATGGCAGAGTAAGCTGAATCAAGCTATGTATACATTTGCTGAATATCAGGAAAGAAAAGGGAAAGAGAATTCAATGCAAGCATGTGTAGAATGCCCTTCTGACTCATCTGCAAAGCAGTTGTCAGTTTGACACTCCTCCCCAAAGAAGCACACAGCAAAGTTTCTCCAAGGGGACAGTAGATTCCTTTCCAAACTTCCAACCTCTTCAAAGGGTGAAGTATAAACACCCGAGCAGAGCCCTTCACTACCCAGTGGTATCAATTGGGTCACTCAGATGGAGGAAGGAATGCAGGTGGGTTCCTTTGCTGGGAAGAATGTAAGGAAAGAGGCCTCATCAAGGACTTCACTTACAACACGTACCCCATCTCATTAAGAAAACAGCTGTAATAAGTGGTAGCAGGTACCCATTGGGATTTAAAGGGCAGGAAGGCAGGGAGACTTAACAGTTGGTGCGGCCAAAACCAATGACAGGCAGAGGCAACTAGCTCTAGTTTTGTCTGCATCATCTTCCCTGCTGAGTTCTATTTGAGCAACACGGGTTAAGTAGTAGAATGCTGACAGTCAGTTCCCCTCCCTGGACTTGTAAACAAGGTTGCAAAGCAGATCGCACTGAGATTCCGCTGGCCAGGATGCATAGCCCTTAGTGTAGCTCATCCTTACCTGAAAGTGAGTCCATCGAAGGGTTCACATTTGCTAATAGTCAAAAGCTTTCTGAGGGCCTTCTTGGCGAGTGAAGGGTAGTAAGCCGGTGGAGCCATGGCCAGCGCTGGAGAAAGGAAGGCAAGACAAGAGAGTCACTTTCAGAAGTGCGAAGCTCTGTTGCTATGCTATGTTACATCAGTCTGCCTGGTGAGGAAAATGCTGACTGCACCAGTCAAAAGCACAGGGGAAGCTGAAAATCTTTCCTGCTTCAAATGTTGCCGTTTACCTGAGCTGGTATCAAACAAATTCAACCACCTCTTTTGATCAGCTGGTGGCCACTGTAGCAATAATACTGCCATGGACAAAAGACTGCCAATCGGGTTGCAGGGAGCGGAATGCCAGATACTGGAAAGCGAACTGTCTGAGTGGCAGAAGCCTGTCTTTCTTCCACTACCACTAACTCTGGTCCAAAACTTCTACAAGGCAGGCTGCAGCTGAACTACTAACAGGAAAGCAAAAGAAATGGTTGTGGCAATATGAGGCCCGTGAATGCAATAGTTTGCCCCACAGAGATCCAAAAGATTAGTAATTCACTGGGCTGTGGAGCACACATGGTCCCACCAAGCAAATGAAATGCAAACATGGCTCTTACAGGCAATTGATTCCAGCATCTTAGTATCGATATTGGGCCTTTCCAAAATTGTATCCAGAAGACTGATTACTTTCGGGTCACCGAGCTTCACTCTTGCCTCAAACTCGTACAGGAGAAGTAACGTATCTGATGAGTCTTCAGAAAAGTTGCCTTTTGAGTAGAAGGAGAGTCACATGTTAGCTGGTCGCTAAATCAGCTTGTGTACTGAGGTTGGCAGACCCTTAAATCGATAGACACTTAGCTGAAGGAGAATATAGATCCTTTGCCTTTGCTATACAGTCATACCCCGGGTTAAAGATGCTTCGGGTTAAAATGTTTTCAGGTAGCGTCCCACGGCAACCCGGAAGTACTGGAAAGGGTTACTTCTGGGTTTCGCCACTTGCGCAGACGCTCAAAATGACATCACGAGGATGCGCAGGTTGCGTTCTGCTCAGGTTGCGAACGGGGCTCCGGAATGGATCCCGTTCACAACCAGAGGTACCACCGTACTAGTTTCTGTGGGTAAGATACAAACCCGGGATACAAATTTGGCCCTGCTACATAGTGGCAAAAGGTGACCGCTTCAGGCAGATGATTTGTCATTAAACCCAACGAGCAGTCTGATATTTACACAAATATCTGAAATTTGGAAGCCAAGACTACACACCAAAATATTATTTTGAGTTTGACATGTCTTCTGTGAAGGGTAGTGAAGACAAAGGCTAGGAGCTTGTTTCAGTTCTAAGGCTAACAAGGTTCCTTAGCATCAAGGTGTTTGCTTGCAAGTTTCCATCACGAATAGTTTCATCTGCCGTCTTAAACCAGGAATTTCATCCGCAGTCTGCCCCAGGAATTTTAAAGAGAGCACTGGATGTCCAGGGGTACAGGTAGTCCTCAAAGATGGTGACTACCATCTGAAGCAGGCTTGAACCTCTGAAAAGATCTCTGCTGCAGGGGCATTTTTGGTCTCCTCTCACCATATGTCTCAGGGTCAAGCTTTTTTTTATTCCTTCCAGCTCTTCCACCAACCACCACATATGGCTTAACATTTGTAAGCAGCAACTATAAGTAGTATACTTACAACACTATGCTTGCAATCGACACTGACTTGGGCATAAATTGTATTCAGTTCAGTGGAACTGACTTCTGAGCAAATATGCCTAGGTTCCAAGAAACTTGTGCAGCAATAATTCATACCTTCCCACCCAGCTCTCCAGCATCATGCTTTTGTTCTTCATTCTCCTGCGCTGCATGTATTTCCTGCATCCCAAGAGAAGTCACTGTACCAGCGTCTACCAAAGCAAGATGAGAGTCCCACCCACTTCTTTGGGCAGATATACATTGTGTCAACAGCAGCACTTTGTACTGCATAATCTCCAACTCACCAGTTTCTTTCAGATACCTCCCGATATCCCAACAAATCTCTATGTGTCGGAGGGCCTCCACCAGTAGTTCATTCTGATTTGAAAACAAATATATAATTGTGGGGGGGAAACCACTTTTGAACCATAACAGTTGCACTATTCTCTGGGTAAGGCAGTTGGGGTGGGGTGTTGCATTCCGTACATAGGATTTTAGCTCCTTGACTTGCTCAAATGCAGCTGCAAAACTCTCCAGATAAATTCCAGAGGGGAGGAAGTGTGCAAGTTTGTGAAGTGGGAAGGGCTAGGAAGATGGCCTGGATATCCCATGAGGAAGTCCAGTTTACCCAGAGTCCTCCAAATGTGATTCTAATGTTTCTAATTGATGTTTGAAATTGCGTAACTTATGGGGGGGGGGGGGTTGGAGCCCTGCTTATGCTGCTATATGAAAAGTGGTACATAAATTCCCAGATTTCCAAAGAGGAAGTGGGTGACTGTCCTCTCAGCATCGAATCCACATCAAACAGAAACTCGGCTGTACCTTCGAGCTTGCATAAAGCATTAGCCACAAAAGGGAGGGGTGTAGAATTCTTACTTCATCCAAACTCTACCTGGCCAGTAGAGCTGTTCCGTCCCATTTCAAGACCAATGGCAATAGCCATAAGCAGGCATAATCTCTGGTCAAGCAGAACGGTTTTCTCAGCAGGACAAAGCCGAGCAAACTGCAACAGGAAACATTTAATAGAAATGTGATTGTTGTCCCTTTTCTTTGGATGCCAGAGGGTTTTCTCTCCACAAACACACTCCAACTCTCCCTCCCACTCTCCCTCCACATTGCAGAGCCCAAGTCTTCTACCTCTCTGATCCCGCCAAATCTGACCCTCCAAGGTTCCTATGAAGGGCCAGGACAGAAGCAATAGGAGCTCTGGAGCGCAACGTGCTTGAGGGGCATGCCCAAGCCCTTTCGGGTATTTACTGCAGCATTCATCTTCAAAGCTCACAACCAATCGTTGATGTTCTGAGCAAAACTGAAAATAGTTCGGCTAGGCCTTGTTTACATGGTGACAAAGAAAGCCTTCTAACAGTATCTTTCATGTTAAACATGGAAATCAAGGCAGGAAACAAAGCCTTATGAGGAGCGCTTGAAGGAGCTGGGTATGTTTAGCAAGAGAGGAGACTGAGAGGAGATATGGTAGCCATCTTCAAATATCTTAAGGGCTGCCACAGGGGCAAGCTTGTTTTCTCCTGCTCTGGAGGGTAGGACTCAAATCTATGGCTTCAAGTTTCAAGAAAGGAGATTCTGACTAAAAATTCAGGAAAAACGTTCTGACAGTAAGAGCTGTTTGGCAGTGGAAGAGACTCCCATGAGAAGTGGTGGGCTCTCCTTCCTTGGAGGCTTTTGAACAGAGGCTGGATGGCCTTCTGTCAGGGATGCTTTAGCTGAGATTCCTGCCTTGCAGGGGGTTGGACTCTACAACTCTATGAAACATGTCCAGCTCCTGCCATTAAAAGATCTTCCACCTCTTAGCCACAGGCAGTATGCAGAGTTCCACTGAAGCACAGATAGGATGCTGAAGCAGCTTGGTAAAAGGAAACTTGGTGATATTCCCACATTCCCCACCTGTGGCAATGTCACATGGTCAGTGAATGCTGCCCTAGGGAGGCTGAACTAACCTGGAACAGTTTCTCAAAGGTTAAGCCAGGATAATCCACTTATTCCCTGGGAAACCCCCTTCTTCTGAACTCACTTTCAAAACAGGGTCTACTGATCTGAACAAATTCTCTCAAATTTGCAATATTTACCACCATCATGACAATGATTAATTGGGATGTTTGTGGTTTCCCCTAAACTTACCAGCCCATCTTAGCATCTCAACTATAGCCTGAAAGACTCTGAATGTTGCAGTGAAGACCATGCCTAGCAACCCACCTTTCTGAAATACATACTGATTCAAAGGTTGCAGCATGCCACCCCCAATCTGCCATGTGGTAGCAAGGCTCCAGGGGGTTCTAGCTGCTCAGGCAGGGCAGTGTTTTCATTGAGAAACCTATGTGTCTTTAGGAAATATGGTTTATTGGGCATGTATTTACACCTCGGTCTACACTGGAGAGTTCAGGGCATTAATCTCAAGAGGGGATCAATAAATAATAATTATAATTATAATTAATTATACCCCGCCCATCCAGCTGGTTTTCCCCAGCCACTCTGGGTGGCTCCCAAGAGATTAAAAACAGAATAAAACATCAAACATTAAAAACTTCCCTAAACAAGATGGTTCTGCCCTGCATGACCTCTGTCCGGAATTCTGGCTCCACCCTTCTCCTTCCCAAAGACACTTTCGAGAGAGAAAACCGAAGCCTCGTGTAAAACAACACCTTTTTCCTGTGGGCACAGCCTGCCTGCTCCCCTCTTTTCCTATGCCATAGAAGCTGAAATCCTAAATCTTTCTCTGCCCACAGTAACCCTGGGAACTCTCCCCTCTGTCCAATGCAGAAAATATCTTGCCCTGGTGGTGGTTTCACTGATGAGCCACTATTTCTTAATAGCTACCCTCAACCAGCCTTGCCAGCATGGGCTAAGTCCAGAAATATCCACGTTTGGCAGAGTTTACTTAAACCTTTGTTAGTTCTAGCTTTCACTGATTCTACCAAAATCTATGACGATACACACAGTCCTCTACTTGGAAGCTGTTGGAACAAACCATTAAACTTATTTGGCAGCACTTATGTGCATTTAACCTGTGCTATTTCAACCATATACCAAGCCAGGCAGAGCTTCAAAGTTCACCCTAGGTATACTTGGGGATACCCAACACAAAAATAACTTTCAAGCTCTCTGCTTTGCTGGGGGCAGGGGGACGGGGGACAAGGCTCACTCAGTGTACCAGCTCTGGGATGCTCTTGCGAGATCTTGCAGGGCAATCCGAGTTCCTGCGATATCTCATGCAAACATCCCAAGGCTTTCAGAGATGGCATACTGAGATGACCTTGCCTGGCAAGCAAGGTGGAGAATTTAAGAGCTCTTTCAGTGCTGGGTCCACCTGGGTTACTGTGTATGCGTGGACCCTTTGGAACCGAACCCCCATGTAAAATGTGAGCAAACTGTTTAGAACCGCATCTGACCACAATTGAAAAAAGGATTTTTGGATTTGGATTCCAAGTGGATTTGCCAGATGGCTGGGATACTCTTGTCTGCCTGCTGCCCACACTCCGTTATAGCTCAACACGTTCCTTTACACTTCAACAGGACACAGCAACCTGACTTCTCCAAAAGCTTCTCTACCTTAAATAGATCTCTGCTGGCAGTAAATCACAAGGCTGCTTCTACATCTACTGAATCCCCAGCTAACCAATGTTTATTAGTGTTATCATCATCATCATCATTATTATTATTTATTATTACAATTTATTACCCACCCTTCACCCTAAGGTCCCATGGCAGGTTGCACCAATTGGAACAACAACATGAGCATTAAAACACAATATTAAGCAATATTAAAAACAGTTTAAAACAAAATCGCAAAAAATAAGCTAGGTCCTAAAAATAAACATCTAAGTGTCAAAACCCAGGGCGAAGAGTTTAAAGCACTCCTCAGAATGGAACAGAAGTGATTTTGATTTCCACCCCAGGCCACTAAGTTTAAACACAGTTGGCTCAACAAAATATTTTCTTATTAACAATTCCAGGTTGACATACTGAGTATTAGTGAAAGTTGTACAGTAGGACTTAAAGCTGGTAAGACCTCTTCTCCCTATGTGATAGAGTTAATTATGGTTCAGTAAAATCAGTTAACAGATTTGCAGCAATGGCAAACTTGCCAAATCACAGTACTCAACTGTTAGCTTTCTGTGACCCGGTTCAGTAACATGGCACACAATACATGACTGACACACTCAAATCTAGGAAGTACCAAGTGACATGCTCCGAAGAGCTTTTTGATTGCGGACTCTCGCTGAGCTGAAAATAAAACCATTCATTGCAGCACACAGAATGTTAGCAGAAGCACATACCTTGAATGAAATTAGAAATAAATCCTTTGTTAGTCTCAGGCAGCCGCCCGACATGGCAGCAAAGGTCCAAGCTTAGAGAGCAAGTAAGAAAGAACAGGATTTAAAACACACCACAAAAATCAACAACTCTGCTTTGTCTCTTCTGACAGGTTAAGTAGGCTCAGTATTAACTTCAAATATGATGTGACATGCATTTAGGATCAACTGGAAACAACTAGTCGTTTGGCATCAATATCTTATTTCAATAGGTGATCATTTTGTCAATTAAAACGTTTGTGCCACAAAACAAGATTCTGACTATAAGCAGAGAACTCCACAGAGACCCCATCAACTATATTGTTACTATACAACCTATGTTGCCTTTCCCCCTTTTTGGCCTTTTTGAATCCCTCACTTCTACTGTGGAATTAATGTTCATGTGACAAAAAGGTCATGTAAATCAGTTGCCATGAGTAACTGCTGAGCAAAATCACCAGGGTGCACACCTTAAATGTGCAAGAAAACCCACACCGTTCATTGTATGTAAGCAACAGATTTACTGCAATCTGTCATTGCTGTTCCTTATTTTTGGGTGACTGAAAGGGAGAGTTGTGACCCCTTTAAATGTATTTTATTTTCATTTTAAGTATCTGTCCCCAGAGGGAACTGTGATGCCTTTTGGTTAATGATACACTGCTAAGACCACATCAGCAGAATCTTCCCACCCTATTCTCCTTAGCTTATGACCTTGTTGCTCTAAGTCTAGGATTTGGCCTCTAAACTGTTAAGAGAAGTGAGGGGAATTTCAATTCATCCCAGAAGGAGCTGCTTCCATGAAACCCTAAGACTACCACTTACCAGTCTTCCTGAACCATTGAACTTCATTAACTCTTGTTTCAAATGTCGTCATGTCCTTTCCGAATTCTTCATCATATCTATAGTATGCTGGAGCAGGAATATGCAAAATGATAAAGGAACTGGGACTTTAAAAAAATAATCTAAGCAAGCTTCTGTCATGGAATTGAACTAAACAAGATGTCTTTTTCCACCAGCACCCCAAATTATTTTGCACTTGCTAAGTGAGTGAGAAGTGCTATAACATAGCAAGCTACATACCTGCAGTCAAGTATTTTAGAAGGTTCTCCAAATCAGACGTTCTAAAAATGAAGTAGGGGAGGAAGTTACCAAACTTGCTCTAAACAGTGCAATGTAAGAGATAAAATGTGATATTGGACCTAATGTGAAGGTTCATTTTCGACAAGGAATGTCAGGTGGCTTCTCTCTCCCACTTGCTCCATTAAGCAGGTCCTTACACAATTAAGCATCTTGACCTCAATTGGGAGAACAAGCTCACTCTAGTTTCAGAGAGGCAAACTGAAAATGCAAAAGCACATACCAGGAAAGAGCGGCCTAATGAGGGGAACAAAAGCCAATAAAAGGCAAAATAGAGGAGAGGGAAAAACCTCTAAACATAAAAATTTGAACAATGCTCCCTCAGAATAGAAAAGCCAGAAAACAATTTAGCCCTGTGCCGTCTTAACAGTGCAGACTAGAGTCCTTGAGATGGCAAATCTGCAGCCTAGAACAACAACAAACTCCTAGGGCAGGTAAGGTCCCGTCCATTCCCTGAAGTAAACAAACTTTCACAGTAGGTCCAATGTCACATCTTCCTGCAGGGAGGAGAGGATTCTCGAATGTGGTACTGAAAAGCTTACCAGACAGGCACCCATCTACTGAGACAGTGTAGGACTTGCCTGCTGAAGGAAGCCTCAGCAGATGCATGCACCCAGTTTTTAACAGGGCTTGACTGCCGAACCTTGGGAGCAACACTCCTATAACCTCCCTCAGGGGCTGCAGTCAGGGAGACAGCTCCCCCAGCCTCCCCATCAGAGAAATCTGCTGGAAAATAGAAGGCTACCAGGCCTCATAGCAGGCTGGGCCATCTTTCTCAGTAGATACGCTCTCACAAAGAATCCAGAAAACTTTATTTCTCCTTAACCAACAAGAATGACAAAAACCTTCCGTCACCCGACCTGCATAGGGAGTTAGGCAGGAAAGAACTGGAATGAGGTTGCCCTACAAATCAAGGAAAAGAGATCTAACAAACATAAGGACCCGGCCTCTTTCTCTTTCTCCTGTTCAACCAAAAGCTCTTTTCTTTCCTGGTCCCTCCAAGTCGCCTCTTCGTTCAAAATCCTCCTGTGGTTTGCGGGTTCTTCATCTAATCCTCTAAGCAGCCCAGTCCTGGCCTAGTGGATCAAGTGGCAGGAGGGACAACCCATTTGAGGATCCCCTCCTCCCTTCAGGAAAATGTACTTCATCGCAAAGTTCACCTCTCACTGTTAGGAAAATGGTGAAGAACTGCAAATGCATTAACAGTTCATATTACTGCATCTTCCCAACAGCCTTGAGGAGCGCTGCTGTTACTGTAACTGCACAGGTGGAGAGCAAAGGCTGACAAACAGTGCCTTTGCTACTATCACTCCTCATCTGGAGTCCATGGCTGAGATGAAATTTTGAGTCCAGGTCCAAAAGGCAATGCAACAGCAGAACTTCGAGCTAATTCTGTTTTACTGGATTCTATCTTTACTTTGCAAATCAGTTCAAGCTGGTCACCTAACCTTCTTCACCTACGCATTGTACAAAGTGAATAACAACAGATGTAAGAATGAAGTGCAACTCACATTTCTTCTCCAGTCTTCCCATTGATTTTGTACATTATAAGTGGAACCAAACACCTGTAGGCAAAATAAATTACAGCAAATTATTCTTAGTAATCCTATTGACTCGAAGCATCAGCCTGTCCTCTGGAAAGGCCAGGCCACCTCCATGCATCTCATCGTTATCATTTATTCTGCAATTCTGGGGTGCAATCTTATATAGAAGATCCACTGCCTGAGCTCTAGGATTTGATGGAACGTTTGAAACTATTATGAGGTGTCCTGTCTTTGCTGGTTGCGGGATTTGATTTTGTTGAAAAATACAGATTTATTAGATCTGGAAGGACATGATAATAGGTTTGGGTGGCATGCATATTTATGGTATAATAATAATAATGATAATAATAATAATAATTTATTATTTATACCCCGCCCATCTGACTGAGTTTCCCCAGCCTCTGGGCGGCTTCTAATAGAGTGTTAAAAACAATACAGCATTAAATATTAAAAACAAAAGTACACAAAGGATTCCTCAACCACGTGATAAGGAAATCAATCCACAAGGTATGGGATAGATACAAAAACTTATTAGAGGGAAGAACACCATGGTGGCTCTCCCCATTGGAAGCAATTTCAGTTAAAAAAGTAAACATGAAAGGGTATCGGGCCACCCATAAAGAATTGCTGATAGAGGCAGATGGCCAATTAAAATTGAATAAGAGGATTATTAATAGATTGGCTACAGTATTACCAATTAAACGATGTTTTTAAAGTAGATTTTAAAAAAGAGGATTTATTACAGAAAGATCAAGATCTGAAAGTGATCTGCTGGAAAATAAGGTGAAAATATTATAAAAAATCTACAAACTATTGTTGGAATGGCATACGAAAGATGAAGAAGTTAAGGCAGTGATGATACACTGTGCTAGAGATTTTGGGTATAAATATTCAGCTTTTATCTTGGGAATAGTTGTGGAAAGAGGAAATAAAAATTACTTCATGCTGTTTGTTGAAAGAAAATTATATGAAAATGATGTACTATTGGTACATAACCAAGCAAGATTGCAAAAACATATAAAACCAAATCAAATATGTGTTGGAAATGTACAGAGAGAGAAGGTACATTTTGCCATATGTGGTGGTCATGTCATAAGGTAAAAGACTTATCAGAAATGATTTATAATGAATTAAATGTTTAAAAATACATTTGTTAAGAAACCAGAGGCCATCCTTTTAGGTTTAATAGGTGAAGAAATACCAAGAGAAGACAAAATACTTTTTTATGTATGCAACGGCGGCAGCGAGAATGTTACTAGCCCAAAAATGGAAAGAAGTAGAATTACCAACAAAGGAAGAATGGCAGATGAAATTGATGGAATACGCAGAAATGGAGAAATTGACAGGGAAGATCAGAAACCAAGAGGATCAAGTATTTGTCAAAGACTGAAGTAAATTTGTAGTTTACTTAAAAAACCATTGTAAACAGTTAAAATCATTGGTAGCATTGAAATGACATTTGTAATGTGAAATTGATTGTGATAACTAGGGATATACAATAGTTGGATAAAGCTTAAGATGCAGAAAACTTAAACTTTTAATATATGAACCCATGGGAGGGAGGGGATGAAGTCTGAAGGTTCAGAGAACCTTGAAATTTGATGTTTGAATTGGTGAGAGATAAGGCATATAAAAATGTGAAAACCTAATAAAGAATGTATAAATATTAAAAAAGGATTTGATGGAAGAAGCCCTGCTAACATCGGCAGAATCTGACATATGCTACCAGCATAACTGATCTGCTGGCAGAGCTTCCCCAATATACTGGAAGAATGTTCCAGTGGTGGAATGGCTGAAACATGTCAAGAAATGCAGGTGGGAGAAGGTAGCGCAGGGAGGAGCACACCCATGCCATAGCCTGCACCTTTTCTATCCATGACCCCTATTCAACAGTGGAACTTTTTAGCCCTCGTTGCAATAAATGCCCATCCCATCAGCTAAATGAGAAGGAGGGGTTTAAAAATAACCACGGCAGAGTTTAGCATATGGGGGAAGCTTACCTATGAAGGTGACCCGGAAACTACAGGTGATCCAGAATGTGGAAGCTGTACTGGTGACTGGGAGTGGCTGCCGAGACCATGTAACACCGGTCCTGAAAGACCTATATTGTCTCCCTGTACCTTTAAAGCCCTAAATCTCCTCTGGCCCGTAAACTTGAAGGAGCATCTCCAACACCACTTTAAGCCCAGATGCTGAGGTCCAGCACTGAGGGCCTTCTGGCGGTTCCCTCACTGTAAGAACTGAAGCTACGGGGAACCAGGCAGAGGGCCTTCTTGGTGGTGGCATCTTCCCTGTTGAATGTCCTCCCATCAGATGTCAAGGAGATAAGTAACTATATAACTTTTAGAAGACATCTGAAGGCAGCCCTGCAAGGAGAAGCCTTTTAATGTGTAATGTTTTATTATGTTTTTATATATGTTGCAAGCCGCTCATAGTGGCTGGGTCAACCCTGTCAGATGGGCGGGGTACCAACCAACAAATTATTGTTGTTGTTCTTGTTACTACTACTACTACTACTACAAAAGCCCACTCAATCACACAGCATGCTACTGCCAGTATATAAACCCCAGACAGGGAGACCAGGATTTAAGAGGTCCACTGAGGTGACTCAGCTGAGAGGGTTTATATCACAGGGCTGTATCTTTCTAGCCTCATGCTGTAAACACTTAGGTGCTCACATGGAACAATTCTGTAATAGGTAGGCATGGAGAAAGGGTACTTCACACACAAAGGGAGCACTTTGCGAGAAAACAACCTGGCCTCCCATCGCACAGGGGAATTTGAGCACTTTGCTAACCATTATGTGCCTAGGCTCCTAAGAGGTACTTCACCTCCGCGCTCCAGAACACAGAAACACAACACCAGGCTCTGTTTCAGCAACTAGGAATGCCAGGGCAGAGCACCTACACAAGCACATAAGGGAAGGCAGAATGCATCCTGCAGGGCATAACTTCTGCAACTGTCCCCTCATCTCTCCCCCCCACATATTCCATATGTTTCTACCCTACTTCCCTATGGTTCAGACACTCCCCCCCCCCATTAGCAGGCAGCGGTACCTCTAAACTGTTGCTTTTACGTGGTTATTTGCGTTTTCTGATAGTGTTTTCCCCTTTTTGCCCAGGCTGAGCGTGCATTGGATTTGGTGGCCTTTTGGACAACGTAGCATCGCGGTTATCTCTGGTCCCAGAGTAATATAAGTATGAGGTTGCTTGGTAAGAAGAGGATGAGCATCCCTTCCCTGGTCAACTCCAGTGGGGCCCATTGCGCCTCCTAGGGTGCAAGGCAGGGAGCCCAAGGCAACGACAGCCCAAGCCACCCCTTCCTCAGTTGTAAGAAGGCCGGTGAGGGCCGGGGTCAGGCTGAAGTGGATGGAGCCGTGGCCCACTGGCCCTAGCAGACTAGCTCCACTGGTGGAAGTGTTCATCTAATGGCAAACATCAGCAGTAAGCCTCCAGGAACCAACAGGCACACATTCAGAAGAACAAGAATCAGGGATATCTTTTAAGAATTGAATTCCTGTCTGGGACACAAGTAAGGAATTTCAGCTATGAATCAGGACTGAGGGTTTTTCCACTCGGGCAACAACACTGGATCTATTGCATTTCAAATACTAAGAACATTTTAATGACAAAGGAAGTTAGTATAGTTCTGTATTTTGTTACTCACTTAAAATCTGCAGCTATTAGTCCACAGTCATCCAAGTGCAGAGATAAACACTCCAAGGCCTTTATAGCTGCACAATGTTGCCTATTCTGCAGGTGGAGAATGACGTTAATCAGTGATATAACATACAGTATAAAGATAAAGAATATGTATCATTAGTTTGGTGTTACACATAGCTTAAATACAAAAATATATTTTTTTCCCTGTTTTGCCATGTCAAACAGCTGTCAGGTTACAAGAGCCCCCAAATCATGGGGGACGTTTCAATCAAAAGTACCGTATTTTTCACCCCATAGGGCGCACCTAGTTTTTTTTTGGGGGGGGGGGAAATAAAGGGGGAAAAAATTTCCCCCCCAGGCACGGGGCTGGGGCGGGGGAAGCCTGAGCTTCCCCCGACCGCAGAACAGGCTGCTATCCGCAAGCCTAGGGAGCCTGGTGGGAAGTCGCGCCGGTCTCCCCAGGCTTGCGGATATCTGCACGAAGTCGCGCCGGGCTCCCACGGCTTGCGGATAGCTGCGCAAAGCTCGAAGCCTGGGGCGTGCTGAGTTCAGCGCACCCCAGGCTTCAGGATGCAGGCAGCTCTCCACAAGCCTTGGGAGAGCTGCGCGACTTCACACAGCTCTCCCACGGCTTGCAGAGAGCTGCGCAAAGCCCGAAACCCGAAGTCTGCAGGCAGCTATTGGCAAGCCGTGGGAGAGCTGCGTGAAGTCGCGCCAGGCTCCCACGGCTTGCGGATAGCTTCAGCAAAAGCCTGCATTCGCCCCATAGGACGCACACACATTTCCCCTTCATTTTTGGAGGGGAAAAAGTGTGTCCTATAGGGCGAAAAATACGGTATAAAACACAGAATGGAAGCCAGAATTCATTTAATACAAGCTGAAATGTGAGAAACTGCAATATATCACATCAGACGGCAGGAGACTGAACTACTGGACTACTCCATTTGTTCTTTTGGAGGTCAGCTCCATTTGAGGCCTCCCTGCATCCAAAGGCAGGCAGGCAGGCAGGCAGGCAGGCAGCCTTTCTGCCAGAAAGCAGCAGAAAGGGAGATGGGAAGCAGGGGGTTCTCTGCCAAGTCTGCTGAGGGCTCCGGCCACAGCCACATAGTTTAAAGCACACGGCATAAAATATAGCTGATTATCACACAGAGTAACCCACTCAAATGAATGAGCAGAGCTAAGTTAAGCCCGTAAATTTCAGTGGATCTTCTCTGAGCAAAACTTAGTTGCATACTACCTATCACTTACTGCAATAAATTCCGGGAACTGCATTTTACCCTTCACACCGCTACAATTCCCAGGACCCTGACAAACGACTGTTCCCAGGATTCTTTGAGGGAGGCCATGTGCTTTAAACATATGGTGCAAACATGATCCAGCTGTATTTGCCCCCCCCCCCTCCTGGGATGCTTCTGTTCCAGCTGCTTATTATAACTTTAAAAACTGGATTTTTATTCTGTTTATTAAATCTGTACACTGCCCTTCATCTGCGGATCTCAGGGCAGTTCACAACAAGCACAAAATATATAATAAAAACAAGAACAAAAAACCAACCAACCAACCAACCTCCTCCTCTTCTTTTTTTTGTGTCATATCTTTCAGATTGTGAGCAGGAACTGTTTTTTCTTATTATTATTCATCTTATATAAGCCACTCTAGGTGCCTTTTCGGCTGAACATCAGGATAAAAATATTTTTAAACAACATCTTCATCGAACATATTTTAATTGAACCACCTCTTAACTGGAAGAGGAGTAATGAGATAGAAAATAACAGTTGGTGGCTGAATTCATTTTAAAAGGTTAAAAGTATCTCCATATTCATAAAAAACACATTTATGTTCCGGGCAGCTGTAGGCTATGACAAAAGCCTTTAAGTAGCCACAATGCAACAACTCTCATCTTTTGGAAACTGCAAGAGCCCCGGGTGGAGGAGACAGGATAGCTAGACAAAGGCTGCCGCCTTAAATACACTTGCTGGAGATTGAAGTCCCACTGAACACAGGTGGGGCTTGTTTCTCAAGAAGCACCTGAGAATGCCACTCTTAAGACTGCATTAGACACGCTGGTTTAGAAGCGAATTCTTCTCATGTTTTATTTTCACTTTTTTCCTGCAAACAGTTTTTCTAAGCAACAGGATACAAAAGCAGCTTTGGTTGAAGGAAAAAAAAACACACAAACAAACACCGATCCAAGGACAGCCAACTTTCATTTCCCCCCTCCCCATAAAGATGTATTTGGTAGCAAGGAACAAAGACCACTTCTGCTGAACTGCACCACACAATTGCAGACTGGAAATGAAGCAGCTGGTTTCTGAACTAACAGGTTGAAAGTTTCCAGTTTCCAGGTTAGGGAGTGCACCTGTGGACTGCTGGGTGTTACCAGAGCTCCTTTCAGGGCATAAAAAGCAACAGATGGCTTGCCACCATTTTTAACTGAGGATGTGGAAGGAAGTGCCACAGCTCAGTGGTGGAGCATCTGCTCTGAGCTCAGCTTCAGTTCTCAGCATCTGCAGGTAAAGGCTACCTGAAAACTCTGGAAAGCCATTGCTGGTCAGTGAGGATAGACAGTACTGAATTAGATTGGCCAATAGTCTGAGTCTGTGTAAATGCAACTTCCTAAGTGAATGCAAGTACCGTACTTTCCCGTATATAAGACGGGGGTTTTTTACTCTAAAATAATGTTAAAAAATGGGGGTCATCTTATACATGGATAGTGCATAGGGGGGACTGGTGATTGGTTGCAGCCATGAGCAGAGCAAGAACTTGTCAGTGGCGATTTGGTGGGTGATTGGTTGCTGCTGCAAGGGCTGCTTTGGATTGGTGGCGGCTGCGGTAATTGGGCGGGTGATTGGTTGCTGCTGCAAGGGCTGCTTTGGATTGGCTGCTGCTGTGTCAATTGGGCGTGCAATTGCTGGCTGCTGTTGGCTTCAGTGATGTGAGCGATTGTCAGCATTTGTCAGTTGAGTTAGTGATTTTCTGCATCCCCCCCCCCCATTTTCTTAAATTTGAGTCCCCCAAAATAGGGGGCATCTTATACACTGGAGCATCGTATACACAGAAAAATATGGTACTTGCTGGGCATTCACATACAATCAAAGGAATTTGCTGTCACAGTGCAAGACTGGAGTACCATGAATTCAAACATAGCAGAAATGAAATGTCTTGGCACAGTCTCTGGTAAGCAAAAGCAATTAAAAGTTCATCAAGTGAGGTCCTCTTATAAGGGCCAAGGTCCCTGGAAGTACATTTAAATGACTGCCTGGGGCAGAGCTTTACAGGTGGTGGCACCCACACTTTGTAAATATATTACCCCCATGAAACTAGGATGGTGGCAACAACCTGCTCTTTCAGGAGCTCCTTCAGACTTCTTAAAAGAAAAGAAAAAATCAACAGGCTTTGTCCGGCTAGCATTGCTGGAAATTGTCTATGCTGATCTCACAGACACAAGTTAACTCTGCCTTAACTCTGTATTTTAGTTTAATCTTCTTATCTTTCTTTGTACACTACTGCAAAATTTTCATATGGTGGGAGGTGTATAAAACAAACAAAAAGATGCCCGCGTTACAGGGGGTTGGACTAGATGGCCCTTGCGATCCCTTCCAATGCTACAATTCTGCAATCTAGATACCTAGGTAGCGCTGGGAGAGACATGGGAATGTAGGACGCTGCCTTATGCTGAGTCAGACTATTGGCCCATTGACCTCAATCTTGCCTATGCAAATTGGCAGTGGCTCTCCAGGATTTCAGGCGCCGCGCCCCAAACTTCAGGTGCCATTGCAGATTGAGCCAGGGACCTTCTGAATACAAAGCAGACTCTGAGCTATAGCCGTCCCCAGGATATGTTAGTCTGTTTTGTGTACCCGATCTCAAGCAACCATGGAAGTATTTATTAAACCCATTTACTCTTGTAAGTGGGAGCTCTCCCACAGAAGCGAAAGGGGTCAAATGCCACACACTGATTTATGTGCGCATGCACACCAGCAAGGGCTACTAAGAACAAAGCCAGAGAAAGAAAACCAAATTTTGTAGACCCAATGCATTTCTCTGCAAAGTAGACCTGCGGAAGTTTAATAAAGAAAGACAAGCTGCAGGTGCTTCACTTATACAAAAATCAGGACAGAAAATCAGGACAGAAGCCCCCCAACTTTTTTTTTTTTTACCTCTAAAGCAAACTGGGCAGCTAATTTCAGGAGGTTAGCCAAACTTTGTTCTGACATCCAGGTCGTTGAGTCTGGGTCCGTTACAGCCCTTTCCATTTCATCAATTGCATGGGAAGCTTAAAAAAATGAAGAAGAAGGTGGAGGTGAAGGAACAGGGAAGACATTAATGATAGGCTGTACTAGTTCATACAAGAGTGGTTGTGGTTTCTCAGATCAGCAGCTGGTTGTTCAAGGCATACAGGTGTCCTATCCTGAGGCAACAAAGTGCTCCTATAGTTGTGAAAGTACATGGCTTGTCTATCCACTGTGCTCATTACTATGGTTACTAAACCCCTAATCTGATCCCTTCAAAGGCCAGGCATTCCATTTTTTTGCCAAATAATCCACAGATGGAGTGTGTTTAGCTCTGTATGTATAACCAAAAGCAAGGACAAACCAGGACAGATCTGCATACGCTGAGCTATATGCATAGATGCAACTCATAGAAATAACAACTCTAATGTAACTGGAGATATCATGCATCTCACTACAGCACAGAGGACAGTGAGCTGAGCTCAGCAAAGTCCAGGGGTAAACAGGCAGATCCACACCACATGTTTCAAGCACCTTCAACACACATTTGAAGCACATGACTTCAACCCAAAAATTCTGGGAACTGCAGCTTTCTCCTCATGGGGTATAATTCTCGGCACCTTTAACAAACCACAGTTCTCAGCAGGGCTTTTTTCAGCTGGAACTCACTGGAACTCAGTTCCATCACCTCTCAAGTGGGCACTGTTGCCCATTATAGGAAAACAAGGGAAGCACTCATGGTGAGTTCTGACATCTCCTTTTCTAGAAAAATAGCACTGGTCCTCAAGATGATATTATGGCCTTAGCTTTTGTAACGTGATTCTACTGTATGAACCAGCATGTTAAGAGTTCGGATACTCCTCACTCCGAAAGATTTCTCTGAGTGGCTTGCTAGTCAAATCAGTTTGGAGACTGTAGCAAGTGTAAAAGTTCTCTAAAAAGCAACTCTCATCCTTACACAAAGAAACAAACTTGGATTTAACGTGGTATATTTGAAATCCTCAAATATACCATCCTGATTCCAAATACGTGACCAAATAACTGTGGTCAAAACCACCGATGGTATACACACATAGGGATAATAGTTACAGTTAGCATTCATATAAATACTCCCAATAACTGCAACCAGGAAAGAAGCATGCTATCAATATAGGAAACCCTTATCTAATCATGACTATGTATCTCTTTTCTAAGATAAGAGAGAGTTACTGGCATTCCCAGATGAGTGTCACTGACCGTGGCACTCAAAACAGAGAGCCAGTATGGTGCTGCAGTCATACAGTGATGTAATAGGACCTGGGAGACCTATAAAATGGGAAGAGGAAGAATCATGTAGGCTACCTTGAGCTCCTTAGAGGATATAAAGGGGATATAAATGCAATAAGTGAGTAATAAAAACACACAATCTTGAAACCTCTGTAGCCCCCTTATCATTCTGCTAGATGACATGTTCTGACGTAACAGATTCCAAAGCCTCAGATCTCGTCACTATAATTGCCAGTGAATTCTGTCCCTCTGTAACATCAAGAATGCTAAGCCAAGTTGCTCAAGCATGCTATTATTCCATGAGATAATGTTGGGCAATCCCACTCACACTGACCATTCACTACTTCATTGCTAGGATGTGACATGGGCCTGTCTCTCTCCCCTTTAAGATGCTCTAGGTTTCAATTTCCATAGGCTCAAATCCACACTGTAAAAAGTGGGTGGTTGTGGCTTCACTACACCTGTTTGGCAGTCCTACATAGAAGGGAGGCAGAAAGCAGAGTTTCCTCTGCGTAACTTGCATACCCTTTTCAACAACAGAAATCTATTCCTGTAGAAGGCGGTATTGTTACAAATATAGCTGTGGACAAGTATAGAGAAGACAACGAGACAGCTTGCTGAAGTTAGAAGCTGTAATGTTTAATGAGTTTAAGGACAGAAAACTACAGAACCCAAAGTTCCCTACCCACGTTTACCTCTAAGTCCTCCTGGGCAAGATAGGAAATCCCAAAGCAGAAAATATGACTAAATATTCCACCACCTTCTGTTTTTACCTGCTGCCACGTCGTTCTCCAAGATGGCAATTTTATAGAAATAAAAATAAGTGAATATGCAGTTGGGATGGTGCCTCTCTGCTTCCTTCAAGGCCTCCTTAGCCTGCAGACAGAGGGATTAGCAGGATTGCTGATTAAGTATTAAAGCAAGGACAACTAACAACAATTAAACACACAGGATGCACGGAACACATTGATATTATTTACATCATTTCACAGAGAACTTAGGGCAAGAGCCACCATCCTGGCATCCAGGAAGTCTTCTAGTGGTGGTCCTGGGCAGGTGCCCCAGGTTTCGAGCTTTATTTTATTTTATTTTTATTTTTTAAGTCTCTAGCCCTCCTAGAAAGAAAGTTAGGCAGCAAAAAGTGCATGTCTGTTCTAAGTGATTTCTGTGAAATGAAAATGGTGTGCGGCTACCTCGTATATCTTTCCTGGCCCTGAGGAAATGTTTTCTGTTGCAGGGGATTGGACTAGATTACCCTCAGAGTCTCTTCCAACACTACAAGTATGATCCTATATTAGGCAGCACCAGTATCCGGGAGGGTGGGTGTCATCTACATAATAAGGACTAGCATGACATGGTTGACGTCCAATAGTAAACATAAGGTTGTCTCTAATTTTGTATCATATGACAAAAGCAGTCATTTTGTGTTATGCCACGCCTCCTTTGTGGTAGCCATTTTGTGACTGGCACCCCCGTACGCGCTCAAAATTCAAAATGTGCCTATATATTTGAAGCTGTTGGCAACCCTTGACTTGGGGGTTCAAAAACCAAAGAGAAAAACTATTATCATCATGAGGTTAGATTAACCGCGCAAGACAAAAAACTTACTGTTCTGTTGCTTCATTTAGGGTTACCCTTTAGCCAGTTTTTGTTGTTGTTAATAATAATAATATAACAAATAAATTACTTTTAACTGTGCACAGTTTGAATGCATACATATGGCGACAGTCTGTTAAGTAGTATGAAATAATTAATAATATTTAGATTGGGCATGCCTGCTCAGTACTAAATCCCATTGAATTCATTAAAATGTGTCACTGCAGGCTTGCAGCTACTGGTCCAGGTTGAAGTCTCGTGTTGATAGGCAAGGCTCTGAATAATGTGGGGTCCAGGATATCTTAACCTGAGCCCTTATATTCCAGCCTGATCATTGACGTCATCTAGGGCAGCACTGTTGTCTCCCATGTTACAGAGGCCCAGCTGGCCTCATTCAGAAGTTGGGCATTTTGTCTCGCAAGTTCTATGCTAAAATATCTCGAGCAGCCAAGCCAGCTGCCTGAGTGATTGCTTTGTGTTGTTACTATGTTGCTATATACTGATGTTTGGCAAGAGGGTGGCGTGTAAATACTTTTGCAAATAAATAGAACAAGAGCGCAATCCAATGCTCTGCTGTGCACTGTAGGTTTCTAGCAAAAGGGGCTGCCTCGGCTGCTGCAACTATGCAGGTGAAAAGAACAAGCAGCACATGAGAGCTTCCTATTAGAGACTTTTGAGGTGGGGAGATGAATTGGAACCACGTGAGGAAGGGCCATGCACACAGCCTTGTTTCCTGAGTAGTCAAGTGCAAGCACAAGTTTGTGACCACAGGTGAGGGTCAGAGGATGCCAAGAGCTTCTACGAGCAAGGCAGAACTGGCTGCAACACAGTTGCCTGGGCTGCAAATGATGTTCCTTTAGGTGTTTGCAGTATAGTCTTCTGTGCCTTTGCAACAGACCACACGGGTGATAGAACCATAGCTTCAGCTATCAACTACCACACGAATATATGCAAGGAGAAACCTCATTTTTCAGATGAATTAATGTTAAACTTTAATAACCTAAACACAAGGAGGAATTTGGACAAGTACCCTTCCCTCTCTGAAGGCGAATGATTTCCATCACTGGGTGGTGATGACAAGACATGCAAAACCTGATTGCAGCCCTTGCTCCTAACAACCTTTTGTTGGGCTGGCATAACATACATCTCCAACATTAAATTAATAAAGAAAAAACATCCTTCTTGCGGGATGGGTTTTAATAGATAGGAGAGGATATATTAACTGCAATTTATCTCTCCGGGCACCCACGTGTGTGGGATGAAGAGAGTTTAAAAGTCCCACCCTTAGCAGCAAAATTAAAGGAATTGGCTGTCAGGCCTTCTTTTAATTAAGTCCAGCTGCGAAGTGAGCCGACTTCCTCTTTTCGTTTACCCTCCTTAAAAAAGAAATCAGACAACTGGAAGCTGCCTTAAAATATGATACACTTACTCATAGTCTTGCACTGGTTCTCAGCTACAGCAGCAGTAAAATACATATATTTACAGTAAAAGCAGTCTCAGGCATACTGCCTGATCTGGAGCAAGTGGACATCCGTCCTCCTGCACAGCTGGCCAAAGAGGGGGTGCGGGGGGAATACATCTTTGACTGTTCCCACTCAAGAGAGGAAGGGAAATGACGTCACACACTCTACTAATTGCACTTCTATGGTCTGAGTGTCTGCCAATCAGCCACACAGCTCTGTGGCAGTCAGCCCCTAATCTTACTATGTAGCAAGAATAAGCAATGTTAGGTTTGGCTGTTACATCTCCCACATTTCGAAAGGAAGATTTGCCCGTACCCCCACCCCACAAAACTCCCCAGGCCTGATAATATTAAACAGAAGCAAATTTTAAGACTTTCCATAAGCTCATGGAGAAGGTTAAATTGGAAAAAACATCAGCACCTGAGGCTGGAGAAATACCTTGAGAGGCTCTTTCAAGCGAAGAAAGCAAGCAGCCATATTCCTTTCCAAACTTGCAATGTTGCTCTCTATTTGTCTGCCTGAGCAGAGTTTGAATGAGTAAGTGTACCACTCAAGGGCTTCATAATACTTTCCTTCCTAGAAAATAAGCATTGTGTCTTAAACTGATTGTATTCTGTGAGTTCCAAGCTCATGGGTTGTGAACAAGTATGCAGTTATTCTGTTTTTCATCAATAGGAGGCTGGAGAGCATGGTGACTTCTCAAAGCCAAGCAGGCTAGGATAACACTGATTATTTAGATCTCAGAGTTGGGGAACCACCTGCATTTTGAAAGGTATGTACTGCAATCCAGCACAACAATCCTTGCTGAAAACCACTAACACAGCCCTTGAAAAATACTGGCTTAGGAACCTTGAGTATAAAAAATGAAAGAGGCTGCACTTTATTTCATTTCATAACCAGTCCATGTCTGCTAAACTCATTCCTGTACCTGTTTATTTTGAAAGCTCAGATACCCAAAATATTGGCAAAGTGCAGGGTGAGTGGGAAGGTGTTCCAAAGGAATGCTACATTCAGGGTTCAGCCCACAGACTGCTTGCATTCACCATACATAAGGAGTTAACCACATGCGGTAGTCAAATAATAATAATAATAATAATAATAATAAAAATAAAATTAATTTATATCCTGCCCTTCCTGGCCAGAACTGGGCTCAGGGCAGCTAACATCAAAAATATATAATACATTAAGACATAAAATTTAGCAATCGGCTGAAATACAGCTTAAAATCGGATTAAAATCAAAATAAGATCAGATGGCTACCAGCAAATTATAACTATAACTATAGGGGTTGGGAACCTTAGGTACTCACCAGGCTCAGCTATTTATATGAGCCAGTGAGAAGAGTTAGAGAGGCCACCTGTATGCAGGGTCTTGTAAAAGGAGAGGGGTCAGACTGAGCCCCGACCAAAGGCCTGGTGGAACAGCTCCGTCTTGCAGGTCCTGTGGAATGATGTCGTCCCGCAGGACCCTGGTCTCTTGCAACAGAGCATTCCACCAGGCTGGGGCCAGGGCCAAAAAGGCCCTGGTCGAGGCCAGTCTAACCTCCTTGAGGCCCGGGACCTCCAAGATGTTATTGTTTGTGGACCATAAGGTCCTCCGCGGGGCATACCAGGAGAGGCGGTCCCATAGGTACAAGAGTCCCAGATCGAATAGGGCTTTAAAGGTTAGAACCAGCACCTTAAACCTTACCCTGTCAGTGCAAGAAGAAAACAAAAAGAAAAACTTTGCATGGCTCCAAACCTTATAATACTTGGTAGCTCTGTCCCACAGAACATGGTGCAGGTGATCCAGTGTTTCAGGACGCAGAAACTTTCCTTGGTTGTGGTCTGAGGAGACAAAGTTCAGCACTTCACCAATTTTAGAGCATCAAACATATTTGCAAGGACAGGAGCAAAGTGCACTCTATTAAAAATCCTCAAAGCCAAACTAAAATGTGACCTTATCTAAAGCTGGATTCTTAGCATCTTACATAAAGCCTGGTTCTAAGAATGCTCAATCAAAGTTAAGTCCTACCTGTTACTTTCACCCAAGCAAATATGCTTAAGATAATATTGATATATCCTGAACCAGTGTGGCCCATTCCTGACAGGACAGCCAGGGAAGAGGAGGACGACAGGATTTGCAGTGGAAAAGTGGGTCAGGGATTCAAAACCACCTTCCTCTGCCCCCCTTTCCCCACAAACCCACCAGCTTACATTTGTTTAGAAGCCTAGGTCATTGTTAATAACTGGGCAGAGACAGAAACTAACTGGCCTTAACTGTTATCATATGGAGCTGCTGAAATTGATTTGTGGGCTCCCAGTTCCCGAAGTTCCTATATCTTGAACTGGAATGGCATGTGGGATGGCAAAAAAGGAAGTTGCTGCCTGGGGTCTGCAACAAGGGGAAGGGGACCATTACTGAGCCTGAAGCCCCTTAAGGACCACCTGATCCCTTATTCTCCCCTTCAGTCACTGAAATCCTCTGATGGGACACTTCTGGGGGTTGGCCTTCATCAGGGACTGAGCGTTTAGTGTGCAGGCCCTGCCCTGTAAAACTCCCTGCCAGTAGATGTTTGGCAGAAACCACCCCTTGCCTTCTCTCAGATACCTCTTAAAAACTGCCCCTTTTAGACAGGCCTGACCAATATGATTTTTTCTTTTTACTGAGTTACCACCAAGGAGCATCAAAAGAAAACTGGCACAGACCTGCAATAACACCTTCAATTATATTTTGGGCAAGCGACTCATTCGTTGTCTGTATCAGGAGTTCAATCTGAAGAAGACTGATTTTGCCAAAATCTGGGAATCCTTTAAACCTCTCAGCAAGTGAGTCCAAAAAGTCTAGCGCGGTGGTCTGCCTAGATATGTAAAGAACATGCAAACAGGTTGGGCATATGGACTGCCAGTCACTGGCAACAAGAAAAGCAGGTAGCATTCATGAATTGAGTTTCCAATAGCAAAAGAACCTAGATTCCTATCCACCCACATTGCCCTCTAAAGGGAGAAAATTTCAGTCACTCTCTGATGCTCTCACACCAAAAGCTTCATGAAACACTGCCATCCTGACAACCGACCGTTTAGAACTGCATACACCAAATGTATGTACACCTGCAATAATACTAATTGCAGGCCTCAATCTGCTCACCCAAACAGACCTCCAAAACGGTTTGAGCACCTAAATGTGCCCAGATGAAAGAGCCATTGCCCCTTTATTTTCTCATCATTCCCAATACTCCTGTAATTTTTCTCTTAAGGAATTCTACCATGACAAGCCATGTCATAATTTGAGTTCCTTTGTCTTCCTTAGTGACTATTCTGCTTGATGAAAAACTACTACTGGTCAGGATCCCTTAGATAGCTGTACCTCTCATGCTCCAGAAGCAGTTTTGCTATATCCACAAAAAAATCTAGGGTGAACCCATGACGCAGAAGTTCATCAATAGCTGGAGAGGGAAGGAAGTGGCAAGGTTAGTGTGTCACTGAAAGCAAAGGGTGGAGAGGAAGATAAAATCAGACAAACAGAAACATCAGTACTGTTCAGGTTTTGATTTCCAAGTGCTAATCACAGAATCCAGATAGACAGGATTGTAGCTGATTTGATTAACTTGGGTGGGGTCTCAGAAAATACTGAATGTGCATAGTATAAAAACAAATATCCCTCAAAATCTATGCTAATGGCACTGAAGAAGGAAAATATTCACTTGGGTGAATATGGACTGAGAGTGCAAGCACCTGTACTGTAAACAGCCATTTTTCTACTTTGCAGTTCATACTCTTTGTTAAAAACAGAAGAGGCTCATCAACTAAAACACCGCGCAGTATAAAATGAAGTTGCCTCTGTTGCCATAGATTAAACAGTCCTGGCACTTTCCCTCACAACTCAACCTTCCTTTACAGGCATGATGCCACATGTGACTTATTTTGAACCAAGGGTGGTACCTGCGCCGAGTTCTGCCTCTAGAACATCACCTTTCAGGAGAATCCTAATTTTCAAGAACAAACCAGCTGGATGCAAATCTTCCTGTAAATCAAGAAATCAAGACATTATTTTGACAGCCAAACTATTCTTCACCATATTCAGGATATTTTTAACTGGCTGCTGTCAGAGCTTAGCTTATTCATAACTCTGAAAGAATGTCAAGGCCCTCTCATCAGCACTCCCCAAAATATATATTCTAAATAATCTCCTAGAATAATTTTAAACATCCTTAGCAACAAGTCAGCCAGCATTGCGATTATAATTTCTCATCCCAGAGCCTCAAAACTATATTCTTTATTTTTTTCAGAATTCTCATATGGAGAGTGGGAGAGGAGAAAGTGCCTCTTTGCTGTCTCCAATATCCCGTCTTCTTCTGAGATAGCAGAGACCCCAGGAGTATCAGCTGCCCGTGACACCAAAGATCGTTTAAAGGGGTGAAGGAGGATGCTGTTCGCTCTCTGCATTCACACCATACATTAAAAACACCTGACTTCCCCAAAAAATCCTGGGAACTGAAGTTTACCCCTACAAAGTTATAGTTCCCAGCATCCTTTGGGGGAAGTTATGTGCTTTAAATGTATGGTGTGCAAACACATCTGCTCATTTGTAAACAAAACAAAGAAACTCCATACTTCCCCACACCACTCCCACGCTGGCATCGGCCACGATCAGACAGACCATGGGTAGGCAAACTAAGGCCCTGGGGCTGGATCTGGACCATTCGCCTTCTCAATCCAGCCCATGGATGGTCCGGAAATCACTGCGTTTTTACATGAGTAGAATGTCCTTTTATTTAAAATGCACCTCTGGCTTATTTGTGGGGCATAGAAATTTGTTCATTTGCCCCCCCCCCCCAAAAAAAATATAGTCCGGCCCCCCCACAAGGTCTGAGGGACAGTGGACTTGCCCCCTGCTGAAAAAGTTTGCTGACCCCTGAGATAGATGAACTAAGAAGGAGCAAAGAAGGATGGAAGCCACTCCCTCACTCTGCCGCTACAAGGGGAAAAGGGGATAAAAGGAAAAGACTCCTTTGCCCCTGGACAGGGCAATAATAGCAGGTAAATTACTCTTCCAAGCACATTATGCAGCTATTGCTTTGAGAGTAGGAATTGGTACTACACTGCTAATAAAGCTGCTGCACAGAGCAGCCCTGAATTCTCATGTCTCTATGTGAAACGGCAAAGGGCCTCACACCTTGTAAGGCAACCCTGAATTCTCCATTCCGTGTAAGAAGTCTTAAATGTCTGGCAACTGTGCACAACCTTCATGGAAAACCAGATGCATTGTGTCAAAATCACTGCATAACCCTATGTTCCTGCTAAAATCATACAGCCATAATGGTTCAATATAACATAACTCTTAGGGTCAGTGACAAAATTTTCATTAAGATCAAACAATGTTCACAATGCAGTATACAAGCTTTCAAGTTACAGAGGACTCTTCTGCAGACCAAAAGTTCAAGATTACCCAGGAGGGGAGTTAATGGAAAAACGAATGCTTCCAAATATAAGTTTAATGGTGAACCCTTGTTTGCAGGTTGTTTGAGTCATAAGATGAAGATAGAACAAAATTTTGTTTCAGACTGAAATGTAGAGTTTAGTGATAAAAGCAAAGAGGCTTGGGGGAAAGATACTGTTTCTGGAGTAGCTCCACTGATTGCAGCACTTAACTCTCAGCAGAAACAAATCCAATCCATATGCTTAGAGCACAAGCAAATCACTCAATCCCATGTCTTTCAAATAGCTGTTTGCTCCCTCACCTCATTGGCCATGGTGACAGCCACAAGAGCTTTGTGTTCATGACCTCTTATTCCCGAATCCAGATAGACATTGCTTAGTAACCGCAGTACTTTAGCCTACAATTAAAAATAAATGAACATATAAGCTCAAAAGGCTGGCATAAATGAATCACTTCTAACCCCAAAGGAAAAAGGATTCCTCCATTGGGCTACATGTGGTTTACAAAGATTTCTCACCTGCATTGCTTTTCCATTGGAGTATTTCCTATCCATCTTTCCAATTTCGTAACTCTGGCTGTTGAAAAGGGGGAAACCGACAACAGACTAGCTGATTATTCATAGCATAGAAAAGACCCAACTTGGCTATATTCACAGGAAATAGCATACTGTGTAAGAATAACTACATCCAGTCCACGGTACCAATTTTTCTCTTATTGTTTTACATGCAATGTTCCACAGTGAAGAAATTATACTGTAGATTATCCACTGCAAAGATGGTGAAGGCAGTGGAGTGTCATTTACTAATCACCTGAAGATTCCCCAATGCTCTGAATGGTAGGTGGTCCTCCTCTCCATGGAGGGCTCTTCAGTCATAGACCCATCTCCCCAATTTTGCTATCTGCTCCATCTTAAAAGTCCTCCATGAAATTTTAGTTGAAAGAAAAATCCAGGGCCCATGTATGAATAATCAGCTCACATGAAAGTGTTCAAGTCTTATTTCAAATGGCAAATTTGAAGCTGGCTGTCTACTCATAAATGAATATTGTCAGGAATAAGTGTCCTAGCCTGTCCCGGCCATCTCAAGGGACAAGTTAGAGCCTATGTCAGCAAACGTACCAGCAAATAAGCAACCTAGTCAGCTGCTTAAAATCCAACATGAATTATATTTTGGGACAAGATGGGATTCAAGATTGTTCACCTCTTCCTCTACCAGAAATAAATTCATGATGGAGCTTTTCTGTGAACACTGTTTACTTTAAAAGATGTACAGTGGAACCTCATGTTACAGACAGGATCCATTCCGGGTTCCACACAGAACTGCCGCAAACCGAAATGCCGCGTCTGCGCACGCATGCGGCACAATTTAGCGTTTCTGCACATGCGTGAGCGACAAAACCTGAAAGTAACCCATTCTGGTACTTCAGGGTTGCCGCGGGACGCAACATGAAAACACGTAACCTGAAGCAGATGCAACATGAAGTGTGACTGTACTGGTGCAATCCCCTGTTCACTGGCCATGACAGGTCATGGGTTCCTCAACTTTGGTCTAATGTCTGCTTCCTTTAAGAAAAAAGCAGCTTTGGGAGGGTTCAATCTGGAGTGCAGCAGCAGAGGGAAAGAGTTGCTGTACCCTCTCGGGTCACTGCTTCTCTTCATCAAACCACCCAAGCTGCTGTCTCCACCTTCCAAATGCATGCTAACTTCCCTTGGAAAAATGCTCTCACAAGACTAGATTTTCTGCAATTGCAAACAACTTTTTAAGCCACTAGATGGTGCCAAACGACACAATTCAAACCAACGCTTGTTTGCCTTTGGTATATCCTAGACAGGACATTCTATCTCTATAGCCTAGAAGAAGAAGAAAAAAAAAAGCCTGCTTGTCCTTTTTTGGGAGGAAAGGGCAGCATATGCTATCGGCAGGTACCTTCTGTTGCAACATTTTAATGCTTGCGGAAACCATTTCTATTCAGTCAGGCTTATGCAGGTGCTTCAGAAGGCATCTTTCAATAAAAATTTATGATGTTAAGATTTAAATGGTTTTTAAGTGGTACCTCAGGTTACAGACGCTTCAGGGTTACAGACTCCGCTAACCCAGAAACCTCGGGTTAAGAACTTTGCTTCAGGATGAGAACAGGAATCGCGCGGCAGCAGCAATGGGAGGCCCCATTTAGCTTAAGAACGGACCTCCAGAGCAAATTAAGTTCTTAACCTGAGGTACCACTGTAAATCGCTCCAATTATTTAATCAATAGTGGTACATAAGTATTTTTTATAAATATATACTGAATAAACAAAAGACTACTCATGAAATTACCAGAGCCAAAAGGAACTCTCTTCATATCTCTTCTGTGTGTATTCTTCCACACCAAAGTTATAGCACAGGCGGGAGAGGTAACAGGTCTGCAAATATATGAAACAAATGTTTATCAAGTACTGCTGTGTTAAAAGGCCAAGATGTGTGTGGAACAGTTGAAACATTTCCCCTAATTTTCAGTGAAGCACCACTGCAACAGAATAGAGTACAAATGCATTAAAAACTATTATAAAGACAGTCTCATGGCTACTCACCTTTTGTGGCAGGCTCATCAGGATGTTTTTGCACTGAAGAACACATGTGACTGCTTTCTGATGATCTCCTTCAGCAACTGCCTGAGAAAGCAAAAGAAGAGGCCAGTAAACTGCTACGTTGTGCCACAGGTCAATTTTAAATTGATGTTTCAAAATTCTAGAAAACTATGTTTGTATTGGAAACACGTTCACAGAAAGAATGTGTCAAGTTCTATGAATTAAAAATGTTGGAAGCCATTGAACTGCAGAAAGCACATCATATGAACAATACGAATGAAGACAACACTCATTACATTGCTATAGCACTACCACAGCAGCGTGGCATTTATTTTTTGCACCAACGTACCGATTCAGCCTGGAAAGAGATAATTTTGAAAATGCCGCTCTCTATATCAGATTTGTGTTCACCAATATCAATCTCTCTAGGACTCCTCTTTTTCAGCAGAACGTACAGTTGTTTCAGACTCTGCAAAATGAAGCAGGTAATATGCTTAAGAACAACCAACAAACCATGGTATTTGCTAAAAACACACCAAAAAAAACATTATTGCACAGGAAGGCACAAACTTACATCCAAAGCAATCTCAAAAAATTCATTGGCAAGATCAGATTTTCCAACATTCGCATAGCCTTTCCCAGTCTTTGTAGCCATCTGGATCATAAAATAAATTCGTAAGTTTAAAACAAAACATGGACATTGGCCTCTATGGAATCCTACAAAACCAGTACATATTTTCAATAGAATAACAGAATCGAGAGACCTTTACAACAGTTTGGCTGGTTTAAATTAGAGATCGTGATCCTGGCTTATGGCTTTTTGAGCTGAGACCAAGAATCAAACCTGCATGCTCACCCATCATGCATAGCTCATGCCTCTGTGCACCTGCTTAAGTGCAACTGTCACATCCTTCCCGGACAGCACTACTGGGAGTGGGAAGGACTGCATTCTGAAATCATGGAGCATCGCTGCCATCCAGCACTAGACAATGCTGAGCTAGATGGACCACTGGTCTGGCAGTGCAGGGCAACTTTTCTGGTATCTTGCCAGGCTCTAACCTGACTCAGGACGATTCAACCTCTTAAAAAGACCCAGATTCCCAGGAGGAAAGAGCAGTCCAACTCCAGAACTGGTCCGAAAGGCCTCAATATCCATGGAGGCTGTCCTGGAAGGACCCAAAGGAAGGTTCCCTGACTCATATGCTTCTCAGTCTGAGTCTGAATCACCTCCCAGCTCCAGACAGCATGCCAGGAAGGTCAGGTGGCCACTCAGTAAAGGACCCCCTACATGGAAACTCAGAGGAACATAGCAGCTCATGAGCAAGGTGATCCTTGGCAGTAAAGGGCTGCTCAAGAGCAGAATTAAATGCACTTGGTCCTGGATGGAGTTTGAGAGACCAGACTATGCAAGTTCTCAGTTGATGACTAGCAGCTGCTGAAGCAATACACATCTTTCAGCTCCCAGACTTTTCTAACCTGACTTCTTTGCTCGACCTCCAAACCTATGTGCGATGACTCAAGTATTCTGTACTGCACTCAGTTATGGACTTTGGTTTATGACCTTTTGATGTTTGCTTCTCCTGGGCTTCCTGTTTTGGAGGCTCCTTTGGCTCTTGACAAGTGCTGTTGTTTTGGATCCCAGCCTGTGGCTAATCTTGTTGCACGCAACTACCCTACCCAGTGCTCAGGACCTGGGACTTCAATTTGGATGGAGGACTACTGCAATTTGTTTATACCAAACTAGGGAAGTGGTGCAGTACTGGTCTACTAATCAGGACATGAAGCCACACCCATTTCATATCCTAGAAAGTAAGCCAGGAATAAACCAATTCCCCATTTTGGGTGTAATGGGGAGCTGTGGTTTAAACAAGCCGTAACAGAAGTGTCAAAAGCAGGTGCATGCAAGGAGGAGCAACAGGGGAGCATGTGAGCACAACGTCTGTCATCGGGTTTATTACCTATAATTTATTAACTGTGGTAATAAAGTAGTTCATTAGCCATGTTAATAAAACTGATTGTTAAATGTGAGGTAGACCCTACCTGACATTCTGCTTCATAAAAAACTGCAAACAGCAAATACTTTAGAATTATTATAAAATACAGTGGTACCTTGGTTTACAACCTTAACCCGTTCCGGAAGTCCAGTCTTAAACCAAAGTGGACTTAAACCAAGGTGTGCTTTTCCATAGAAAGTAATGGAAAATGGTTTAATCCTCTCCAGACGATGAAAAGCAACCCCTAAAACAGCAACTCAATACAGTGGTACCTTGGGTTAAGTACTTAATTCGTTCCGGAGGTCCGTACTTAACCTGAAACTGTTCTTAACCTGAAGCACCACTTTAGCTAATGGGGCCTCCTGCTGCTGCTGCGCCGCCGGAGCATGATTTCTGTTCTCAACCTGAAGCAAAGTTCTTAACCTGAAGCACTATTTCTGGGTTATCGGAGTATGTAACCTGAAGCGTATGTAACCCGAAGCGTATGTAACCTGAGGTACCACTGTATGAATTTTACTATCTAATGAGACAATTGATCCATAAAATGAAAGCAATAAACCAGACTGCAATCTACTATCCAGTATCAAAAACTGGCAGTGACCTACCCATTGCCATTGGAGGGACAAGACGGGAGGGGGGAGTTTAAGGGGTGTGTGGAAACACTCAAACTGGAGGAGCAAGGAGCGCGCATGGGTGCTTGTGGGAAAGGAGGTGGCTAACTTGATGCAGGAGAGGGGCTTAAGTGGGGAGGGAAGGAAAAACACTGAAGGGATGAGGAGCATGCATGGGGTGTGGGGGGGGGGAAGGAGGCGGCTAACTCACTGAGGGGACACTTCTGCCCAATGCCCCAATCAGCAAGATCTTTTGAGATCTCCCTCTTGTCAAAGCAGCTGAGCTGCAGATTGCTGAGGGGACGCTTCCCTCCCAAGCTTCTGCGGGGCTTGCTCTCTTCCCGCAGCTGCAAGGGAGAGAGTTGTGAGCCTTCCAACCATATGGCTGGCGGGCAAAGCCTCTGTGGGGACTGCTCTCCTCCCGCAGAGGCTTGGCAGAGAGTTGTGACCCCGCCAACCCTGCCACCAAGGGAGGAGAGCAATTCCCGCAGAAGCTTGGGAGGGAAGCTGCATGCCTGCCAGCCATATGGTTGGAAGGCTCACAACTCTCTCCCTCACAGCTGCAGGAAACACCGTGATGACCCCCTTCTCCGCTGCCAGACAACGGACGTGTGGCACCCAAAACAGAAGTGCAGCCACAAACGGAGTTCGTTCAGAATCCAAAAAAACCACACAACCTGGAGCACTCATTTCCAGGTTGCAATTGGTTGTAATCCAAAATGGTCGTATACTAGGCTGTTCGTAAACCGAGATACCACTGTAAAGGTAAAGGGACCCCTGACCGTTAGGTCCAGTCGTGGCCGACTCTGGGGTTGCGGCGCTCATCTCGCTTTATTGGCCAAGGGAGCTGCGTACAGCTTCCAGGTCATGTGGCCAGCATGACGAAGCCGCTTCTGGCGAACCAGAGCAGTGCACGGAAACGCCGCTTACTTCCGGGGCAGTACCTATTTATCTACTTGCACTTTGACGTGATTTTGAACTGCTGGGTTGGCAGGAGCAGGGACCGAGCAATGGGAGCTCACCCCGTTGTGGGGATTGGAACCGCCAACCTTCTGATTGGCAAGCCCTAAGCTCTGTGGTTTAACCTACAGCACCACCCATGTCCCTGAGATACCACTGTACCTGCATTTAAATATTTGAAACAAAACAACCAGGTATAAACAAGTGTGGATCCTGGCACTGGCAGAAAAAAACTTACTGAACAATTAAGAACAAACAGAAACGATTTTGAAGATGACTTTTGCAGCACAGGGCTTTGGATTAAATTACATATATTAGTAAGCAAAGAGGAAGGATCTCAATGACAGGAATTAATGGCTCCTTATGGACGGATACCTTGGTATAAGATGTTAAAGAAATAAAACTCCACTGGACTCCAGAGAGCTATTCAACCGGACTGGAGATTCAGATACCAATTGTTCCATAGTTCCATAGTTATGGAACAATACAGACAGTAAAACAATGTACTGAACATTTATGGTTGGGGAAGGGGCTGGGATTTGTACTCCATGATTGTATACATTATAAAAGAACAGAAGTGAAATACAAAACATCTAACCACACATTTTGGTACGTCATTTGAGTCATTAATTATTATTACTGTTTAATCATTGCAAACGCTTTCTAAATAATGGATATGATATTTTCCCAGGCAAGTTTAAAGAAACTTTGAAACCCATTTCTTTGTGTCTAGCACCCTCTTAAGGTCCATGTAGCACCAACTGAAATCTATCAGTATAAGAAAAAAAAGGCAACAGTTGCAACTTTATAGGCTATTTAGTTTTTCAACATTTTGGGAAGCTGAATCAAACTTTAGAGAGTAACAGTATGTTATTTAGTTGCAATTACCAAAATCTCCCTCCGCAGTTTCTGCTCAGAAGGTTCATCTCCTTCAGAGGACTTCATCAGTTTGCAGGCCACGTGGAGCACTGTAAAACAATATGCACATGCTTAAACACCAGACATATGTTATCTATTGCTGTCAACCCCACTAAGTACACTAAACATGGAAGAGGTCAGCATATTTCCTTGCAAGTAGGGGATGGGGAAGAAATTTGATTCTGTTTGCACTTAAACATAGCCACACTTCAAAATCTGCACTTCTCTGAACTTTCTAATGCAATTATGCAACCAAGTAAAGTGTAACAAAAATGCATATACTGGGGTAAAATGCACATAAGCATGCATATACTGGGGCAAAAAAAAAAAGATACAAAAATGCATATATGGGGTAAATTGTGTCACAAAAATGTGAACATCTGGCAAAATTGCATACAAGAATGTTTATATTAGGAGAAACTCTAAGCTAGGGACATCCAACTCCCAAGAGACTGTGATCTACTCACAGAATAAAAAACTGGCAGTGATATACCCATTGTCATAAAAAGACTGGCAGTGATCTACCCAAAGTTGTTGAGCTTTCTTTAAAAAGCCAAATTTGTGGAGCTTTTTTAGGAAAGGCAAAGTTGGGGGCTTTTTTGTAAGGAGATCGCTGAGGGGCCAGAGATCAACCAGGATCTACCAGGAACACCAGTAGATCACAATCTACCTGTTGGACATGCCAGCTCTAAGCCTAAGAATCTGATGATTTGAAGGCTTAAAAAAAAAGGTATTCATGAACTGATGTGGAAATAAGCAGAGCTGAACTTAAAACTGGAAAAATAATAAACAGAGACCTGAGGCTGTCAGATTTGCACATCCTTACTAGCCAGTGAGACATGCTTCTTTCAGTACACCAGTCACCCTGTCCTAATTTAGGTCAGTCTCTAGGTGGCAATTAAAGAATAATAATTATAAAGTGTGCTTTCATTTAAAAATACAAAACCAGGCAGTGGTACCCATAGCAAGTCTGGAGTCCTTGTCATTTGCAGTACCCCTTCCCCCTTTTGAGACTTATACAAATTTCAAAGTAACAGGAAATATTTTACTCTTTTCAGTAAATGCTGAGTGTTTATGGCAGAGATGTCATACATACACTGAACTTTCTGCACATCAGCCATAACACAGTTTGTATTTCTTGCTGTGGTCCAATTCCATAAACTGAGTGCAGTTTCTTCAACCTATGGGGGCGGAAATTGAAGCCTGTCAAAATCCATACAAGCCATTTGAAATGTTTTCTACGAAAAGCATCCCAATTATCAGAGCTGTACAATCCTCCTGGAAACTGGAAAAAGGAGGAATGGGAGCTTGTCACACTGTTAAGCACATTATGGCATCCTTTTCCATACAAAGATCTGAGATGACGATGTAAGTGAATAAAAAAACAGAAGACACCATATGTTCTCCCTTCCGATAATCGCTCTCGATTATCACTTCTGTCACACACATGAACATACAAGCTGTGTCACATCAAGATATTTTATCAGCCACAAACACATTCTACCCTAAAGAATACTGCATAACATGGACTCATGCATAAGGTTGGAATGAACTTTTCAAGGACATATAGATCCCCAAGAGCCCACAACCAGGTGACTGCCCCTTCTGAGGTAACTTGAATGGGAACTTTTTGGTTTTGGTGCCCTATTTACAGAATGCTTTCTTCAGAGAGACCCTTTAGAAAACAACTCTTTTATCTTACAGTGGTGGATGGTGCCCACTAGGACACGAGCTGCAGGCAGAAGACAAACAGCAGATGGAGCCAGAGCTAATGACAGAACAGACAACTTATTTCAATTTAGTCCCCATCCTCCTCCCTGCTTAGTTCTGCTAGGTTATCAATGGGATGGCAGAGGAGGAGGAAGCCGACAGCTGGCAGCCCTTGGACTGGTTGGAAGTAGGAAGTCGAGGTTGGCAGAGAGTGGACTGTGGTTGGTGGGGTGGTACCTCGTTTGCCCTAGGGAATGAGCCTCTGCTACAGCTTCCGACCACAGGCAAATACATCTTTAAAATTTATCTAGGCATTTTAACAACACATTGTTATGAGTTTGGAAAGGGAGTCAGTCTGGATGATACCCCCTGTGCCTTCTCTCATCATCTTTAACGGCTTTCTTTTAGCTTTAATTTTCTCCTCTTTTTTATTGTCACCGTCATCATTTAAATTTGTATATCACCCTATACCAGTGGTGTCCAAACTTTTTTCAAAGAGGGCCAGATTTGATGAAGTGAAGGGCCAACCAAAGTTGTTGAGCTTTTTTTATAATTTTACCCTAAAGTTGTTTTTTTAAGGATTTTACTCTAGCAAATAAACTGCCACAGGGGCCAGATTAAACTGACTGTCAGGCCCCCGAAACGGACTTTAGACATGCCTGCCCTGTGCCTACAGGTCTCAGGGAAGTTCACATGTTTAAAATATGCTTGATATTTATTTCTGTATACAGTACTGTTTTTGCTGTTCTCTCAAGCTTTAATAAAAATTCAAATGCAAAAAAGATGCTTCTCGGTGCCGCCTCCAAACCTGTGGTGTTTTGTGCGCGTGTGCCCGTTGGGGGGCAGGGTTAGAATGCCTAAGAGCCAGTTTGCCAAACGCATTCCTTTGCTAAGGAAATGGTTTTGACTGACTAGTTAAGAGCTACGATTAGCATAACCAAAGAAGTCACTCTGTGCCCACAGAACAAATGGGCAAGCCTTCCTAGCTACTAGGAAAACAAAACCAAGCCTTTCCAGATATCCAAAGAACAATAGCCAGAGATGTGAGTCTGAACTGAGCTGGAAGCTGTAGACACAAAGACATGCTTGATCTGTGCTTGACGCAAAGCTGCAACTAATGGAGAAGAAAGGTCTTTTGCAGTGTTCGTACTGTGACCCCCATCCTATGTAGAGGTTGCAAATGTGAATAAAACCATATATTATAAAGACACCACAGTCTCTGCAGACCTCCATTCCAAGGATACTGAATGCTGGGGAAATGCCAGAACCCCTGAAATCTTTCTCTCTGGAGACTGGGGTGGCATGTAACAGTATTTTAGGTCTGTTTTAATGTTGTTGATGTTTCTTCTGCTATCTGACTGTTTCTGGCCACAGATGCATTTCCTAATACAGTGGTACCTCCAGTTACGAATGGGATCTGTTCCAGAGGCCTGGCTGTATCCTGAAAATTTCATAACTGGAGGACCGCTTCCAGGTTTGCCACAGCCATAACCCGAAGACTCCGAAACCTGGAGGTAAAGCAACACGAGGTACCACTGTATTGCTCATTGTTTCAGGCTGCAATCCTAAGTAACCCAATTACCCGTGAATAAGTCACATTAAATTCAGTGGGACTTATTTTTGAGCAGGCCTTTAAAAGACTGTACTGTTCATTACTGAGTAAAAGCCGGGTATTAAAAATTTATCTAACAGTGAACATCAGACTACACCCAAATACCAATCAGATTTCTAGGAAGACAATTCTTCCCAACTTCCAGTCCAACTTGTTTTTAACAAAACAGTCTCTGTGTCTACCTTGACCTTCTGAATATTGGTAATGGATCCTTTAGTCACTGTCTCTGTCTTTCCGAGCAGAGTGTCTACATCCACTACAATCTCTTTTTTCATCAGTTCTTCAATTTGCTCTGAAAGAAAAATAACAAGTAAAATAAGATTACAAAGTAGACTGAAGGCAGCTAGCTTATTTTTTCTCCACATCACTCCAGCAACAAATAGGGCTTTCCAAGGGAAGCTGAACAGACAGATATCCTATATGGAACTTCTATTCAGGGTTGGCATCATAGGCTGACATTGCCTGGCACCTGCCAAAGCCCACACCCCAGAGTGGGAGCCCCCTGGTTCTCCCCATCCTTGCTGTTCCTGCCTGTTTACCTGCATCCTCTGAGCATGCAAACAAGATGGCATAGGCAGCCTCCATATGCCTTCCCCTTGTCATGATAAAAATGTGCCTTGCATCTTTAAATATTATTTTAGTAAGCTGGCAACCCTAACAAACATAAGCACTAGGACCAGCCTGTGTATTTGGTAACCTAGTGAGTTAATGCTTGTTAAGGACATTTGTGCTTATGACATATTCACGTATGCTTTTAAAAACATGCACTACACCCTTTTGCCCTTTCAGTTATTAAGTTACAGTAACCATGATGCCAAACTATGACAAGAACAACGAGAAGGCACAGCTCCCTTCACTTAACTTACCCTCTCCTTCCAAGCAGTGGTGTGGATTAGACTAAAATACAGAGTGCAACAGGGTGGCAGATGCAATCTGCTAAGGAAATCATCTGCAGAGGGGCAGACTGCTTCACTGAAATGAACAGCAGGAACGAAATAAAACAGCATGGAGGAAAGGGAAGCAATGGCTATTGCCCAGAGTATTTAACATTTTACCTGGACCTAAGATATTAGTTTTATGCAAATATTTTATATACCTTTTATTTCCATAACTGGGTCAATTATGTCCAATTCATCCACGGAGAAAAACGGCTTTTTTAAAAAAAAGGGGGGGGAGAAAAGAGAGAAGCATTTCAGTTTATATTCCTCAGTTATTCCCATCTACAGATTCTACTGCATTATTTCCTCCAGTGATTCACATTCACAACTATTACTAGATATGACTAGAAACCTGCAGTCCCAAAATAAATAAAAATGGCTGGTTAGTTCCAAGTCAGACTGTATTCATCTTCCTTTCCCCTGAAACCTTACTTCTCTGCCTATACCTCTCAGGTTCCTGATTCTCAGTCCCTAGCCTATTTTGCATCCTTTCAGCATTATTTTTAATTTACACACCACCTTTTTCTTCCAAAGAACTCAAGGTGGTGTATGTGGTCCTCCTGCTCCCCATTTCATCACCATAACCCTGCCTATGAGATGGTGCCTGGCCTAAGGTAACTCAGTGAGCTTCATGGCTAAGTAGGGATTCAAACCCCGGTCTCCCAGGTCATAGTCCAGCCCTCTTAACCATTGCATCACATTGGCTCTCATCTTTTGTTAGCTATTTTGCCTTTGGGCTCTTTAACGACTTTTGCTTCTTGGCACTCCTTCCTGGTCCAGTCTGTGCCAGACAACCAGGACTGCAGGATCCACATGAGGTTTCAATCCCAAGAGAAGCAAGCAACTCGGTCCACTCGCCTAAACTGCTCTGAAAACATTTTGAAAGCTTTGTTCCCTGTGAAGCTGAGAAGTTTCTGTGTGCCGTTAACGGTAATGCAAAGTAGATTCACTGCACAAATATTAGGGCACTGATGCTATACACAAGGAGTGGGGTCCAATCATTTTAAGTGCGTAGGAATTTGGCACCTGCAGTATCAGGCTTGTGCTCAGTGAATAATCAGGACAGTAGCGCAGAAGGCCTTCCTAGAAGATACTCTGTAACTAGGGAGTCCTTATTTCCTCCTTGTAATACACCATGCTTTCCACAAGGGGCTCCCAAGAATCACATGACATACTGCGTGTTGTTCTCCCCCCTCACCACTGTATTCCCACACCTCTGCGAGGCAGATTTGGCTGCAAAGTGTTGACTCGCCCAGGATAACCCACTATTAATGTGTGTTTGCCATCAGTGCTCTACCCAGTGAGCATCACAGCTGAATGGGGATGTTTTTAACTGTTATCTCCTTACTTTCACCCCAGCCCAGCAAACAGCACACCAAGCTGACTCTCTGGAGACGGGGTCTAACAAATGCCTCAGAGCATGTGCAGTGTACATTTCCTTTCTGGAAAGTGTTTTTAAAGTGTTTTTTTCATCTTCATTATGAGTTGCCTGGAATTCTCCACATGTAGAAGGAATAAAAATGCTAAAACATTTAAGGAAGTGTGGGTTTTATAACAGGAAGGTAGGAAGTAGCTGTGCTTCTTTGCAAGGGCTTCACTAAGTCTCCTCCTCCTTAGGAACAGCTGGGAAAAACAGCACCGAAATTATTTATTTATTTATATTAATTTTTTAATGCATTAAATTTCACAGGATGAAATTACTGAAACTTTAGTTTGTTGACTGAAACCACTGTAGCACTGAGTTTGTTGTTTTTATGTCCGAGGGGCCAGTTTTCAATGGCTTGCTTTGCTTTGCAATTTTTCTCCCACCCATGCATTTTATATTTTTTCATTACTATTTCTGAGGGGCCATTTTCAAGCCCTTGCTTTGCATTTCTTCTCCCACCCATGCATTTTATATTTTTTTATTACTATGTCTGAGGGGCCATCTTCAAGCCCTTGCTTTTCAGTTTTTCTCCCACCCATAGTTTTTAATTTTGATTATTGTTTGAGGGGCCAGTTTGCAAGACCTTGCTTTGCAATTCTCCTCCCACCCATGCATTTTATATTTTTTTATTACTATTTCTGAGGGGCCATTTTCAAGCCCTTGCTTTGCAATTCTCCTCCCACCCATGCATTTTATATTTTTTTATTACTATTTCTGAGGGGCCATTTTGAAGCCCTTGCTTTGCAATTCTCCTCCCACCCATGCATTTTATATTTTTTTATTACTATTTCTGAGGGGCCATTTTGAAGCCCTTGCTTTGCAATTCTCCTCCCACCCATGCATTTTATATTTTTTTATTACTATTTCTGAGGGGCCATTTTGAAGCCCTTGCTTTGCAATTCTCCTCCCACCTTGGCATTTTATATTTTTTATTACTATTTCTAGGGGCCATTTTCAAGCCCTTGCTTTGCAGTTTTTCTCCCACCCATGCATTTTTTGCAATATTATAATAATTACATCTGAGGGGCCATTTTCAAGCCCTTGCTTTGCAGTTTTCCTCCCACCCATAGTTTTTAATTTTTATTACCGTTTGAGGGGCCAGTTTGCAAGACCTTGCTTTGCAGTTCTTCTCCTGCCCATGAACTTTATTTTATTTTTATTATGCCTGAGGAGCTAGTTTGCAAGCGTTGGCTTTGCAGTTCTTCTCCCACCCATGTATTATATATATATTTTTATTACTATTTCTAGGGGCCATTTTCAAGCCCTTGCTTTGCAGTTTTTCTCCCACCCATATTTTTAAATTTTCATTACTGTTTGAGGGGCCAGTTTGCAAGACCTTGCTTGGCAATTTTTCTCCTGCCCATGTATTTTATTTTATTTTTATTATGCCTGAGGAGCTAGTTTGCAAGCGTTGGCTTTGCAGTTCTTCTCCCACCCTCGAATTAATTTTTATTATTATTAACATTCTTCTTAATTATTCGTATTACGGCTGCGACGCCTGAGGGGCTTTTCGAGAGCAGAGGCGGCAGCGAAGGGCACGCGAACGAAAGGGCGCGGCCCCGCGGGAGGGCTACTGTACCTCCATGTCGAACTCCATTTCTGACTCCGCCGACAAGCGACGCGCCCAGCACGCGGCAAGACACGCCCCCCCCTCGCTGCCTTCCCGCCTTCATTTTATACTTTCTGCGCCGCGTGCTTCCGGCGGGGGCGGGGGCGGAGGACCGGAAGAGAAGAGGAAGAAGAAGGAGGGCCTCTGAACTACACCACCCGGCAGCCCTTGCGGCACGGCGGGCCCGCCCCTCTCTGCCATTGGCCGGCTTCCCTGCTGGGCGGCGAGGCGAGCAAGAGGGCTCCTCGGAAAACAAGGAAGGGTCTCTGGGCGCGACGGAGGAAGGGCGAGGAGGGATGTCGGGGCTGCTGAGCGCGACGCTGAGCGGCCTCAACAGCGACTCGTACTGCGAGTTCAGCACTTATCGGGACCAGCAGTTCAAGGTAGCGCCCGGGGCTCGCTCTGCACGCGCTCAGAGGCGCCCGTGGTCCGCGGAGGGGGGGGTCCCTTCTTCCGGGGGGGCCACCCCGTCCAAGCCACCCCCTCCCCCTGCACGACGCATGGCTGCAATGGGCGCAGAGCGCCGGGCTCCAACCGACGGAGCTATTCCAGCCATGCCTGGAGCTTTTTCTCCCGCTCCTTTCAGCACCATAGACAAGAGCACCAATATCCTCTTGGGATTTCTCTCATGGGTTGTTGTTGTTGTTTCTTCCCTCCTTAAAAAACAACAACAAAAAACACGACCCCGTGTGCCTTTTTCTTTGTCCTCTGAAATCCACTGAGGGACGACTGTACGTACAGGGCCAGATTTATATTTGATGAGGCCCTAAGCTACTGAAGGTAATGAGGCCCTTTAGTATATGTCCAGCTGTCCTTATCGCTTTTTTGTGTTGAATATATGCTATACGGTCATTGATGGACCTAACTGGTATCTAAAGCCATTTGCACATAACAAATTATGCAGAATGTAGGCCCCCTATATATAGAGATGAGCAAACCGGTGATATTTTAGGGAGCAGGCTAGCAGGTGAAGCCCATTACTTACATCATAGGAGCCTACACAACACAAAACACTGTTGCTGTATGTAGGTTTTATTTTATTTGGTTTTTATCTTATATTTTGGAAATGTACATCCAGGGGTTTGTTCCCCTTTAATTTTTTTTTGGGGGGGGGCGGGCTCCAAGAGAATGGGGCCCTGAGCTATGGCTTGTTTAGCTTATACGTAAATCCAGCACTGGGTACGTATGTATTTATTCCGCTTATGGTTCCCACAAAGCACCCTGAAGCAATCACCAAAAAAAAGCACATTTCGGATCCAGTACAAAGGCTGATATGCATCTCCACCTGAAAGGCTTGTTGGAAAAGGAAGCTGTCCAACAGGCACTTTAGAGACAGTAGTGAATGTGTACTTTTTAAAAATAACAATAGATACTCTGTAAACAAAATCCCTTCTTCCAGCTTTATCTTGCCCATTTAATGTTTAAGCCATTGCATATGTACTGTGTTGCATCTGGGTTTTGCACAACTCTTAAAACCTGATGGTGCTAAGCAATGTAAAAAGGAATATGTGGGTTTTTAGGTGACATTATCTATGCTTCTCCATTTTTATTTTCCTTTCCCAGGGAAGTTGTTACCTGCAAGAAAAAACTCTGAAAAACTCCTGCACACTTTATGTGGGCAATCTCTCTTTCTACACCACAGAGGAACAAATTCATGAGCTCTTCTCCAAGTGTGGGGATGTGAAGCGCATAGTCATGGGGCTAGACAAAGTGAAGAAAACCCCCTGTGGCTTCTGCTTCGTGGAGTATCCTTACCTTCTATTAACTGAAGTAGACTGTGGGTGGTCTCACTAATGTTTTTTAAGCATCATGGGGCATGAAGCAAGGTTGTGTTCTGGCCCCCACTTTTTGATTTCTATATTAATGACTGGGTGCCATATTTAGGAGCCAGTGTAGATGGGAGGTGCTGCATGTTTATCATCATCACCATCATTTATTTGTGTGCTCTCTTTCCATACTTAAAACCATGTTCTATACTTGCAACACAAATTGATTTACCTAATTATCAAGAGCATAAATCATTATAAACACTAAGAAAAACACATGGGAAAATAAGAAATTTGAGCAATTTCCACATAAATGATGATATTAGAATCATAGTATCATAGATTTGGAAGGGACCCAAGGGTCATCTAGTCCAACCCCCTGCAATGCAGGAATCTCAGGTAAAGCATCCATGACAAATGGCCATCCAACCTCTTGCTTAAAAACCTCCAAAGAAGGAGAGTCTGTTGGCTATTTGCAATTTAGTAGTGCAGCAGAGAGCTTGCTGGGGAGACCATGCCTAACAAGGAACTCAAAATAACTTTAAAAAGGTTTTAATAACGAAAACAAAAACTCCTTTTACACTAAAGATAACAACAAACATGACCCAGCCACCAACCCATCCCCCAGGGTAACGGGAGAGCTAGGTGCTGCTACCCAATTGCTGATACAGCTTGATTAACACAACTCAGCAGCACCTGCTATGTTTCACAGCTGTAAGACTGGGTCTCGTTATTTGCCCTGGCCCTGGCCCTTAAAGGCATACACAACTTGTGAAACAATAATGAACCTTCACATTTTAAAGTGACCATTCAACAGAGTCCAACGCCTCTTGTGGGAGTCCGTTCCACTGTAGTTGGAATCTCCTTTCTTGTAACTTGAAGGCATTGGTTTGAGTCCTACCTTCCAGAGCAGGAGAAAACAAGCATGTTCTCTCTTCCATGTGACAGCCTTTGAGATATTAGAAGATGGCTATCAGTCTCCTCTTTTCCGGGCTAAACATACCATGCTCCTCATAAGGCTTCGTTTCCAGACCCTTGATAATCTTGGTTGCCCTCCTCTGCACACATTCCAGCTTGTCAACATCCTTAAATTGTGGTGCCCAGAATGGGACACAGTATTCCAACTGTGGTCTGACTAAGGCAGAGTAGAGTGCCCTTGATCTGGGCACTATACTTCTGTTGATGCAGCCTAGAATAGTATTAGCTTTTTTTGCTGCTGCATCACCTTGTTGACTCATGTTAAGCTTGTGGTCCACCAAGACTCCTAGATCCTTTGTCCCTATTGAAATTTATTTTGTTAGCTTCTACCCAGTTCTCCAATCTGTTAATTCTTATATTAAAGATACAAATATTACCGTAATAGCAATAACAAAACTCTAAACAATACCCCACCTCAGAGACTGTTTGGCAGCCTCAGCTTTTGTAGCTGGAATCATTCAGGGCCCTGTGCTTCCAAGCTAAGTGAGGAATGACAAGGAAGGCAAGAGAAGGTCTTCCAGGACTCATAGCCAGGCTGTTGGCTGTCTGTCCGCGTCAGCAGTCTAGCTGCTGCATTCTACTCCATCTGGATTTCCTGGACCACACCCTCAGGCAACTTCACATAGAGTGCATGGCATGGTTATGATGTTTACCCGCTAACTGAACTTGTGGAGGTTATGAGTTGTTTGATTTTCAGCTTGCCTGTTCTCCCCTTCATCGGCCTATGACCAGCTGGCATAAACCCTCTAGCAATATGAATTTTCTTTAAAGTAGTGTTCCAGATACTACACGAGAGCAGAAGCAGAGCATTCTATGCGGTTCATCAATGGAACCCGTCTGGATGACCGCATCATTCGAACAGACTGGGATGCTGGGTTTAAGGAAGGGCGGCAGTATGGCCGTGGGAAAACAGGTGGCCAGGTAAGGGTTGCTCACCCGTTAAGAGTGCTCTACCAGTCTGGAATGAAGTGGCAGCTGCACACCAAAGCCCACTCCCACACAAGGGCTGCAGGAATACACAGTTATGGGTCTCATTTTATGGGAAGGCAAAGATTTTATCTTCTGTATTCCTGGAGCACAAAGGTGAAAAACACACTTTCCCCCACCTTAGTGAGGACTTCCATTCCCTTGCAACTCACCGAAACTGCCATCGCTTTCTCCAGAAGCATTCCAAGTTCATTTCTTATTGTATCCACCAGCATTCCTTTAGCATCATAAAGACCAAATCATTTGTTGGGAGCAGAAGCAGGCTTCATCAGAGCTCTGTATAGCTCTAGCTTTACATATGTTCAATTAGCGTTGATGGTGCTGCTGGAATCTTGCTGTTCTCTATCAAAAGGTGGCCTATCAGAGTTTTATTTGAGCTGGCCTATGACTGGTCTTACTCAAGCTTTAAAGGCTGCTCTGAGAATTTAGTATTTGACCTGATTTCATCTGGATATGTGCTCTTCCCAGGGTTCCCACCCTACATTCTCAGGCTGGGGTTTGCTGGCTAAATGCCCTGCAAGAGCAAAGTCAAATTTCACTATAAAATCTTAGAGTTGGAAGGGACCCAAGGGTCATCTAGTCCAACCCCCAGCAATGCAGGAATCTCAGCTAAAGCATCCATGACAGATGGCTATCCAACCTCTGCTTAAAAACCTCTAAAGAAGGAGAGTCCACCACCTCTTGTGGAAGTCCGTTCCACTGCTAAACAGCTCTTTCTATCAGAAGGTTTTTCTGAATGTTTAGTCAGAATCCCTTTTCTTGCAACTTGAAGCTATTGGTTCAATCCTACCATCCAGAGCAGGATAAAACAAGCATACTCCCTCCTCCATGTGACAGCCCTTAATATATTAGAAGATGCTATCAGATCTCCTCTCAGTCTCCTCTTTTCCAGGCCAAACAGACCCAGCTCCTTCAAGCTGTCCTCATAAGGCTTAGTTTCCAGACCCTTGATCATCTTGTTGTCCCTCCTCAGCACACGTTCCAGCTTGTCATCATTCTTCTTAAATTGTGGTGCCCAGAATTGGACACAGTATTCCAAGTGTGGTCTGACTAAGGCAGAATAGAGTGGTACTATTACTTCCCTCCATCTGGGGACTATACTTCTGTTGATGCAGCCTAGCTTTTTTTGCTGCTGCATCACACTGTTGACTCATGTTCAGCTTGTGGTCTACCAAGACCCCTAGATCCTTTTCACGTGTACTGCTAGTAAGCCAGGTGTCCCGATTCCTATATTTGTGCACCTGGTTCTTCCTGCCTAAGTGCAGAACCTTACAGTTGTCTCTATAGAAATTCATTTTGTTAGCTTGCACCCAGTTCTCCAATCTGTTAAGGTCCTTTTAATTTCTGATTCTGTCTTCTGCAGCATTAGCTACCCCTCACAGTTTGGTGTCAACTGCAAATTTGATAAGCATCCCCTCAATTCCTTTGTCCAAGTCATTTATAAAATTGGCAGTGAGGCAATGCAGGAATTTGTCAGATCTTACACTCTTGGCAGAGCTTGAGTCCCAACAGGTATCAGGGAAGTTGAAGTCCTCCATGATTATTTTTTCTTTCCTTTTTGAATGTTTAGTAATCTGCTCTAGTAAGGCATCGTCCAAGTCTTCAGTCTGGCTTGACACCCACAGTAAGGTCACTGTTGTTTCTCCCTCCTATAATTTTTGCCCATATACTCCCAATATGCTTTCCATGCTCCAGGTCATGGATTTCTTCACAAGTGTACCCATCCTTTATATACAATGCTGCTACTCCTCCCTTCCTGTTTGGTCTATTCCTTTTGAACAGATTATGCCCCTCAGTTCCTACCTTCCAGTCATGAGTCTCATCCCACTAGGTTTCAGTAAAGGCTATCAGGCCATTATTGTTAGAAAGAGTCCTGTCAGAATTGACTTAAGACAAGACTTGGAGGCTGCAGACAAGGTGAGAAAAGCAAACTGAGTCTTCCAGGATAAATAGTTAACCCTGTGCTCTTTGGGAGAATCTCTAGGCGACCCAGCTGTGTTGGGCTATGACGCAAAACCCGCTAGTATCCCAGTGTTCTTTTCCACCTAGAATACTGGCCACCATCAATCTGGTGGGCCTTGCCTCTGCTCTGGTCATAAGAGGCCACTTAAAACACGCACAACCCCCATACCTTCTTGACATCAACATGCCCAGAATATTGGTCCTTTTATCTGTCTCTGTAAGACGTTTGCCTCATTTTTCTCCTCTTCCAGGTACGAGATGAGTACCGGACAGACTACGATGTGGGCAGAGGTGGCTTTGGCAAGATTGTTCAGCAGCAGAAGATGAACCAGCAGACAGTGATCTACTAATGGCTTCTTGGATTCGGTAGATAACAATAATGAATTAAATAAACCTGATCTCATAACATCTACAGTAGCCTGGAGTGATATGGCTGGATTTGGAGAGGGAAGAGCAATTTCAGAGGTCCTGTCTTAATTAGCTTTTAAGACACATCTCCTTATAATGCGCTGGATTGCCATTTCTGCACATACATGGCAGCTAAGAGGGACTGGGGAAAGTCTGGGTTTGGAGTAACTTTGGAGAATCATGGATCCATGATTCATAGATCCATGGGTCCATGATTCTCAGGTCTATAAAAGGCCCCTTCCACATACCCAGTTCCTTGCCTCAGTTGCTGGTGATGTTGATGTACAAGGTTTGTTGAGGCTCCTGAGTTCTACTGGGCAGCTGTCCTCATAAGACGCATTGAATTACTGGGAACAAAATAATTCCCTCCCATTTGTGAAAAAAAGGGGGGGAGACCAAAGTGTGGCACATTATGGCCCAGCTTCTTCTGTTGTGCCATAAATTTCAATGCATCTACCTTATTTTCATCCCTGGCACATCTTCACCAAGAAGGCAGCATTCTGCTTAGCTGCCATTTTGTTTCATTGATGTAACTCGATTTTTAGTCCTGCATTTATTTATTTTTTACCCTCACCCCGAATTCCATTCGATTTGCTTTTCCTATTTGGAGGAGGGACCCAGACAACAAAAATCCCACACAATTTAAAAACACGGTCACCTCCAGACTTGATTATTGTAACTCACTCTACGTGGGGCTGCCCTTGAGACCGATCCAGAAACTCCAGCGGGTGCAGAATGCCATGGCAAGACTCCTTACAGGGTCCTCGCCGTGGGATCACATTCACCCGGTGCTATACCAGCTGCAATGGCTCCCGGTGGAGTACAGGATCAGGTTTAAGGTGCTGGTTTTAACCTTTAAAACCCTATACGGCCTAGGACCCTCGTACCTACAGGACCGCCTCTCCTGGTATGTCCCACAGAGGAACTTACGGTCTTCAAATAAAAACATCTTGGAGATCCCGGGCCACAGGGAGGTTAGGCTGGCCTCAACCAGAGCTAGGGCTTTTTCGGCCGTGGCCCCGATCCGGTGGAATGCTCTGTCACAGGAGACTAGGGCCCTGTGGGACTTGACATCTTTCCACAGGGCCTGCAAGACAGAGCTGTTCCACCAGGCCTTTGGCCAAGGCACAGTCTGACACCTCCCCGCCTTCTGTAATCCTCATAGAACTCTAGCCCAATGGTTGCCGTTAATTTGACTCTGAATTGATTTTAGAATGTATTTCAATTAATTGATTATGATTTTATGTAAACTGTGTTATTTTTGCTGTTGGTAGCCACTCTGATCCCGGCTTCGGCTGGGGAGGGTGGGATATAAATAAAATATTATTATTATTATTATTATTATTATTATTATTATTATTATTATATTTTATTATAATAATAACATTCCTCCCATCCCAAGCCTTTGGCTAATTAAGCAATCTATGGCCTTTTAAATGGGAGGTAGGGTATGGTGGGTGTGGGTGTTTTTATATACCGTATTTTTCGCTCTATAAGACGTACCAGACCATAAAACGCACCTAGTTTTTGGTAGGAGGAAAACAAGAAAAAAAAATATTCTGAATCCCAGAAGCCAGGACAGCAAGCGAGATCGCAGCTCAGCGATCCCACTTGCTGTCCTGGCTTCTGTGATAGCCGCGCGCAGCCTCTCCCCGGCAGCGGGATGAAGGCTCCTGTTGCCTGGGAGAGGCTGCTCACGGCTAAGGCTCCCCCAAGAGCCACGCTCCCTTAAAAGAGCATGCAGAGCATGTGTGCGGCTCTTGAGGGCTCTCCCTTCTCGGGGAAAAGCCCCCAAGAGCCGCACACACACTCCACGTGGCTCTTTAAAGGGAGCACTGAGCAGAGCCTCCCGCCTGCATTTGCTCCATAAGATGCACACACTTTCCCCCTAACTTTTTAGGATAGGAAAAGTGCGTCTTATAGTGAGAAAAATACGGTATATAATGATTGATATATATGTTTGTGTTTTTATATAGTAAGCTGCCTTGTGATGCTAGGATAATGGGCAGTATAGAAATTTGGTAAACAAATAAAATGATAAAATGAAATAAATATGAAATACTAAAAAAGTGTTTTATTCATGCTGTGATGCATTTGGGTGGGGGCAGAAGACCAGGCTTGGCCCCACTATGAGGCACTGCAAACTGGCTGTTGTGGCAAACTTCACTTAACTTTGGGACTCTCCTGCCAAAATGTCTTGCGCCTAGTCTACGGTAGGGCTGTCGCTAACCTAGCCCTTGTTCCCATCTCACCAATGCTTTTTCCAGCTGGTCTTTCAAGAGTGGCTTCCTTTAGCTGCAGTACCCTCACCTTGATCATTTCAAGGAGAAAAGGACTGGTTCTACAGGCTACCGTATTTTTCGCCCTATAGGACGCACTTTTTCCCCTCCAAAAATGAAGGGGAAATGTGTGTGCGTCCTATGGGGCGAATGCAGGCTTTCGCTGAAGCCTGGAGAGGGGTCGGTGCACCGACCCCTCTCACTCTCCAGGCTTCAGGAAGCTCTGCGCAACCCTCGGGAGACTGGCTCCGAGGGTTGCGCAGAGCTGCCTTCAGTCCCGGGCTCAGCGCACTTCTCCCCATTGCCAGCCCCACAAGCTTGGGGGACAGCGGGGAGGCGGAGGGCGCCTTCCTGCTGTTCCCTGACCTGGTTCTTCCAGCCCCGCACCTGGGGGGGGGGATTTTTTTTCTTTATTCCCCCCCAAAAAAACTAGGTGCGTTCTATGGGCCAGTGCGTCCTATAGGGCGCAAAATACGGTATCTTCTTCTGCCCCAGACTAGGAAAGTGTTATTGTTTGCTGTCTTAGAAGTCTTGAGATCTCTAAGAGCATGCCGGGATGCTGAATCCCTCTTAAGCCAACCTCCCCAACCGCTCCTGGACTCAGGAAGGGGAAAGGGTGGGTCTGCTGGCACCAATGAGCCTGGCAGCTGATGACAGCAGCCAAGAGCTTGCATCATTGGAGGTGCTGCAAAGCATCCCAGTTAACATAGTCTGGTGTTCACACTTTTCAGAGCAGCTGAGAGTTCCCTTGTGTTCTCCCAAACTGCAGCTCTGGATAAGCACACAAAGGTTAGAGCCCAGAGCTGTAGCATCCTGGCACAGAAGATGGGGTGCTCTCTGTGTGGTGCTTTCCTCTGTGCTGGAGGTGGAGGGTCAGGCAGCAGCCACTCCTGTCAATGCTCTCAGTGTGGTCAACATTTTGTTTGTTTTACTGATCTCATTACACCAGCACCTTTTATTTTATTTTTTTACAGTAACTAGGTGTGCTGAAATGACCCTGGTGAAACTTTTACTGACATGCATGGGGCCATTGCTAGGGGAGCAGCTCAGGGGGTTTGAGTCCCAAGGCTTTTCTGCCACTTCCCAAAAACAACGGCAACTTTATTTTACATAGCAGCTAGAGATCCTGCAAAGCAGGGTGTTTGTGGGAGCACAGGCAACTGCCATCTCGGTCCACTCAGGAGCCTGTGCTCTGAGGTGTACTTTTGCAATCTAGCAATGCCCCTAAATGAGACCAAGTGATCAAAAATTAATTTCTGCATGACAGCACTGCTGTTAAAGGGGCAGGGAGCAGTTGAAAATGTTGGCAACACTGTTCTGGAGGTCCCGTAAGAGCCTAGCTGCTGGATCAGCCTATCTAGGGCAGCATCCTGCTCTCACACTGGCCAACCAGATCCCCAGTGGAAAGCCTTCTGCAAAGCCTGAGCACAACAGCGCTCTCTCCACTTGTGGTTCTGAGCAACCTGTATTCGGAGACAAAAAACAACATTGGTGGCCTTCTCTCCCATGAGTTTGCCTGAAGTTATTTTAAAGCTTCATTAAAATGTAACCCCTAAATTTTCGGTTCCTTCCAAACCGATGCCAAAGTTTTGTGCTGCGAATCACGCTTTGTGACATCACTGCGCACACCCCAAAACTGAGTAATTGGCACAGCAAACTGGGGTTACAAGTTAACATCCAAAAATCCAGCGAAACAAATGCAGAACTTTAGCCTCAGCTTGGAGCAGATCCAAGTTTTTTGGGTTACACATTAATGAAGCTCTGTTTTAAAGCATCCCATGTTGGTGGCTATCACTGCCTCTTGAGGGAGCAAGTCCGTTTGTTTGTTTGTTTGTTTGTTTGTTTGTTTGTTTGTTTCATTTGTATGCCCCTCCCTTCAGCTGCAGATCTCAGGGCGCTTCACAGCATAAAAACACAAAATGCATTAATGAGAACAAGAACAAAAACCATTGACCCCCACCCCACCCCCTCCTACAAACATATTTAAAAGGATGTTAATCAGCCAAAGGCCTGGTGGAAGTAGAACGTTTTAGCCTGGCAACTAACTGTAACCTAACCACGCACCCTGTTGAAGAAGTATTTTCTTCTCCCATCTCCTCCTGGCTTGGTCCAAGCGCCTTTCAGTGACTCACGGTGCTTAATCCCCTCTGAGCTCCAAATATATAAAAAAATAAAATTGTCCAGTAGCACCTTAGAGACCCACTAAGTTTGTTTTTGGTATAAGCTTTTGTGTGCATGCACACTTGCCAGCCCTTTGTAAAATGGATGGCACCTGGGGAAAGCTTAAGGAGGGCTGACACACCCACTGATTAAGAAAATAGTTGCCAACAGAGGCATCTTCCAGAGAACATCCCTTAGGGCACCGACGCCTATACAGGTATCATGCTGCATCTTGTGAGGCTGGCTAGACACCCTGCTATGCACTGCATCTGAACTGAAGCTCTTCTGGCAGAGGTGCTGAGAGTCTGAAATTGGAGTGCCAGAAGTCCCCCATCCCTGCCTAGAGCAGAGGTGGGTAACTTTGTGGTCCTCCAGATGTTACACCCATCAACCCTTGCCATTGGCTACATTGGCTGAGGTTGATGGAGAGTTGCAGTCCCAACAACATCTGGATCAGAGATAGGAATCCTTTGGCATTCCAGAGCTTGTTGGACTGTGCCACCCATCAGCCCCAGCTGGTTTGCTTCTCTGGATGTCCCTGGTGCTTAACTGCTAAGTGGCAGATAGACAGCAGCTCTGAGGTCAATAGGGGCTCTGAGGTCACCACATCCTCCTGAAACAACAGGTCTTGGAGTGGTGGTGAGGTGTTTTAATGTGATTGAGCTAAGCCTATGATGACAAGAGAGGGAAAGAAGCCCCTGCCTCTCTCTTCTACACATTTCCCCATCTGGAAGCAGCAAGATCCCAGCTCTGGTTTCCCCCAGAGCTTGGAAGTGAATGAATGAATGAATGAATGAATGAATGAATGAATGCATCCCCTCTAAAGCAAGAAAGGCAGAGTGAATTGCGGGAAGGAAACAGGCCTGCCTCATGCTGGGGAGCAGCTGATGCAAGGGAAGGAGGAAGAAGCAGCCTCAGAGGTCAGAAGCATCCATCTAAAGAGGCTTATGTGCAGGGAACAACACATTGCTTCTTGACATTTTACTGCTGAAGGCTAATCCTGCGCATCTTCTCTCGGAGGTAAGAGTCACTGTTCATTTCAAAGGTATTGGGAACTGCCCTGCAAACTAATGCTAAAGGGTGATATATAAATCAGTCTGGAATGAAACGGCAGAGGTGTTGGGGGGAACACAGGATTTCCATAATTGCATGCAGACGGCCCCAGGTTCAACCCCTGGTATCTCCAGTTATAAAAGGATCTTGTAAGGCGAGGCTGAGATGGAGAGGGAGCCCTCTCTGCCTGCCTGAGAAGTGTTGGATCCATTGCCTGGTGGAGTAAATAAAGCAAGGCCAGCTGGGTCAATTGGTGTGGATTGGCACCAGGCTCATTAATCTCTGGAGAATGGTAGCTCCTGGCAGAACATCTGTTTCCTATTCACAAGGGTTCAGTTCCAGGTAGGGTTAAGAGAGATGCCGTGCCTGAAATCCTGGACAGCTGACAGTTGTCAGTGTAGGCAAATGGTCAGACTCATAAGAGTCTGCTGGATAAGGCCAGCAACCCATCTCGTGTGCCATCCTGTTCTCACAGTGGCCAATCAGATGCCTGCGGGAAACCCACAAGCAGGACCTGAGCACAAGAGCCCTCCTCCCTCCTGCATTCAGAAGCGTTGCTGCCTCTGACCATGGAGGCTGAGCAAAGCCATCCTGGGTCTTAACCTCCCATGGCAATAACTTCAGGTAATAAGCAACAGGGCCTTTTCTACTGCAGCCTAGTTTCCCCCCAGGAAAGATACATGCTCAGTGGTGTCATAGTTGAAACCTCTCCAGTCTCCACTTTCAGACCTGTAGGGAATTATTTGCTCGCCAATAAATAGGATTACTAGAAAAACCATGCAAGCAAGGTGTTCTTGTATAGATGTGTCTTCAGTGCTGGGAAAATACCCTGGGTAGCCCGGAACAGACCACAGAATCCGGAAACCAAATAGAGGGACATTTATTTAGGCATTGCAAGGCCAGTGTGACACAACCTCAGCCAGCAAGTAGTGAGGCATGGCACACCAACTGCGAAAACAGTACAGTACAGGCATTTATACTCTTACAAGCAAAGGGGCAGGCATGTCCCTATATGGCAGTACTTCATCATCATCATAATAATAATAATTTATTTATACCCTGCCCATCTGGCTGGGTTTCCCGAGCCACTCTACTAGCTTATTGTGGTTTAATCACAAAGCATAGCAACTTTCTTATATTTCATTCCTTCCTTTGTCCTCAACAGTTATAGCAATAGATGCTTTGCACATGTCACTCTGTCCTCGTCTCAGGCTCTCTTGTGCACACAGCCCTCATGTTTCAACCTTCACCTGCTCAGCCCTTCTCACACGCATTTCGATTTTCCTCCTATAATTCCTGTAACTCCCAATAATTATCCAACCAGACCGTAGGCAGGACTGTCTCTTCTGAAGTTTCCAGCAACTGGTATTCAGAAGCATCGCTGCCTCCGACTGTGGAGGTAGAACACGGCCATCAGATTTAGTAGCCACTGAGAGCCTTTTCCTGCATGAATTTAAAGACAAGTTGGTGGGCATCTCATTCCTGGGTTAAATAGACTAAACGCATGGGTGTAGCCAGGATTTCTGTCGCTGGGGAGAAGAGGGGGCAGGATGTCATCATCCTCTTTGTCAGGCTCCGCCTAGCAGATCGGAATGAAATGTCTCAAACAACAGTTGTTTTAGTACTTTCTTTTGAACCCAAGTGCTCAGAAAAAAATCTGTCAAAATCTTCATTCATTTGAAAACTAGGAAATTAAATAAAAAAATTAACATCAGGGAGTGCCTTTCATGCAGTTTACAAATATATTTTGCAAAATTACAAAGAAAACGTCTTTTTCATCTTATTTTTAAAAAAATCTAAACTAAAACAAGTTTTATTGGATTTGCTGAAAAACTTTTTCTGTGTACTTAAGCTTATTATGATAAAAGGGTTAAAGCTCCAAACCTTTTTCCTGGTCTTTAGCAAACTTTCCTTTTACAATTTACCCCTCCCCCCCCCCATAATTATTAATTTAATGGGCACAGTCTAACCGCACAATATTATTTTACACACTGTATAAAGGAACACCATACCAGCTTAGCTGAGAGTTTGGCCCATTGAACAGGGCATTATTCTGAGTAGGCCTCTGTAGGATTTGTGCTGCAAGTATTCTGTAGGAATAAGAAACACTTGGGAAAGTTTTTTTTATGGAGGGATTTAGTGGAGAGAGACAGAGGTCATAGAATCATAGAGTTGGAAGGGACCATGAGGGTCATGTAGTCCAACCCACTGAAATGCTATGTGTGGTTCGATTCGAACCAACGACCTTGAGATTAAGAGTCTCATTACCAACTGAGCTATTTGTCAGATGGAGCGCTGCTTTATGTTTCTGGAAGGAGAGGCAGCCAGTGAAGCTGTGCACAGAACTTTGCTCGGTCAGCAGAAGAGCGTGAGACTCTCAAGGTCGTGGGTTCGTGACCCACGTTGGGCAAAAGATTCCTGTATTGCAGTGGGTTGGTCTAGATGACCCTGGATCCCCTTCCAATTCTATGATTCAAACTGTTCCAAGGAAGGGGCAGGCTGTCTAGGACACGTGTCATTTTGCACGGTGGTGCTAGCGCTGCCCGCTTCGTTCACACGATGCTGTTCGCTGGGCAGAGGTGCCACAAGCGCGCTCCTCGCTCATCTAGCGCCTCGAGGAGGCGGGCACAGCTTTGTCCCCCCCCCCCCCCATCGGCCCGCCCCCTCCGGTCTTCGCCACTTGATATTGCTGGCCGCCCGCCCTCGATTCTCCTTTCTGGGATTTGCTGGCTGCTGAGCTGCGGGAGGCGCCGGATCTGCGCTGCTTTGGCTGGTGAGAGGCGGGAACAGGGCAGTGTGGGGGCGCTGGGCTGCTGAAAGCCGGGGAGGCCGCGGCTCGTTCTCTTCCCCTCTCCTCACTCACTCACTGCCGAGTTGCTGTCTCTTTTGCAAGCGGAGTGCCGGGTTGCGTCAGCGCCTCCCTACCGGGAGCGCGCCGACCAGCCAGGCAGGAGTTCAACAGGTGTAGCTTCGGTTTCCCGCGAAGATTCGGGCGCTATAACTTTTTAGGGCTTCCTCCCGCCGCCTCCTCTGCGCGGGGAGGCGCTCTCTGTCCATGCTCAGACACACACACACACACACACACAAAAAAAAAACCCCGCTTCGTAGAGGCGCCGCGTGACCTCCCCCCTTCCCTGAAAGAAGGTTCCGCATCTGGAGCAGATTGCGCCCTGGTGCCCCGCAGGTGGGAGGGGGTTTGGGTTAGCTTGCGGCGGCCCCCGTAAATATCTGTCTGCAGGGCAGAGGGGTGTGGGACGGCATCGAGCTCGCTCCGGGAGGTTGCATCATCCATCTTTTCCCTATAGTTTAGAGAGTAAGATCCGGTTGTGAGAAAGACCTGAGCACGCTTCTCTCTCTCATTCCACACCTTTTCCTGCCGACATCCTGGCTGGAGTATTCCCTGAGCTGCTGTTGATGTTGGTTCCTACCCCAAGCAGCAGACATCCTCACTGGCGACCAGGGCTGTTTTCCAAATTCACCACCCCTGCCCTGCCCAAAGCAACCCCTGCCCTTTGGAAAGGTGGGCAAGGCAGTTGTAGACAGACATCTGTCCCCGTATCTTCTATGTATGTTTGTGTCTCGCCCTGCAAGAGTGAAGTTCAGATTGGGCGCTTTGGGATGAAAAATCAAATCAGATTCCTGAACATGGCAGAGGCAGCCGCTGTAAGGAGACTTGCCAGGAATTCGGAGAAGGGGAGAACAGTAGCCAAGACAGAGATCGTATCATTCCTGTAGCATTTTCATAACAACTGCCAACCCCTTCTATTGTGTTCACTCCAGATTACTCTGCCTTACTTCGCTTTTTTTGTGAGGGTCTGATTTAACTGATTCTCCTAACTTGCCGAAATGCCTGCCCCCCGCCCCACCCCGCCCCAAAATAATAATGGAACGCTGATATACCAGTCACCCAACTTTCCTGTCCATCAGTCTGATGCTGCCGGTACAATGTTATGTATGCATTTTTCATTGCATTAATTTCATACATGTGCATTTTCTTGTTGGCTATCTTATCTATATCTTGCTTTTACACTTAAAACCAATGTCTAAAGTGCCTCTACAAAGAGAATATTGGGAAGACTCTGCCCGTATGATAGAATCATAGAGTTGGAAGGGACCCTGAGGGTCATCCAGTCCAACTCCCTGCAATGCAAGAATCTCAGCTAAAGCATCCATGACAGGTGGCCACCCAACCTCTGCTTAAAACCTTCAAGGAAGGAGAGCCCACAACCTACCCGAGGGAGACCATTCCACTGTTGAACAGCTCCTAGTGGATCTCGGGGGTGGGGAGAGAATGCAAGCAAGCCCAGTGGTCGTTGGCTTGCCTCTATGGACCCTTCAGTCGTTGGTGCTGGCTTCACAGCCGGACAACACCTTTGTGAGGAACCAACCATGTTGTCATAAAAGAATGGCAGGCTGACACATCCTCTAGAACTCTTCATTGCAAAGAGTAGGAGGGGGCGGCGGTTGAGGAAAAACAAGAAAGCAAAAAACTACAGATTTGGGCGGGGTGTTGATTCAGACTGTCCAGGCCGTGGGAAATTCCTTGTCCAATTTCTGGCTTTCAGCTGCTAAATTAAAAAAGAGTGTGGGTGCGGGAACTGATCTCTGCCTGGAACAGCCCCTGGCACTATTCGGTGCTTCTGGCTGCAGCAGTTGCTTGGCTGAGTCCTGTCTCCGTAGTGCCTAAGCAGAGAAGGCAGTGCCTCCCTTTGCTGCCTCTGCATTGTTGTAGCTCAGTGGGTAGAGCGCAGCGCTGATAATGCCAAGGTTGCAAGTTCAGTTCCCAAATGCATTGCAGGAGGTTGGACTAGATCAGCAAACTTTTTCAGCAGGGGGCTGGTCCACTGTCCCTCAGACCTTGTGGGGGGCTGTATTTTGGGGAAAAATAATGAACGAATTCCTATGCCCCACAAATAACCCAGAGATGCATCTGAAATAAAAGGGCACATTCTACTCATGTAAAAACACTCTGATTCCCCGACTGTCCGCAGGGCGGATTGAGAAGGCGATCGGGCCTTAGTTTGCCTCCCCATGGACTAGATGGTCCTCAGGGTCCCTTCCAGCCAGTGCCGGATTTATGTATAAGCTAAACAAGCAATAGCTTAGGGCCCCACTCTCTTGGAGGCCCCCCCAAAAATAAAAGGGAAAAAAACCTGGATGTACATTTACAAAATTTTAAGTTAGAGCTTAATAATTATTTCACTATTAACATCCTTCTTAACTGTATTTCACTACAGTGGTACTTTGGCTTACCACCATAATCCATTCTGGAGGTCCGTTTGTAAACCAAAACAGGTTGTAACCCAAGGCGCGCTTTTGCCAATGGGGCCTCCAAAAAATTCGTTCATAATCCCCCCCCCCCCCAAAAAGGGTTGTAATCCTAAAAAAGGTTGCAAACTGGAACACACACTTCCAGGTTCGTCGTGTTTGTAATCCAAAACGTATGCAAACCAAGGTACCACTGTATTAATATACTTCTTAATTGTATTTCAGTTCAACAATTACTTTGATAAAATACATACCGTATTTTTTGCTCTATAAGGCTCACTTTTTCCCTCCTAAAAAGTAAGGGGAAATGTGTTCGCGTCTTATGGAGCGAATGCAGGCTGCACAGCTATCACAGAAGCCAGAACAGCAAGAGGGATTGTTGCTTTCACTGCGCAGCAATCCCTCTTGCTGTTCTGGCTTCTGAGATTCAGAATATTTTTTTTCTTGTTTTCCTCCTCCAAAAACTAGGTGCGTCTTGTGGTCTGGTGCGTCTTATAGAGCGAAAAATATGGTATTTTGTTATGTGCAAATGGCTTTAGATACCTATTAGGTCCATAAATTACCATATAGCATATACAGTGGTACCTCTGGTTGTGAACAGGAGCCCTGTTCGCAACCTTAGGGGACGCAACCCGTGTCTGCGGGTTGCGATTTGCCACGTCTGCGCATGCGCGAGCGGCGAAACCCGGAAGTAACCTGTTCCGCAACCTGAAAATATTTAACCTGAAGCAAACATAACAAGAGGTATGACTGTATTCAACACAAAAAACAGTGACAATTTGTTGTTTACAAAGGACAGCTGGACATATAAAGGGCCCCATTACTCCAGTAGCTTAGGGCCTCATCAAACCTAAATCCGGTCCTGATTTCAGCTCTACAATTCTACAGTCCTGTTATTCTAATCCACAGGTAACTCCCAGTATGAAACACGCCCTCTTAAAACTGGTGCAGTTTTATACTGTGGGGAAAAACATTAACAATACTCACTTGAAGGAATATGCCTCCGAGCACCATTGCTTTTATGCAGGTCCTGCTTGTGGGCTTCCTGGGGTATTCTGGTCAGTCATTCAAGAGGAGGAAAGTGCTGGATTTAGAGAGCTGTTGGCCGGATCCAGCAAGCTGCTCTTAGATTCTGGTGAAATCCTGCTTACAGAATGTGCTAAAGGCATGCTCTCCAGCAACTTCTGGACTCCAGCTCCTGCCAGCCCCAGCCAGTGTGGCCAGTGCTCAAGGATGATGGGAGTCATGGTCCAGCACCAACCAAAGGGCAGCACATTTTCCCGTCTCTGCATTGGGGGGTAGCAGCTTCCAAAATCCCTTTGCAAAAAACAATTGCCCCCTTACTGGAGGCAATGCTAATATCTGTGTTCCTCAGATACACTTGGCCTTGCTGTGAAGTAGCAGGCCGGATCCCAATCCTGAGGCTATATTGAGAACAGGATGCATGAACAGGTCAGGGGGCTTCCAGGATGAGGAGTGGCTCAGTGGGGCGTTGGAGTAGGTTTAAAGGGCGCTTGTGGTGCTAGCCTCAGGATCCCATCTCGTCTGTTTATCCTGCTATTGTTACCTGTGGCACTTAAAACTCCTAGGTCTTTTGAAATCAAGGAAGGGTGGGGAAAACCCTTTCATCCCTGTGTTTGAGCATGACTTCTGCTCAAGTTTGCACCCTGGGGGCTACTTCCTGCCTGTGCCTGCCTTAGCTTGGTGACGAAGGAACTGTCTCGCTTGCAGAAGGTCCAGTCTCCAGGCAAAGCGGAGAGAGCGCCTGCTCTGAAACCCCAGAGAGCTGTCACTGCAGATAGCTCCAAGCTAGATGGATTGTGGTCTGACTCTACATAACGCAGCTTCTGATGTTCCTTGGCAGCGTGGTAGTGGGGAGCAGAAGAGGGTCAGTTGGCAAGCAGGGGAAGAGGAACTGTAACTGTACCCAGCATTCCTCAGTCTATTTGTGCCCAGGAATCAGAGTACAGTACAGCAGACCTGCTCCCAGCTGCTTTCTGACTTGCCTTGCTGTTTCTCCTCTTCCTAGAATATATCTGTGGGGAAGAAGTGCTTGATATTAACTGAGCAGCAAGCAGCTTTTGAAAACAGCCAGGTGGGTACTTCCCTTTGCTCCCAATTCAGCTCTGCGAATGTTTCTCCTGTTTGTTCTTATCCCTATTGCATGACTTCCACCGATAATATCGGGATGAGCTGAGCACTTCCTTGGTTGCAGGAGGGGAGTCTGAGCCCGTGTTCACACACACACACACACACACACACACACACACACACACACACACACGCCCTACTCAGTCAAGCAGGAATTTTTGTAAGCCTCTGAATGACACTAAGAACACTTCAGGAAATTGTGTGCAGTCCCAGCCAGGTGTGTGTTTGTGTCTTGGGTGCTTGGAGTGTTAAGTGCACCATCTCCCAGATTTTTTAATAACTTGTGAGATGAAAGAGCCAATTGTACAGATGATGCTCTTCTTCCTTCTAGCAAGGGGACATGGGTGGTTTAGATCTTTTCTTTGGTCCTCTGCTTCAGATCTTTCTTGTGGAGCAGCTGACTTTAAAGCAGACCTCATTAGCACCGCATTATAGATTAGCTCCTGGAGGTTTCAGAGAGTTGGGCAAAGTGCTCTGAAATGCCTCAGAGCTGCGGTTGAGTAAATAGAGCCCTAGTGGGAAGGAATCCCTTCTGGAAATTGCTCCAGTTTGAAGGCTAGTAGACTAATCTCTTCCTGGTTTGGGTTTTTTAACATCTCTATGGTTTCTGCCTTCCTCAACGTGGGGATGATGGGTGGCTTGAATTGCAGCTCCCATCAGCCCCCTGCTAGCCTAGCAAAGAGCCGGGAATTATGGAAGTTATAGTCAACATCTCTGATCTACAGAGCAAATTGAGGGGCGGGGTAATGGGTGAATGCAGTTAATTGCCTTGAGGCACTTCTTGTTTTGTCGTTTACTCGTGTCCGACTCTTCGTGACCCCCTGGACCAGAGCATGCCAGGCACTCCTGTTTTCCACTGCCTCCCACAGTTTGGTCAAACTGAGGCACATACAATCTTTTGAAACACAGTGGTGCATGCTTAAACTTGGTTTTAGTCAAGCCTGAGAGCCAAGGATTTTCTCTCATCCATTCCTTAGGGTCTATAACATACTGTGTGTCATTTATGGCCTTCCTGAGCTGGAGTGTGGATCAGTTAGGTTGCTAAGCCAAGTGGCAAGGAGAATGCACTTTTACGAACATGGGAAACTGCCCTATGTTACTGGTCCATCTAGCTTAGTATTGTCTGTACTGACTGGCAGTGTCTTTCCAAGGCTTCAGGCAGAGGATTTTCTCCTTGCCACACTTGGTGATGCTGGCGGCTGATCCCAGGACCTTTTCCATGCCAAACACATGGCTCTGCCTCTGAGTTGCAGACCTTCCCCAAGGAGGGAAGTTCTGCGAGTGGGAGAAGAAAACCCAGTAACCTCTCTTAATCTCTCTGCAAGAGACATGACACCAGCTAGGACCAGCCAGTGGCATTGCATGACTTGGGACCCACCCAAAGCACATTTGATTCCGTGCCCTGGGTTGCCTCCAAATGTTGTGTAGCCTGTAGCTTAATAAGCCATGCAGAGGGACGTGTGTGTATGTGTGTGTGTGTGAGAGAGAGAGAGAGAGAGAAAGAGAGAGAGAGAGAGAGAGAGAGAGAGAGAGAGAGAGAGAGAGAATCCTTCGCAGGCTTGTCAAGGCAAAGTTAAATGAGTTGAGCAGCTGCAACAGAAGGAAGAGGGCTTGCTTTTCATCTTCAGTGACTGGCTGATGCAGTTGGCTGCCTCTTCCTGCAGCTCCTTGTAACTGTCCAGGACTTTTGCCCTCATCAGTTCACGCTCAGATGACTCTTCCTCTGTGACCATCCCTCACTGAGAAAGAGGCCGCAGTAAAAGTGTAACTGCTCAGTGAATCATTCCTGCCCAAAATGGGAACCGGCGAATTGGCAGGGTGATGCCCCAGTCTGTCACGGGGAGTGTGGCTGTGCCTATCCTACAGGCTATTACTGGGCTGTTCTTTATCTGATGTTTCCGACAGGGCTTCCAGAGCAGCATGAAGGGTCTTGTTTCAGGGTAGGGACTGCTGCTCTCCAGGGAAGAGATTGGCCTGAGGTTCTATACTCAGAGTCTTTGCAGGGTGGAAGCCTAAGGCACCAGGAGTGGGAACCTGGGAGGGTGACTGGAATAAGCGACAATTGGCATATTGAGTGGCCAGCTGCAGTGGGTACAAGCCAAGCACCCCACGGGTTCAGGAGGGCCCCACACACTTTTCTCGGCCTTCCCGCAGTCGCCCATAGACAATGGCAGCAAATCTCTGCTCTCCCCTGCAGTGGCTGCCCACCACTTTTACTGACCCGAAATGCAATGCCTTTGCCTATATAGCTAGGTGATTTCGGCATTGCATGGTGGCCACCATGGAGAAGAGCCAAGCCTGGTTCTTATTCAAAAGTGCATTGCCACTGAAATGCTGCCCAGTGGAGAGCGGCTGGCAGGAGAGTCAGTGGGGTGGGGAGTTATTGCATAGAGGTGGCCATGTTGGGGTGGCAGTTGTAATGGCAGCACTGTGCCAAGGAGCCCCTGAGATCTGGCACCAGCTCTGCAGCAAGGGCTCTTTCAAGGCCTCAGCTCCACTTGAACATGGCCATTTCCAGTGTTGCTCTTCCCACAGGCAGCTCTGCTTGTCCTTCTGAAGGTGTGTGCTGTTTCCTTATTAAGTTACGCCTCATGAACGGCTGCCATCATAAGGAGACCACCTCTCCGTGTCTGCGCCTCCCTGTTGGGACTCACGATGGGAGTAGCAGGTGGTGGAGCTCTTCAGGGGGTCTGGCATTGCTTGGGCTTGGCAATTACGTTTCCCTCTGGAGCAAACAGATTTAATGAAAAGGAGCAAATGGAGGTGGGGAGGGGAAGGGACTGAAAAACAAGCAAACAACCAAGACCTGTTTCTTGCATTTTGCAACTTTCATTAATGCACCTGTGTTATTTTTTTTAATCAACACATCTTTTTATTGCGCAGGACTGAGCTACGGTCGCAAAAGTCCTCTTGATCAGGATAACAAACAAGGAGATCTAAGAGCTCAAAATGCTAATTCCACAATAAACCAACTTTTCAGTTAAGCTTTTAATTTTAACCCATCCTGTCTTCAGGAGATTGTAAGATAATGCATTTGGGAAGAAAACTCTGAAACGAACCATTAATTCTTGGTACCCGCAAGACACCCCTTAACCGATAACACATGAGTCGTGTTTGTTTGCCAAAGTCTAGATTATTGTCTTTGTCTCCATAGCTCATTAAAGTGCAGCTCCCACATTCAGGTGAAAATTGCCAACTATTTCTCCCTCTGTCTCTGTCTCTCTTTAAAGGAATGATGGTTTGTATTTCTGACAGCATCATGCCACTCAGGTGGCTTACCTAGCTCTGGCCTGCTTTTGCCCCCCGAACCTTAAATCCAACATGTAAATACTGGGAAACAACCAATATAAAAGGAAAATAAGAAATGGGAGGACATTTTTATATATTTCATTTATTTCAAAATATTTGGGCAAAATCTTCCCAATGCAGCTTATAGAAGAGCAAAGACATATAGATTGTAATAAAACCACAATCCAAAACTAAAAATAATTGCTATTACATTATTAATAATTTGTCAGGTTTTCCATGAAGGTGTCTGAAAGCGACTTACAAGTAGAAACAAGAAAATTATGAAATATTAAAAATAATTATTAAACATTGTATAAGCATTGGGGCAGTAAAACAGTAGCACTTAAAAACAACACAGGAACACTGCATATTAAAAAGCAGTGTTAGCAGGGAGGAAGTGTTCAGACTCTTGTTTAAAAGTCACTAGAGTCAAACCTTGGTTTCTGAACGCCTTCGTTATCGTGCATTTTGGCTCCCAAACGCCAAAAACCTGGAAGTAAATGTTCCAATTTTCAAACGTTTTTTGGAACCTGAATGTCCGACACGGTTCCGCTTGAGTGCGAGAAGCTCTTGCAGCCAATTGGAAGCCACGCCTCGGTTGTCGAACATTTCGGCAGTCGAACACTCTTCCGGAACGGATTACGTTCAACAACCGAGGTTTGACTGTAACGTAGAAGCCATGCATACTTTGCTAGTGTGAAGGAGAGCCATATGCACCTGTTTCTAGTGGCCACAAGTTTGATGGCAGGCCCCCATGCAGGGCCTTTGAGCTTAATCTTAAGGCCTGAACTGGTGTGAGTATCCAAATAACCTGGTCCCAAACCACTCAAGCCTTTAAAGGTGAACACCAGCACTTTAAAGTGGGCCAAGAATCAGGACATGAACAGCAAGCCAGTGTAATAGGTGTTATGTGCTTTGAATAGGTAGTCCAGTCTTTGTCAGCCTGGTGCCCTCCAGATGTTTTGGACTTCAGGTGTGGCTGGGGCTAACATACTCTCCAACATTTCTCTGATGAAAATCAGGACATCCTATTCAACAACGGTTGTTGTTGTTGTTGTTGTTGTTATACCTCGCCCATCTGACTGGGTTTCCCCAACCACTCTGGGAGGCTTCGAACACATATAACAACATTAAACATTAAACATTAAAAAAACCTTCCCTACACAGGTCTGCCTTCAGATGTCTTCTAAAAGTTGTATAGTTACTTATCTATCTCCTTGGCTTGGGAGGTGCATAATTGAGCCATACCCTCCAACATTTCTCCGATGGAAATAGGGACGTCCTAAGGAAAAGCAAGACATTCAAATGAGAAACCAGGACAGCTTCTGTAAATCCAGGACTGTCCCTGAAAAATAGGGACACCTGGAGAGTCTGGGCCAAGGAGAGTTATAGTCCTAGTTGTGGTTCTGTTGTGGCCCAACAAGCATCTGAGCAGCTGTATTTTGCACAAGATAGATTTAAAGAGCATCTGTCCAAGGCAGACGTGAATAGAATGTGTTGTGGTCATCTAGTGTGTGTGTAATGATGCAAGGACCACTTCCTCCAAATAGCTTTCTGTAATTCTAGAGAGCCGCCAGCAAAGGCTTTGCTTAAGGAATGGGTCTGGTATCCAATCTGTATGTTTCATATAGCTTTGTGAAGAACCCAGAATTTGAATGGCATATTGTGTTTGTGTAGCTGGCAGCTTTGCTTTTTGGCTGCAGAACTGAATCAAGCTTGTTCTCTGGAGCATGGCTCCCTATTTGTAGCCCAGTGAAAAGATCTAAGTTGGTATGGAGATTTTGGCAACCCTGTTTCTAGGCTGCCCTGTGCATGGGCATGGGCTTGCAGGGTGGAGTGCTGTGCTGTCACCACCACCCAAATTAAAAAATCAAAATCCCTGAACATAGAAAAGTAGGATATAAGGGGATTTCTTCAAATATGGAAGGATCTGCCAGCAATCTAAAGTGATAATAGTGCAGAAATAGATTTAGACCAACAGAGCAGCCTAACATTAGCCAGAGAGTGAGCACCTGATGCCAACAGGGAAAGGGAGGCACAGCTTCTGGCTCCTGCCAGTCACAGCCTTTTCTTGCTTTCTTACCCCAGGCTTCCTTTTCTTCGGCAGTAACCTAGGTTACGCTAGTTTTCAGCTGGAGCTGGGGCCAGGCAACCATGACCTTCTCTGATGCTTCCTTCTGCTCAAGTAAAATTATTATCTATTAATAGGATCAGATGAGCATTGAAAGGCACAATTAACTTCCTTGCTCTGGCAGTGAAATGTGAGTTCAGTTGCTCTTCCGAGGAGGAAGCGTTTAATTATGTGTTTTGCCAACCCAACTGCCAACCTCGTAGATAAGCTAGGGCACTTCCGGGCACTGATTGCAGAGGGACAGCATTTTGCTTTGGCACCTTTTCTTGTTCTGCTCTGTCAATTCCATCCCTTCAACCAGAACTTGTATGATCACAGAAGCTGCAGTGGTGCCTTGATGTGAGCAAGGCTTCTCTAGGTAAGAGGCTGGTAGTTTAATGTTTTCAAAGTGGTGGGAAGTTATGAGGCAAAGCTCCTGGGTTTACTTCTCCTTTGGATGGGAGAGCACTGTGAGTTGTCTTGGATCCAACATCCACCATGCATCGATGAAATCTTATATAATCAAAACCCATTGAAAAAGCCTGAAAACACCCTGTTCCACCCCCGTTCTGCCTTTTTAGAGATTTTTCAGTGATGTTTTTATGATGTCTCCAGGTCACTTTGGGGTTCAGTGCGATGCACATATACACAGTCGCACACATATTGCATGCGCGTAAACTGGGGGCTGTGTTGGGAAACTGTGTACGTGCAGCTACTCACACATAGTCAATTAAGGTTTGGCAGACAGCCAGAAGGCAATCTGAAGGAGTAGGTCTGCCTGGTGATAACAGAGGCATGGAGACAGCTCCCTGACTGGTCAAGCTCTCTCAAGGGAGTGATAATTAATGACCTACTAACTGGTAGTTCAGTGGTTCAGTGTGTCAGTGAGTGTAGGAGTTGTGAGTCGTGTCAGAGAGAGCTAGCAAAAGATCCGTGTTCTGTTCCTGTAAATAGTCCATTGTATATAATAAACACCTAACTACAAGTTGCTGGTTCCTGCTTCGTCTATCCTGTCTGCAGCCAAGTCGCCAATTGCTTCCGTGGATTCTGCATGTATTCTGCTAAGGTCCTGCAACTAGTTGGAAAGTTGTGAAACACCAAATAGGTTTTGCCAATAGGCTGCCTGTATGCTATTTGTATAAATGTTAAATGTTGTTAAAGATAGCTTATTAACTTTGCTCCACTAAACATGATTTGGTTTTCCCCACAGCATTGCAGTTTGCATTGAATTGCAATTTGCAAAGGTGGTGATTAAAAAATAATAATTCACCAGTGAATGAAATGAAGATGATGGTGCTGAAATATGGTCACAAAATATGACTTAAAGATGCTGCACTTTGAAACTAAGTGTTGCGGGCAGAAATTTCTAAGCAGGTGGAGCATTCTGCAGATGGAATGATTTCCTGTTGCCGCTTTTCACGAGTGGCACTACTTCTTAAGGACTCTTTTATTCCATCTTTTCCCTTTTCTGACTCTCTTCTTCACAGCCCTTTCTTTCATCCTCATTTTCATTTGGTCTCGTTCTCTGGATGGTGACTTGGCCCAGCTCTGTGGTACTGCTTTGCAACAAGGACCAGGTTGAACCTGGAGAACCTGCCCCTTGAGATTCTCCTCCAACTGAGTCCTTTCCACCCCAGCTTGCTGTGGGCAGGTGGGGAGATAAATGGCAACCCACCCTGTCTTCTGTAGCAAGCCCATTCAGGTTAAAGTGAGCAGGCTGCTGCATCTCTCCAAGGTTTGCTGCTAACTCTTAATACGCTTGTTCTTTATAATCCTTTGTTTTATAGGGAAGGGCCCCCTAATGATCCATAGTGGACTCTCTGGCACACTTCCCCCTGTCCCAAGTATCCACAAGGCACAACCACTGAATTAGAAACACCATGAATTAGAGACATCTCTCCATATGAACTGACCCAAACCTTGCACTTGTCATCTGAGGCACTTCTGTATGTCCCTGAGAGGTTCGGAGAGAACACAAGAACAGGCCTTCTCTGCAGTGGCTCCCTGACTGGGGAATGCTCTTCCCAGAGAGGCTCGCCTGGCACCATCATTACATGTCTTTAGATGGCAGGTGAAAATGTTCCTCTTTACCCAAGCCTAGGCTATTAAATAACTTATGGCCTCTTAAATGTTGGGGGGCGGGGAAGGAGATTGTTAGTATGACTATTTTATTATTATGCTTTGCATTATGTAATTATTATGCTCTGTAAAATGATGATGTACAGCACCCTGGGAGCTTTTGATAAAGGTTGGTATATAAATTGAATAAATAAAAATAATAGAATAATAGGATTGAATAGTTGCAAGGTACCTCCAAGGGTCATCCAGTCCAACCCCCTGCAATGCAAGAATCTCCACTAAAGCACCCATGACAGAGGGCCATCCAGCTGCTTAAAAACCTCCAAGGAAGGAGAGTCCACAACTTCCCGAGGGAGTCTGTTGCACTGTTGAACAGATCTTGCTGTCAGAGACAGTAGCTTGCTGCTCCTCAGCAGTCTTCTGTGGCCTTCTGCTCTCCTTCCACGCCCACCAAACTCCATACCCAGCCAGTGAGTTTTGCATTATCAACTGCTTTTTCTCAATCAAACTAAAAGGCTTCCTTAAATAAAACAAAATCCACCCCCATGTTTATTTAATATTAAAACAAATCCTAAAAAATAAGTAGGAACACTAAAAGGTTTCCTAAGCAGCTTAGCCAGCCTGTTCCCACATCTCTACTGAGGAATATGCTGCTAGGCAGTTTTGTCTGGTAGTTGTCCAGCCATCTCATGTCAGCTCCTGCTTGGATCCCCTCCCCCCCGTCAAGCAGAGCTTCCCATCCTTCATGACGGCAGCAAGTAGTGGCCTCCGGTCCTGGCTGACCAGCACTGGACTGTTTCTAGGGTAGTAGGATTCCTAGACCGGAGCACAGCAGGCAAGTTTGCTTTTGTCTTTCTAGAAATGGTGCCATGATCACGGCAGCCTGGAACTGCTGAGTGTGTGTGAAGTCAAACGGTTACATAAAGAAAAACAAACCAAAGCTGCTGGCTTTTGTAAGCTGTGTGCACTTGACTTTCTCCTGTTGCACTGGAGTGTGTGATTCTGGAGGTTTATGCTAGGCTTGGTTGTAGGGATATGGGAGGACGAAGCTGTCCTGGTGTGTTTGTCCAGGGGTTCTCCCCCTCCCCATGCACAGGCTGAAAAGGCACTTTGGTTTGTGGGAAGAAGCGGTCGCTGGTAGCCAGGGGGCAAAATCTTAATACTTCCACCTGCTGAGATCATTTCTGGGCACTGTTCCCACAACAGACCCAGGCTTGAAAAATATGTTTCCTCACATAACTTTTTCCATTTTTATTCCGCTCTGATGGAAATGGAAGTTTGCGTTCCTTTGGCTGATGGCGAACATCCATCAAGGTGACACTTCCCCTCCTGTTTGTCAGGAGCCAGGAGGGTGACGCAAAGGACCAAAGCAATGTTATTGCAACTCCCACGCTAACAAGATGCTTCCTTAACATTTCGGCTTCAAAGGGTAAACTCTGGGTTCCATCAAAAGAACCCTGCAGTCCCCAATGGTGCTGTCTGTGGCCATGATCCGGATGTTAAGGAACTCAACAGGGAATTGTTAACCCACCAAGGGTTCATAGCAGACAGTTACACATATATCCTCATGGCCAGCTCCTCTTCCTGCTGCTCATTTGCTGGGTCAATGTTTGTTTGTTTGCTTAAAACAATTTTCACTGGTTTTTAAAATAAATACTAGAACCATTAAACACTTATGCACCAGTACATCTAATGGTGTTTGTTCCATCTATTGACTTTAGACATAAGCTTCCATATTCAATAATAGTCAAACGTATTACGTAACATAACCTCTCCACTGAGAAGATTCAGCGGTTAGTATAACAAGGTCTTGATTTGGGTTGGGTCTTGTTTGCAGCTAGATCCCCTCTGTTCTTCTGAGTAGACCATTCCTCATGAGGGGACCTCTGGCGACAGAGCCATCTGGCAGCTTCTATGGAGGCTCCAGCATTCCAGAGGAGAAAGGAGTTGTGGGCTTCCCATAGGCATCTGGTTGACCTTTCTGAAAATGGGATGCTGGAATAGATGGCCCACTGGGCAGATCCAGCAGCCAGGCCCTTCAACCAAGTCCACTGTAGCCTTTACTCCTGAGGCCTGGGGGGCAAATCACATCAAGGCAGGGCTTGGGATGTGGTCAGAGAGATTACTAGGAGGCCGAAGTGAAGCATCCATGTTGTGGGTTCCTTCACACCCACAGCTGTACTAGAAGGGGCCCCAATCCTCTTCTTCTGAAAAGATGCTCCTGGGTTCTGGGATGTTAGCTGGCCAACTGCAGAGGGCATCTCTTTGTTGATCTTCTCTTTGTACCTTCTGCATGCCAGTTTCCTTCCACTGATGTAAAAAACTATCTCTGGGTTGGGAAACATTTTGCACATTTTCTGTGCAAAAGGAGCAGGAAAGGGAAGGAAATAAACCAGAGATAGATCCAAAAATATTAGTACTGGCTTCCCTGTTGCCAATACAGTGGTGCCCCGCAAGACGAATGCCTCGCAAGACGAAAAACCCGCTAGACGAAAGGGTTTTCCGTTTTTCGATGCGCTTCGCAGGACGAATTTCCCTATGGGCTTGCTTCGCAAAACGAAAAAGTCTTTCGAGTCTTGTGATTTTTTTTCGCTCCCCCCCCCCTTTTTCTAAGCCACTAATAGCCTTTTAGCCGCTAAGCCGCTAAGCCTTTAATAGCCGCTAAACCGCTAATAGCGCTAATCCACTAAGCCGCTAATAGGGTTGCTTCGCAAGACGAAAAAACCGCTAGACGAAGAGACTCGCGGAACGGATTAATTTCGTCTTGCGAGGCACCACTGTATCTTTTTCATAGCTGGTTTTTGGCTGTTGTTGCGCCTGTGATTCCTTCTGCCAACCACAGAACTGTTAATGGCACAGGACTTTCCTTTTAGTTACATGTTGCCAAATCCTGGTTTTTCTACGCTTTCACTTGTGGGTTCTCCAGGATGCTCATAAATAGCGCTTTTCCCTGTTAGCAAACAAAGCAGATGGTCTGATAGCAGATGGAGATGGTCATTAGTCTTCATAGATCAGTGCTACAGAAAGAGGAAACGAGAGGGCCTCTGCTTTGCTCTGTCTCCCGACAGTGCAATCAGTCAGCTTGATAGACAGGCTGGGTAGATGGCATCTTTATTGATTCCTTGAGGCAGCACAGATGATGGAAATTCTGCAGTTGGCTGGTTATATACAACAAGCAGGGGACCTGCAACAAAAGGTCAGAGCAGGTTAAATGTCAGCATGGTTAGGCATCTGCTAGACTGGAGGCTCACATCCCAGCACGGGGTCCACTGGCAAGAGCACCCTGGACCTGCTGCAGTGTGTAGGTAAACTCAATTGAGGGAGGGGTGTCAAGGGTGTCTTGCCTAAAGGGTCTCCAAAATCCAGAGCTGGCACTATGTTCAAGCAAGCCAGTTCCATTTCTCCCTTCACACTCCTACTTTTCCTATTCTTAATTTGCAACTGATACGCAGTGTTCTAACAGCTCCTGGAAGCCACACTGTACATGCTTCATTCTCATTGGGCTCTTTCAGGTGTTGTAGAGAGTTGACCCTTTTGTTTCCCAGTGTTGTACCTCTATATACCTTGAGGCTTGCTGACCTACCTCTTTCTTCTCCTGTTGATACTCAGCCTATTGAGTTTTGCAGGATGGGTTCTAATAGGTAGGAGAGGATGTATTACCATAATTACAATATATCCCTCCAGGCACCCACGTGTGTGGGTTGAATGGAGTTTTGAAATCCCACCATTGGCAGCAAAATTAAAAGCATAGGAATTAGGCTATAAAACCTTGCTTTGAGCAAGTCCAACTAACGAAGTAAGCTGGCTTCCCCTTCTTATCCCGCTTAACAAAGAATCAAAACAGTAAGTAAGTTGAAGATATTTTTTACTTCCTTAAAGGTCTTGCCCTTGTTTTCAGCAAACAGCAGGCAAAAATAATTTTAGGTTAGAAAATGCATAGTTGAATTCTAAAACACAGTCTACACTCAGGGAGACATCCATCTCCACTGAAGACATGGTGAAGGAGATATCCATCTTTCCATCAAAGAGAGAGTTACTGACAGGAAGGAGAAGGTTTTTTATTTCTCATTTCTTCCTGCCACTGGAAGCAGGGGAAATGACACCACACAGAGCTCTCTCTCCACTAAATGCATTCCTGTGGTTTGAGTCTGCCTATCTATAAATTTATAGCTCTGTGGTCATTAGCCCCTAGACTTACTAATTAACAAGAACAGGGGTGCCAACTTGAATAAAATATTGGGGGGAAGGTAAGCCCCGCCCCACATAATCCATCACAAGATGTGGCGCATCAACTTAGGGGGGGGGCAACCTCCTCCAATATTTTATTGGGGAGGGTACTTAAAGGACCCTAGGAGCTGGCTCCCACGAACAAGAATATGCATTGTTAGTTTTTTGTTTTGTTTATACTGCAAATCTCCCACAAGTTTGCTGTTAGAAGGATTACAGGGAGATGTTTCTCCTGCTATAAAGGTAGTTATTTGGGACTGAAGCAGTTGGTGTATATACATACTTGGATGTTCCTACAAATGTTAAGACTGTGCACCCCTTGCTTGGTAGCCTGTGATAGGTAAGAATTGCTGTTGGGCAAGCAGGCAGGGAAGCCTTTGAAGAGGAGCACAGTTTGGATCTTTACAGCAAATCAACTTTGGTGTGCTGCATTTCCATGGCAGAAACACTGGGAAATAGAATGGAAATGCTTTGTGGGAATGGAGTGAGTTGAGAATTGGGGGTTTCACTTGTGCTGGTACTAAGAGCGGGCAGTGTGGATGTCATTAGCCCAGCCTTGTAAAAATAACCACTCTTCTGTTTGCCTGCGATGAGACTGTTATGATTTGTCTGAGCCTAGTGCAAACTTTTCACAAAGAGCAGAAATGAAATCCTTTTTATCTTTTGAAAAACAGACAAGGAAAACCTAGTTTGTGTTGAGCAAGCAGAAGATTGGCTGGTATCCTTCAATTTCTTCTGGGTCTCTTTGTTTTGGATTCCTGGGGTGGCTGGTGGGAATTGTAATATGGAGGGTGCCCCAGAGCTTTAATTCAAGTTCTCTGTCTGTCTGTCCTAGAGAAGCATCTGATACAGAAACTCCCTGTTCAGAATGCTGCTGGTGTTTTTAGTTCCGTACACTGTTTCTGATTTGGTTACATCAATTCTGGGAAGACCAGGAAGTGCCACATAGGACATATGGGCTGATTGATTGGTTATTTAATTTCTTATTCCACTTAATATGTTAAAAACATTTCTAAGCGGTGTACAGAAAACTGAAGCAACAGCAGACAACTTAAACAAAATATTACAAAAATGCACAGGTAGATATAAAAATGTTACATTAATTAATACGAAGTTAGAAGTACTTATATATATGTCACTATTATTTCATTGATATTGCTTACATTAATTTATTCAATTACATCAGGATCAATGAATTTATTTTTGTCAGTGACAGCCAACACCTTTTCTTCTTTTTCACTCTTACTAAATTTGCCATCAATCAATCAATCAATCAAGCCATAAGCATTATCTACAACTTCATTCCTTGCCTCCATGGGATCACTGGCTTAGCCCAAGCTCCATTGACATGGAGCTATTTCCCCCTCTGTGCTTGGTTAGGTGGGATTGAAACCACCTTGTGATTTCAGTACTTGTCAAGTTGCCTTCATTTATTTGTGAAATCTTGAGAGCACTTTTTTAAAAAAAATTGCTGTCTTTTGCATCTACACAGGACTTTTAACAGCAGATTCAGGAATGTGGGGTGCAAGTTTTGTCCTGTGCATCATGTGCCAGACTTAACGCTGACCCCAAGGTCTCATTCCGCCTGGCCCATAGCTGGATGTTCTGGACTAAAGTTTGTTATGTTGTCTGTTAACCAAAGTTGGTTTAAACTTTAGTTAATAGCTGAAGATATCTTCCTGCCTTTTTATCTTGTGTAAACACTATTAATCCCAAGAGCTGCCTTTTGCTAACCTTCATGGACACCTGCAGGGTATGTGGATTTAATGTGTAACCACCATCCCTTTGGCTTCTAAGCTAGCCTCTGGCATTTCCAACAGCAACATTTACCTTAAATACTCTGGGTTGAGACCCAATGGGGTTGCATCCAATGCTAGTCCTACTTGGAGTAGACCCATATAAATTAAAAGCACAAATAACGTTGGCCCGTTCATTCCAGTGAGTCTACTCATGAATAGAACTTGGTTGACCACAACCATTGCCTGTCTGTATACCCTCTTGAGTATAGGTTCTATGACATTGTCGTGTGTGAGCTTAGGGTCCTCCCCCCCTCCCCCGATTGCCATAATGTCACTCAACAAAACAGATGCCTGGATAGGAGGCAATTTGTATCCCCATCAGGGCACTGGCTTCTGCCCAATCCAGTCCTATGCCTAATTTAATCCCTCCCCACTTTTAACGCTAATGCCAAAATCACTAGGGTCTTGGAGGGCTGGATCATGCCCCTGAACTGAGAGTTAGCCACTGCTGCCCTAGACTTAAAAGCTACAGTCTAACCTAAGGTAAAGGCAAAGGGACCCCTGACCCTTAGGTCCAGTCGCGGATGACTCTGGGGTTGCAGCGCTCATCTCGCTTTATTGGCCGAGGGAGCCAGCATACAGCTTCCGGGTCATGTGGCCAGCATGACTAAGCCGCTCCTGGTGAACCAGAGCAACGCATGGAAATGCCGTTTACCTTCCCACCGGAACGGTACCTATTTATCTACTTGCACTTTGACATGCTTTCGAACTGCTAGGGTGGCAGGAGCAGGGACTGAGCAATGGGAGCTCACCCCGTCGGGGGGGGGGGGGATTCGAACCGCCTACCTTCTGATCGGCAAGCCCTAGGCTCTGTGGTTTAACCCACAGCGCCACCTGCGTCCCACACAGTCTAACCTACTTGATTTGAAAAAGGGCCAGTGAAAATTCCTCAACTGTCCTTGGGTTACAGGTTACTTAGATTCTGGGGATCCGGGATGAACATTGTGCTTTGGAACTGGCACTCCCTGATTGCTTGCTTCTGCCCCTCATAACAATTTTTATTTTATTTCAGTAACAATTCCTGCCTTACTTGCAGCTTATGAATAAATAAACACTGCCTTAAAACAAACATAGGTTGGCTTTAAAAAATGCTCAAGGTGCTGGCCCTGAATGGCTGAACTTGACCACAAAGGGAAGGAGGAGTGGAACACCATTATGGGGTTCTGCTGGGGAACAAGGAATTGCCTGATTCCAAGTGGTATAGGGCTCCAGCTTCCTCAGCCACATTTTTGCATTACCACTGGCATGGTTCTGTTACATCTTAAAATCCTTACCCACATTCTTGCTGGCACACACCCCATATTGCTGGCTCTAACACTGCAACATTCTCTTCTCTTAGATCCTTGGGAAGCATTGGACATTTTACACAATTGTCCAGAATGCTAGAGAAAACCATGGCAAGCTTCGGCAAGAAGCTGATCCGGCAGCGCACAGTGGACCTCAGCTCTGATGAGACCCAGTTAGCTCGTTGCCTCTCCACCCTGGACCTGATAGCTCTTGGTGTGGGCAGCACCCTTGGGGCTGGTGTCTACGTTTTGTCCGGGGAGGTGGCCGTGGACGACGCAGGCCCTTCCATCGTGCTCTGCTTCTTCATAGCGGCTGTCTCATCAGTGCTAGCTGGCCTGTGCTACGCAGAGTTTGGAGCCCGAGTGCCCAAGGCTGGCTCTGCCTACCTCTACAGCTATGTCACAGTTGGGGAGATCTGGGCCTTCACCACAGGATGGAACCTCATTCTCTCCTATATGATAGGTATGTGCCGTTCGGCTCAGAGTCAAGGAGGTGACTTTGAATGAGCAGACAAGAATGATTTCACCCTGAGATCAGGTGCAAAGAAACAGGTTTGCCTGCAGCAATGCATCAAAGAAGCACCCTTCTCAGCGCCCAAACCCCTCAGGAGTAGGGGGCCACCTAGACTTACATTACTCATTACTTACAGATTCAAATAGCATAACAGTTCAGTCACGGTTGAGAAATAATTTTATGCATAGTTTATTTAAAATATTTGGGGGGCCGTTTCCCCCCGACTGAACTATATCCAAAAGAATTTTACTAAAAATTACTAAAATATAGAGAGGAGGGATACAGTTCAGAAGGAATTAATATCAAAACAGCAGCACAGAACTAAAACTACTAAGCAGCCAGGAGGTTTAATTTGCCTCCTTAATGATGTTGTGGCTCCTTTACTACTCAGAGAGGGGTGATTCTCAAATGAAGCTTCAATGGGAAAAAAAGCCTCTGTCCGGTCACTACCCATCTAACCTTACCTAATAGAGACACCTGGTAGAGAACCTTCTCAGTAGGCATTGCTTCCTGGCCAACAGTTACTATCAGCAGCCTCCTGAACCAACTTAACTTTCCAAGTAGTCTTCAAAGGCAGCCCTGCAATACAGTGTATTGTAGTAGTCTAATCTGAAGTTTACCAAACAAGAATAACAGTGGCCAGGCTATCTCTATCCAGAGAGGACAAGTAGCATTTTGCTTTCTTCTGGAACAAGTGGCTCATCTTGATGTTGTGAGTTGTTCTCCCATATTCATCTTGGGCATCTCTCTGTGGTGTGCTGAGGCCCATTCACTCTGTATGTGGCTGGAAGCGGCTGAGGTTGTATTTGTTAATGAAGGGCTCTCCTTTTGGTTTCCAGGGACAGCAAGCGTCGCTCGTGCCTGGAGCTCAACCTTTGACAACATCATTGGCGGCCACATCTCTAATTTCTTCCACAATCATACTGCCCTGCATGTGGAGAATGTGCTGGCTAAATATCCTGACTTCTTTGCTCTCTTTCTGGTTTTGCTGCTTACAGGTGAGGCAATCTCTGCAGCGGTAAGGACCTTCTTCCTTGGCAATAATCATAGACTTGTAGAGTTGAGGGGGCATGAGGACCATCTAGCTCAACCCTCTGCAATGTGGGAATCTAAACTAGATCATACATGACAGATGGCCATCCAACCTCGACTGATTACAAACTTCTAAGGAAGGAGAGTCCACCACCTCCCAAGGGAGTCTGTTACACTGTTGAACAGCTCTCGCTGTCAGGAAGTTCTTCCTGATGTTTAGTCGGAATCTCTTTTCTTGTAACTTGAAGCCATTGGTTCAAGTGCTATCCACCAGAGCAGGGGAATACAAACTTGCTCCATCTTCCAGGTGACAGCCCCCCTCCTCAAGTAGCTTACTTGTCTAACCTCCACAGAAGAATGAAAGAGGGAGAGAGCCTCAACAGATCTTAAATCAATGCAGAGGTGGAATCAGGGTTCTCCTGAAATATGCCAGTGACAGACTGTTTATGGAGCACTGTAGTTCAGAGCCCCATGAATAGGTTCTTCTGCTCTAGAACGTGTTGTGAAGGTGATCATAATCGTTAACCCAGCAAGCCTGGAGGCCTGCTCCCAAGAGACTTGGCATAAATCTGTGCCCCCATCTCTCACTCTCTTTCAGGTTTGCTGTCGTTTGGTGTAAGTGAATCTGCCCTGGTGAACAAAATCTTCACAGCTATCAACTTACTGGTCCTGAGCTTTGTCATCATTGCTGGCTTTGTGAAGGGAGATGTCAAGAACTGGACCTTATCCAAGGAAGATTATCAGAACCACACATGGAAACACGAGGCTGGAAGCAGGTAAGGGCCCTTCTCCCCGTGCATAACATCTGCCTGACCTTCTCCCCAAGCTTCTGTTAAGTTTAGGACGGGAGGCAGCAGACTGTCCTGCTCTGTGGAGAATAGTATCTGGGTGCAGGTGGCCACCCACTCACTGCTCCCAGTTTTTATTATGGTGCTGTGCAGCACATGGTTTTAGGGCAATGTGACTGGTTTCCCCTCTCTGGGCACTGAGCAGGCACCAAGCAGAGAGGGCATCCAGTAAGCACTTGTCCCCACTATAGGAAGGAGGCCTGAGGACTCTGACAGGGTCCTAGAGTCTTCTTCCTCCTTCCCTTAGCCTAGTTAGTGCTTTTTCCAGCTTTAGGAAGGAGGTAGGAAGGCTTTAGGACCCTGTCAAAGCCCTTGCACATTCTTCCTAAAACCCGACAGTGCAACAGTGGGGGCACCAAATTTTGGCCTAGCTCAGGGCACCATAGTACCAAAGTCCATCCCTGGCTAAAGCAGGGGTGAAGAGGAAAGGAAGTAGCAGCAGAGAGGAGCCAGTTTGGAGAGGCCCTCATGGTTCATGGATCAGCTGTTCTAGGGGGAGATTTAATTCATCAAGTATACATATTCCTGAGTGGCCCATCAGGAGGTTGTTCTCCTACGTTTTGGCTTCCTTGAATGTTGCTGAAGCACATCTTTCTTTCTCTTGCAGCATCGGGCGCTTTGGCAGTGGTGGCTTCTTTCCCTTTGGCTTCGAGGGGGTCCTCTCTGGGGCTGCCACGTGCTTCTATGCCTTTGTTGGATTTGACTGCATTGCAACCACAGGTAGAGTATCTGCATTTGAGGGGTGTGGCGAATAGGTGAGAAATTCCCTTCTGTATTTCCACATACCCTGGAGGTGTGTATTTCCACATACCACAGGCAGGTGTGCAATCAAGAGAGAGGGAAATGCCACGCTCAGCAACTGGGAGTGAGCTGCGTGCATCAACAGGGCCCTCTGGCATCTCTGCTCTTCTCCCAGGGCAAGGCTGAGCTGCTGTTCCGTACTGTGCTTTCAGCAGGAAGTTTCTGCTTGTGATCTGGGGAAATAAGTCATTAGCAATGCAACTCCCTGCAGCAGTGCAGTGCCTCACCTGGAAGTTCCCAAGACCCACTTCATATGAAATAGTTCTCCTGCCTAGAGATGTTCTTTGCCTGAGTAGTAGATTTGCAGGGCAAGTAAACAACCCCTGCACTGTGCAGATTCACATATTTGAAGTAATGTGGTGTGGTGTGAATTATGTGTGCAGGGTGGGGTCCAAGGCTGTGCCTGTCTTGGGTATAGTAAATGAGAGAGGAATTTGCTGGAATCTCATCTGAGTTGTTCTGTTCAGTCTGCATTTTAATGTGAGCCTCATTCAAACAAGTTACATAAATCAAGACACAGCTGCCTTTTCTGAATTTTGGTGGCAAAATTCTCCAGCAAAAAAAAGGGGGGGAGTGCATATTAAGAGGAATTGCAGAGATGCAGTCATCAGGGCAAAACTGTGCACACAAAAAACATATATATGGAGACAAACGCGCATGAGAAATTTCGTGGTGACTTTAAGAAACAAGCACAAAATAATGTGGAAATGGGACAAACTGACTTTAAGATTAAGAGGTGCGAGAAACTGAAGTTGATAGTTTTCTTCTGTCTCGACCCCTTTCTCCAGGTGAGGAAGCGCGGAACCCTCAGCGCGCCATGCCCATCGGCATCATTGCCTCACTCCTGATCTGCTTTGTGGCTTACTTTGGGGTTTCTGCTTCCTTGACCTTGATGGTGCCTTACTACTTGGTGAACAAGGAGAGCCCCCTGCCTGATGCCTTCAAGGCTGTGGGGTGGGAGCCAGCCCGCTACGTGGTAGCTATTGGCTCACTCTGTGCCCTCTCCACCAGGTAAGGGGTAAGGAAAAGCAGCATGCAGTGAATTTTCTACTGCTGTTACATAGGAAACGTGAAGAGCTGTGTTAGCTCCAGTGTCTGATCCTCATAGTATTGCATATGTGGACCCAGTATTATTATTATTATTATTATTATTATTATTATTATTATTATTTTATTTTATTATATTATTAATGAATTAATTACATTTGTACACTGCCCTTCATTCATAGATCTCAGGGCAGTTCATGACATAAAAATACATAATAGAAATAAGAATGAAGAATCCCTGCTCCCACAACACATTTTAAAAGGGCATCAGATGTCAATCAGCCAAAGCCCTGGTTAAAGAGGAACGTTTTCGCCTGGCTCTTAAAGGTGTATAATGAAGGCGCCAGCTGGACCTCCCTGAGGAGAGCATTCCACAAATGGGTTGCCACTGCAGAAAAGGCCCGTTCTTGAGTTGCCACCCCTGGACCTCTTGTGGAAGAGGCACACGAGGAAAGGCATCAACTGATCTTCTCAGGGTCTGGGTTGGTTTGTAACAAGAGAGGCGGTCCTTGAGGTATTGCGGGTCTGAGTCATTTAAGACTTTCTAGGTCAAAACTTGAATTGGGCCCAGAAGCTAATTGGCAGCCAGTGCAGTTGGGCCAGGATCAGCATAATATACTCAAATCATCTTGACCTGGTGAGCAATCCTGGCTGCCAAATTCTGCACCAGCTGAATTTCCAAACCATCTTCAGATGCAGCTCTGCATACAATGCGTTTCAGTAATCTAACTTAGAGGTAACCGGAGCACAGACAACAGAAATTAGGTTCTCCTTGTCCAGATAGGGGTGTAGCTGGGCCACTAGCTGAAGCTGATGGAAGGCATTCAACGCCACCTGAGCCTCAAAGGACAGCAATGGGTCCGGAAGCACCCCACAAGCTGTGTAACTACTCCTTAAAAAGAAATGTAACCCCATCAAGAGCAGGCAGCATCCCAGCCATCTGGTCTAGGGAACTACAGTGGTGCCCCGCAAGACGAATGCCTCGCAAGACAAAAAACTCGCTAGACGAAAGAGTTTTCCGTTTTTTGAGTCGTTCCACAAGACGAATTTCCCTATGGGCTTGTTTCGCAAGACGAAACGTCTTGCGAGTTTGTTTCCTTTTTCTTAAAGTCGCTAAGCCGCTAAGCCGTTAATAGCTGCTAAGCCGTTAATAGCCGCTAAGCCGCTAATAGCCGTGCTGCGCAAGACGAAAAAACCGCAAGACGAAGAGACTCGCGGAATGGATTAATTTCGTCTTGCGAGGCACCACTGTATCCACTAACAGTATCTCAGTCATATCTGGATTGAGCTTCAGTTTATTGGCTATCATCCAGTCCGTTATCAAGGCAAGACAATGGGTCCAGCACTTCCACTGCCTTACCTGCAAATAATAGCCTTTGCCAGCCCTACCTGAAGAGCCCAGGGACTGAACCCAGGACCTTCTTCATGCAAATTGTGTACTCTGTGGCATCCCCATTCCCTTCATCTGCCACAGTTTTCCTCTTAGTTTAGTTGGTTTCAGCATTTAAATCCTACAATCCTACTGTTGGAAGAGTAACTAACAAACAGAAGCTTGCCCAGTGGAGAAAATGCCAAAGAGCTGTAATCTATAAAACAAATAAAAAAGCAGATAAGATAAATCAAATCATCAGCCATACTTTAAAAGACCAGCAGGCAACACAAGGAGTCAAAAGGCTATTAAATGCCATTAAAGGCTCAAGTGAAGTGGGCGCACTTTGCCTAGTACCTTCAAGGGTCGTACCAAAGTGTGAGGCAAACATGTCTCAGGATAGAGTTCCCTGAGCATGGATGCAACTACAGAGAAAGCCCTTGCCCCAGTAGCTGCTTACCTGTCAAGCGTAGGTCAGCAATCAGAGCAAAACACAGTGTCAGTGAAGTTAATTCTTTATTCAAGAAACCAAAACGGTGCAGACCTAGTGGTCCTGGTAGGTCTTGGTAGGTCTTGCTCCAACAAGGCAGTTGCAAGGACTGAAGGTCCCCGCCATCTCCCAACACTTCCTAAGGCTCCTCCTCTCCAGGTTCTTTCCAAAGCAATTGGAAACTGCACCTGTGCACACCCCTCCTCTGCTTTGCCCTCTTCATTTCATTGCGTGTTCTAGGAGACCAAAGAGGAGGAGCTGGTCACAGCAGGACTGCTCCCTCTATCTTCCACTTCCACCTCAGAGTCTGAACTGCCCCCTGCCTGTTCCTGCTCACTAAACTCTGTTACCCCTTCAGCTTCTGACACCTCCTTCTCCCAGTCTGCTCCCTTTTCCCTCTGGCCAGCACCATCATCCCACCACCAGTTTCTGGGCTCGCTGTTGGGTGTACCTCAGCTGGTGCCTCCCACCACTCTGCATCCAGCCAATCCATGCATTATCTAAGCTTGGGACATAGCTGCCTCCATCCTAGAAGATGGTATGGTGGATGTGGGAGTAGACAGTGTTTTGGACACCCTGGGCTTCAGGCTCCTTAAGTCAGGCCATCAACTTGATTTGAACCCAGAAGCAGACCATGAGGGTAACTTGTGCTAAGGTGGCCACAGACTTCGTTCATGAGCTGTTGGCCATCTGCATTCTCTTTGTATGGAAGTTCTCAGATATGCCCAGGTCTTGATTTTATGTCTCTTCCTGCCCAATGCAGCTTGCTTGGTTCCATATTCCCAATGCCACGGGTGATCTATGCCATGGCTGAAGATGGACTACTCTTCAGGTTTCTGTACCGGGTCCACAGCCGAACCAAGACTCCCTTAGTGGCCACTGTTGTGTCAGGCATCATTGCTGGTATGGATATCTTAGTGGGTCTTTGTCCTTTCGCCCTCTACACTTCCATCACCATTACCGCTCCTAGTGGTGCAGCAATAAAATTGCTAGCAAATTTGAAAAGCTAAGCAGAGTCTATTATAGTTTCAAGTTGGATGGGGGACTATGTGTTGATATACTTGCAGTGCAGGGGATTGGACTACATGACCCTTGGGGTCCCTTACAACTCTATGATTCTATCCAGTGTGGCGTAATGGTTAGAATGTTGGACTGTGACCTGGAAGAGCAGGGTTAGAATCGCCATCCAGCCATGAAGCTCCCTGGGTGACCTTGAGCCAGTCAACATCTCTTAGCCTAATCTACCTCAAAGGTTTGTTGTGAGGATGAAATGGGGAGGAAGCATGAACCACGTACACCACCTTGAGGTCCTTGGAATATAAAGGTGGTATATAAATGTAGTAAATAAATAAGTAAGCCATCCCATGAGTCATATGGGGCTATTATCTTGCAGGTCTAATGGCATTTCTCTTTGAGCTGAAGGACCTGGTTAACCTCATGTCCATTGGCACTCTGCTGGCGTACTCCTTGGTTGCTGTTTGTGTTCTCATCCTCAGGTGGGTACTTCTTGGAGTGAGCAGCACTCCACACAGAGTTCTCCAAGCCATGTCTAGGCCTGGTGGATGCTCCTTTGCAGAAGGACTGACAGGGAATTGCAGTTTCCTTTTACTTAACTCTGCCTTTGCTGATAGATACCAGCCTGACCTGTTCGCTCCCTCCAAAGACTTGGAAATGCTTGAGATGAATGGAAGTGAAGAAGAGAAGGTGGTGATTAATCTCTCTCTCCGTGATGGCCATGTGGCCCTGAAAGACAAGTTCACCTGGAGGCGCCTTTTCTGCCCTTCCGGAGATGTTCCAACTTCCATCTCAGGGCGCATTGTCTACATCAGCAGCACAGTTGTCTGTAAGTGCTGGCATGTGCAGGGTCTAAACTGTGCATGTTTGCTCACCTGGATGGGCAAAGCCGGAGTGCACCACAGGGGTGATGCTGAGCCCCTGCTGCTTCCCAAGGCAGAGCTCCGGTTTGGCTGTGGAGATGGATGTGAGTGGGTGGGTTAGCTCAAAGCATAAGTGCTGCATGTTCTGACTCTGATATTTCCAGTTAAAACAGGAATGAGGAACCTGTGGCCCACCTATTGTTGGTGGCTAGAGCCATGATTCTCAAAGGGTGTGGTATGCCACACTGATGTGATAGGAGAGGATAGCAAGTGTGGTGGGAAGATTCAAGGACAACCAACATTATATTTTGGGAATGATATATGTTCTTATGTAGCTGAATTGTTTTCTACTTTCTGGATGTCCCATATTATAAAGCAGTTGTGTTCTAAATCAAGTACTACTGGGAGTTGTTTCTTTTTGTTTTCCAATTTATCAATAAAAAATCCAGTGTGGTGCAAGTAAATTTTTATTCTGAAATTGTGGCCCAGAGGAAAAGATTTGCGAACCAGTAGGTTAGAGTTTCGGCAAGGACAAGGGAGAGCAGGGGCCAGATCCCCAGTAATCCGGGACCAGTCGCTGCCTCTCAGCCCTAGGTTGTGGTGAGAGTAAAATGGAGGGGGCACAACTATGTGTGCCACCTTGAGCTCCTTGGAGGAAAGGTGGACTACAAATTGAATGAATGAATGAATGAGCCTTCCATCTTCTCTGGCCCCAACCATGTGAGTTGGGGCTGATGTGAGTTGGTGTCCAGCTTCTAGAGGTCTCTGCCTTGAGGTAAAAGATTCTCAGGTGGAACGATGGGGCAGTTTTCAGCTCTATAAATCTGGCTTTTGGTGGTCTTGTCTTGCAGCTCTGATGATCACCACTCTCTGTGGCATCTTGGCACAACAGTCAGCAGCTCTCATGCAACGCAGTGTTGGCTGGGTCGTTGCCTGTGTGGTTCTCCTGGTTGTTTCACTCGTTGGCACCATCATCATCTGGAGGCAGCCAGAGAGCAAGACACGCCTCACTTTCAAAGTAAGAGTTCTGGCCAAAGGGCTGCCTTTGCTTGTGGGATTTTGGGGCACTTGCATGTGGCAGAGCTGGATTACCTCAAGCTGGCACATCAGCGCTTGCCAAGCAATCTTCTGCCATTGCTGGATCTTTTGGGGGAGAGATAAGCCATCACATCTTTCTCCCATTTCAGAAGTTGTGTGTGTGTGTGTGTGTGTGTGTGTGTGTGTGTGTGTGTGTTTACTTCGTCTTTCCCTCCTGGACATGATTACTTGATGGGTCATTTCTCTCTCCCTCTAAAGTTTGGGAGTATTGTGCCCTCTACACTGCACTTAAGGCTTTAGTTCAGCTTGCTTTACAGGACCCCTCTGGTTCTTGCTGGCCTTTGGCTAGGGTTAGGGGGAAGGTGATAGGGCTCAAGATGTCCCTTCCTTCAGGAAGTGTTATGTTCCTGCCTGCAGGAATAGACTAGGACTTTCTGTTCATTGTCAAATTACTGGAAATGGAAGGGCAGTCCCAGAGATCCATTGGATGATCCTTTGTTTGCTCCCTTCAAACCTTGAACTCTGATGGGGGAAGTGGGGGGGATTCCCAAGTACAGTACATTCGCATCTTACATGCAATTAACTTGTGTGATTTCAACCTTGTGTGGTTGAAGTCCACAAATTAATTTCACACAAGTTGGACAGCTTAAACGCTCCTTTGCACTGGGCTTTCTGATGCAAAAAGAGATTTTAAGCTCCTAGACTTGCTCACCAGGCTCTGGGAGGCTTTAAAGAACTCGTGGGAACTTGGACGGTCCAGGGAGGTCTTGTGAGAGCAGCCCAGAGCTTTAAAAACTCTCTGTCTTGTTTAGAAGATAAGGATGGTCATGCAGGGACAGTTCCAAGGGGAGCAGTTCAGCTGTATGCGTTTCTGCAGATATGTGCCATCCCCAGAACGTAAACCCCATACAAGGCACAATTGTACTGTAGTATAGGGGGAAATGAAGAATTTGCAATCTGCTCTAGGGGAACTGAGTGACATCCCTTCTGCAATAGCATCTGTTATGAGAATCCTCTTCTTCCAATTGTGTAAAAAGCAATTATTTCCCCAACCTACCCCAGCAACTGCAACTATCCCTACGGATAACTGCTGCTTGTTGTAGGTACCTGTTGACCTGTATCTATGATATCACTCATGACTTAGCATCACAACCTGCCCCCTCTATGCCAATGAAATTTTGCAAGCAACATTCTTCTACTTCCCCACAGCTCCCATCAATGCAATCTACTTGGATGCAGTCTTCCAGTTGAGTGCTCAGCCACTGTTAATTTAAAAGCAGCGCCAGCCTCCTGCTTCATTCTGTAAAAGAGCAAGACAACAGTCTCCTTCTGCACAGCCTCACTATTTCAGGAACATGATGGAACTGATGGGAGGAAAGGATTTTCAGGAGAGGATCTTTGGAAAATATTGAGAAAGCCATTCTTTCCCCATGCTTCCTCTCTCCTCCCCTTAAATACCATTACTTGGAGACTGGAAATTTGTACTGGAGGCACAATATAGGGGTTGGTCTAAGACTGTGCTTCACCAGCCCCTGCTTTTAGGCTCCCCACCCCACTGCCTGGAAAGTCCCGATTGAAGACCAGGCTAAGCTTTAATCCTAATGGAAATTGTGGGTGGTAGCTAGTTTTTCCCAAAAGGCAAGGTGTTTTGCATCCTCTTGCATTGGGCCTGTTTGTCTTTTACAGGTCCCTGGCCTGCCACTGCTCCCCCTCTTCAGTATCTTGGTGAATATCTATCTCATGATGAAGCTGGATGCAGGTACCTGGGCCCGTTTTGCTGTCTGGATGGCAATAGGTAAGGAGCCACCCTGTCTGTGAAAGCTACCATAACAGGAAACAGTCCCAATCTCACTTGGTGGTTCATTTCTTGGTTGCTAGGGAAGCCTGGCTGTGGATGCTTTGTGACCATTGGACTCCATTTCTCTTCTAGGCTTTGCCATCTATTTTGGATATGGGATCCGCCACAGTGTACAAGGACAAGTCACTCCACAGTCTCAGATAGTGGCAAGCAAACCTCTCCAGCGGGCACCCTCCGATCTGAGCCAAGATAGAGATATCTGAGAAGAGGATGTGGTTCTTTCCTTGTCCCCACCTCCTACCCACCACAGGTCCCCTTGAGCTCTACCTGCCTCCTGTGCCACCCCAGGACAAGCAGATGACAAGCTCTTGGGCAAATGGTTTCTCCAGCATGCTGTAGTATATCCAAGTCAATCGTGTCATCCTGTAGAGCAGGAGGGGAGAGGAAGCACCAGCAGGAAGTGGGGCAGACTCAAGGGAGAGCTGATTCTTCTGCTCTTGGGGGGAAGACAACCCCCGAGCAAAGAAGCTGCCCCTCCCTTCATGTCTGTGTTTATTCTCTTTGGGCCGTGTTGGCAAGAGGTTGTCTTTCTCACATGTAGATGTTTGTGAAAGTGTCAGCTTGTCTGCAGTCCAAAAACATGTCTCTAGACCCTGAAGCTATAAGTATTTGTTGCTGTCCTGTTCATTGTTTGTATAACGTCAAAACATTGATGTTTTGTACGATTAAAACTCCAAAGGACCATTTTTAAAAAAATAAAAATGTGGGTTTTTTTGTTATGTTGGTCATACTTCATGTCAATTTACTTTCTTATTAAGCTCTCTTTCAACACACCTAAAAGCTAAAATACATGGCTCCATAAAACACACAATTATTCTGGGGCTTCTGGCAATCTGGTCTGGGGCCATTCAGTAGTCCAATGTGATGGTGCGGCAGAAGCACTTGAATAGATTTTGTTCCACTGCAGAGGAACATCTTTCCTTTTGCCAACTGCTTTACCCAGGCTTACTTCTTAGCCAGAGGCCACACTGGTAAAGCAAACTTGGTGTTGCTTTACAAGCAGAATAAACCACCCTCCCTTCCACTAGCACAAGTCAAACATTCTGAGGCACGAGGCAAGGGCCTGTTTCTTGATACTGTAGCACTTTTAAATGATGGTGCATTGCATGGGATTACAAATAACAAGGCATAATTGAAATCTTTTTCTGCAATGGCCCTGCTCTTCACTCAGCACTTTCACATTTTTGCAACCCGTATGCATTTACTATTTTATTGGGGGCGCTGGAATAATTCTACTTGTCATAAGGATGGGAAACATTTCATAAGGTGCACTGAAGTTCACCTTATGAAGCCTGATTCCTAATCTCTCTCACTTTGCACTGTCAAACACTTTCAAGCTTGTTTTGTGGGGTAGCAGCTCCCCCTCCCCCCTCCAGCTATTCCAATGATTCAAAGGCTGAATCGAGTGCAAAGATCAGGACGCAAGTGCTCTGATTCAGGATGAGCCTGAAGGGAAGACTGGTGCAGGTCTGTGGCGTAGCTCAGCCTGTATTCATGTACCTTCGTCTCCGTCAGCTGGACCAAGGTAGACTCTTTCGTTTTGTGGGCAAGTATATTGTTTTTCACGATGTAGGAGTGCAAATATCCAGAGTGTGGGGATCAGATGGGATTACTATGAGGAATTATAAAATATGCATCAAGCCATTGTGTCCGCTATGAAAGCATGGCGTTGACTGGGTTCGATTCATTGACAATAATTTCTGATCAAATCCCACAAGCCTCTGCATTTCTGGCCATTTTCTCTACTGTTCATTTTCTACGCCTGACAGGCACGTATCAGCATTCTAAATACACAGGCCAGTTGCTTCATCAGGCATCCTGAGCCATAAAAGATCGTAGGTAATAATAATAATAATAATAATAATAATAATAATAATAATAATTTATTTATACCCCGCCCTCCCCAGCCAAGACCGGGCTCAGCACGGCTGACAACCAATAATAAAAACAAGTTGATTAAAACACAATTTAAAAGATTAAGATACAACATTAAAACAATTAGGGAGCAATCTCTTCATAGGAGGAGAAAGGAAAAAGAAAGAGGGGGAGGGAATCAAACTGATTCTGAGCCAAAGGCCAGGTGGAACAACTCTGTCTTACAGGCCCTGCAGAAAGAAATCAGATCCTGCAGGGCCCTGGTCTCATGAGGCAGAGTGTTCCACCAGGCCGGAGCCAGTGTTGAGAAGGCTGTGGCTCTGGTTGAGGCTAATCTAACTTCCTTAGGGCCGGGGACCACTAGGGTGTTGCTATTTATGGACCTTGAGGCTCTCCGTGGGGCATACCGGGAGAGGCGGTCCTGTAAATACAAGGGTCCTAGGCTGTGAAGAGCTTTAAAATTCAAAAGCAGCACCTTAAATCTGACCCTGTACTCCACTGGGAGCCAGTGTAGCTGGAATAGCACTGGGTGAATATGCTCCCATGGCAGAGACCCCGTGAGGAGCCTCGCTGCAGCATTTTGCACCCGCTGGAGTTTCTGGGACAGCTTCAAGGGCAGCCCCGCGTAGAGCGAATTACAGTAGTCAAGCCTGGAGGTGACCATCGCATGGATCACTGTGGCCAGGTCGGGGTGGGAAAGGTAAGGGACCAACTGCTTGATGCGGCGAAGATGGAAAAATGTCGCCTTGGCTGTTGTAACCTGCACCTCTGTGGAAAGGGAGGCGTCAAGGATTACACCCAAACTCTTAACAGAAGGCAATGGCACTAATTGGGCCCCCGCAAGAGAAGGGAGTTGGTCCCTCATCCCCATACCATCTCGACCCAGCCAGAGGACCTCTGTCTTTGAAGGATTTAGTTTCAATCAGCTCCCACGAAACCATCCAGCCACAGCTTCCAAACATCTGGTCAGTGTGTCAGGGATCGAGTCGGTATGGCCATCCATCAGCAGATAGAGCTGAGTGTCACCAGCATATTGGTGACAACCCAGCCCAAAGCTCCGGATAATCTGGGCAAGGGGGCGCATAAAGATGTTAAAAAGCATTGGGGAGAGGATTGCGCCCTGTGGCACTCCACACACCAAGGAGTGGCGCGACGACAACTCCCTCCCTAGTGCCTCCCTCTGTCCCCGACCAGAGATAAAAGAGCACAGCCATTTATGGGCTATGCCCTGTATCCCCACATCGGCAAGGCGGTGGTCCAAAAGATCATGATCAACCATGTCAAAGGCTGCTGACAAATCTAAGGGAATCAGCAGTCCCGACCCGCCTCAATCCAGTTGTCTGCAGAGATCATCTGTTAGGGTGATCAGAGCCGTCTCGGCCCCAAAACCAGGACGGAATCTGGACTGAAATGGATCTAAAGCCGATGTTTCCTCCAGAAACCTACCAAGCTGTTCAGCAACTGCTCTCTCAATTACCTTACCCAGATATGGGAGATTTGAAACTGGGCGGTAATTGGATAGATCTAAAGGATCTAGTGAAGTGTTCTTTAAGAGCAGACACACCATTGCTTCCTTCAGCTCCCCTGGGAATATCCCTGTGTCGAGGGACAAATTGATAATTTCAACCAGGAGGGTCCGCGCGACATGTTCAAATATATAAAATATATTCATGTTCCAATATGTTCAAATATATAAAAAGATGTCACATAGAGGAGGGAGAAAGGTTGTTTTCTGCTGCTCCAGAGAAGCGGACACGGAGCAATGGATCCAAACTACAAGAAAGAAGATTCCACCTAAACATTAGGAAGAACTTCCTGACAGTAAGAGCTGTTCAACAGTGGAATTTGCTGCCAAGGAGTGTGGTGGAGTCTCCTTCTTTGGAGGTCTTTAAGCAGAGGCTTGACAACCATATGTCAGGAGTGCTCTGATGGTGTTTCCTGCTTGGCAGGCGGTTGGACTCGATGGCCCTTGTGGTCTCTTCCAACTCTATGATTCTATGACATCTGGACACGCCCTAATCAGCCAAGACGGGCACGGATCGAGGAGGCAGGTGGTGGGCCTACCAGCTTGGAGGAGTCTATCCACATCAGCAGGGAGTATCCGATTGAAATGTTCTAACACTGGACCCGAGGACAATCGAGGGGCCTCCAGTTCTGTCACTGTATCTAAATTGGCAGGAAGGTCATGGCAGAGCAACAGGACTTTCTCTGCAAAAAAGCTTGCAAATGCCTCACAGCTGTGGGTCGAATTTGTGCTTAAATTTGGTTGTCCTCCTAAGGACGTTATTGACCTAATTATTCTAAAAAGTTGTGCTGGGCGAGAGCTAGTGGATGCAATGGAAGCTGCGAAGTGAGATTTCTTAGCAGCTTTCATAGCCATCTCATAGGCTTTCATAAGTGTCCTATAAGATGTTCTTGAAGCTCCGTCACGAATCCGTCGTCATACTTGCTCTAGCCGTCTGAGATCCCGCTTCATTTTCCGGAGCTCCTCGGTAAACCAAGGGGCCCGGTTTCAACGGGGTCGCAGAGGGCGCTTAGGCGCAATCTCATCAATGGCTGCCAAGAGCCGGTTATTCCAGTCCTCGACAAGGTCATCTAATGAGTCGCCAGGAGGAGCAGGGTCCCTCAAGGCCAGACGGAATCTATCAGGATCCATCAGTCTTCGCGGGCGAGCCCAAATAGGCTCGCCACCTGAGCAGGGGAGGAGCGGGAAGTCGATCTTGGCTTTCAGAGCGTAGTGATCAGACCATGGCACTTCCACAGGGGGGAGCATGATCACATCTATGCCAGCACCAAAGATCAAATGCAGCGTGTGGCCTGCTTGATGTGTCGGGCCCATAACAAACTGGGAGAGCCCCAGTGTTGCCATGGAAGTCACTAGGTCCAGAGCCTGTGAGGAGGGGGCGGCATCGGCATGGACGCTGAAGTCTCCCAAAACCAATAGGTTTGGGAACTCCAAGGCCCAGCCTGCCGCCACCTCCAGCAGGTCTGACAGGGTGGCTGCCGGTGCGCTAGGTGGTCGGTACACCAGCCAGACAGCCAAGTTCTCCTTGGTGCCCCACACGAGACCAACACATTCAATGCCGGAGATTGCTGGTGGTGGCAGAGCCCTGAAAAAGCAATCCTCCCGGATTAACAACGCTACTCCTCCCCCCAACCCACAGTCCGTGATTGATGGAGGACAGAGAAACCTGGAGGTGTTATCTCATGTAGGGAGACTACTTCGCCTTCCCGTACCCAGGTCTCTGTCACGCAAGCCAGGTCAATCCCCTGCAACACAAAAAAGTCACGCATGGTGGCGGTTTTATTGCCTATGGACCTGGCATTGCACAACACCAATGACGGAGGTGGGTAATCCCTGCTCGCCCTACCCTTGTCCCTTGGAACGGGGCATAGATTGGAAGGGGTTCGAGCATCACTGCATCTCAAAACCCTTCGCCGATAGTGATATTTAGCCCCACCGCCATTCTTCCCTAGCCCTTCAATAGTGAGAATCCCAGACCCCATACTAGCCTCCCCAATAGAGGGGTAAGATCTCCTCACTAACAAGTCATCTCTGGGCCAGGACTCTTGGGTCAGAATGGTATGGGGAAGAGGTGAAAGTTTGATAGGGTAATTATCCCTAGAAGATAAAACCCAACCAACTGCACCCTGTTCCCATAGAGTCGAATGCATCTCTGCGATGTTACATTATCGATGCACACTTTAATATAGGAGAGTATGGCATCTGTATATCTATGCAGATCTTGATGTTCAAACACACTCCAATCGTGCTCTCAAAACAATCCTGGAGCTGACTAAGAGCACCCTCTGGCCAAATTCTAACTGTTTTTATAACTGACTGAATTCTTCTCCTGAGAGGGATGTACTTTGGACATAGAAAAACTGAAGAATGGTCGGATGAGCCTAAGTGGGGGAAGGGGATTGCCCTGTATGCCTGTTTCAAATTGGAATACGCAAGATCTAGAATATTCTGTCCTCTAGTGGGAAATTTCACAAACTGATCAAACTTAGGAAAAACCATCTTTAGGCAGGCTTGATTGAAGTCCCCTGCCACAACAAGGGCGCCCTCTGGGTGGATTTGCTGCTGCTCGGAGATGACGTCATATAGTTTAGAAAGTGCCACACTGACAATAGCATCAGGTGGAATATAAACAGCTATAATGATTATGACAGTTAGTTCTCTAGGCAGATAAAATGGCCGACATGTAACTGCCATCAATTCTAGATCTGTGGAGCAATACATGTAAGCTACTTTGCTGTTAACGCACCAACCATTGTATATGTAAATACAGACTCCTCCACCCCTAAGCTTTACCAGAATCACTGTTTCTATCAGATCGATAAATTATTTGATTTATCAGCTCAACTACAGCATGCGGTACTGCCGAATGTAGCCAAAGGTAGCTTCTTTGATGTAGTTTGTTAATTTTTAGATAGATTTTAAGGGCCAGGAAGAGTGTTCACAAAGAGATGGTAAATGCTACCCATCCTTCCTTCCTTTATTGCTGTTTATGACCTCCGGGTTTGCTGAATGCATTCTTCCTTTTTAGTTCTGTTTTATTTACCCCAGAAGTATGCATGCTTAAATTAGTTTTGTAGTGTAACTTTGTCCCTACATGGGTTTTTTTGAAATGCTCAGAGGAAATCTGATTGGTTCTTACGAACACTGGGTAAAAAGTTCTTTTGTGAATAAAACGACCTGGGCCGGAGGGTGGACAGGAATTTTTATTATACTCACTCTTCCCAGAGTCTTGCTGGTTCAAGCCTCTGAGTGTATTTTATTATCAGAGTCCAATCCTTCCTTTACTTTGGGAATTCCTCAAGTGGTGCCACGTGTGAGGCAAAGCTAAAAGAAAACCTCAGTGTGTGAGGCAAACCTAAAAGGGAACCGTGTGAGGCTTGTTAAAAAAACCTCAGCATGTGAGGCAAAGCTAAAAGAAAACCTCAGCGTTTGCGGCACAGCAAAAGGAAACCTCTGCAAAAGGAAGCCCCCAGGATTGGACTCTCCTCGGAGCTAGTAACCTGATATCCCTCGGTCGCGGTGGATCATCTCCTGCAAAATGATTCCCGAACTTAGGATCTAATTCGCTCAGAATGAGCCCCAAAAACACGCGTCCGGTGAGATCATGGGAAGCAAGCTTTCACATGTGCAAGAAAAGCATAGGAATAATTTGTTATTTTTGCTAGCTCAGGCAGGGCATGATAAGCATTTAGCATCCCTAGTAGAAAAAATTGTTGTTAGAGATTGCTAGACTGTGCCTCTGGTTTCCAGAGGAGGGTACTTATGACATTTAAGAAACGGAATGAGCTGGGAGATGCACTCCATAGACATTCTGAGGCATCTGTACAAGTCTTGCACACCTGGCATTTGTGTAGAGATGCAGTTGGAAAGCTCTCTAATCCTTTGCTCCAACCACCAGCTCTCTCTGTGAATGCTCCCACATTGTTGCAACCCATAGCTGCCTTTAAAAATACCATAATATTGTTTCCCCCCCTCAGCCTCTAGATTTCCAGCCTCTCTCCTCTGAGGTTATGTCAAAGGTAATTCCATTGGCACATTCCTTTGCCAAAAAATTGCCTGGGTTGAGTGTAAATTCCATGTCACCTACTTATTTAGTGGGCAATCCTTCGCAAGGCGCTCAGACCACAGTGCAAACATTGATTATTCTAAATATGGCAGAAGGAAGCAGTGAAGAAAAAATAGCTGATACCTTACCATTATTAGCAGTCTGTCCTGTTGTTCAGAATGCACAGGAACAGAGAGCCCATGAATCATTGCCCTTCGCAGTTTTTAAAGAACTGAAGCGAAGTGTGACAGAAAATGGCTTGCATTGCATTCGTGATGGGCTAAGAGGAGCCAGTACTTTAATTCCAAACCTTGAAGCCTCTGAAGTTTTAATGAAACAATTGGCTTATGAAAATGCTGGTTGCAAGACTGCTCTTAAAGATTTTAAGATTGAGAAAGGAACACGACAAGGTTGCCCAATCTCTCCATTGCTTTTTATATCGGTCTTGGAGGTTTTGTTAAATATGATTAGAAGGGACCAATTGGTAAAAGGTATACAAGTGGGAGCGAAACAGTACAAATTGAAAGCATTTGCAGATGATTTAGTATTGACTTTACAGGAGCCAGAATCTAGCACTAAAAGAGTATTAGAATTAATCCAAGAATTTGGTCAGGTGGCAGGTTTTAAGTTGAATAAGATGAAAACTAAGGTATTAGAAAAGAACTTAACAGAGATTGAGAGAGAGAAGTTTCAGAAGGAGACAGGACTGACACTGGTCAAGAAAGTGAAATATTTAGGGGTTAATATGACTGCTAAGAATGTGAATTTATGGACAGTTATGGACTACAGGTATGAAGTTTACGGCATGTAATGCCTTAAGAGAGAATATTATGAAAATGATATACAGGTGGTACATGACCCCAGTCAAGCTTGCAAAAATTTATCATTTGCCCGATAACAAATGTTGGAAATGTAAAGAAACTGAAGGTACATTCTTTCACCTTTGGTGGATGTGCCCAAGGATTAAGGCTTTCTGGGAAATGATATATAATGAACTGAAAAAGGTATTTAAATATACCTTCTTGAAGAAACCAGAGGCCTTTCTCCTGGGCATAGTCGGCCAATTGGTGCCAAAGAAGGATAGAACTTTTTTTGTGTATGCCACAGCAGCAGCAAGAATACTCATTGCAAAGTAGTGGAAGACACAAGATTTACCCACTTTGGAAGAATGGCAGATGAAGCTGATGGACTATATGGAACTGGCAGAAATGACTGGCAGAATCCAAGACCAGGGAGAAGAGTCGGTGGAAGAAGATTGGAAGAAATTCAAAGACTACCTACAGAAATATTGTAAAATTAAAGAATGTTAGAATGATGTTGGATAGAAATTAAGTGGTTTCCAGCTGTAATGCTTTAAGGGAATATGAAAAATGGGTTGTTAATAGGTAAAAATCTAACGTTATTATTTTAAGACCAAAGATTAGGATAAATAAAGAGGGTAAGGATTTGCTGAACCAACAAATTGAACTGGAATACAAAAAAGGGAGGTATGAGGAGGTCCGGGAAACAAGCTAAGGAAAAATAAGTAAGGGAAAAACTGAGTGGTTTTTAATCATTTTTATTTTGTATTTTCTTTTTCATTTTTATATTGTAACTTTGTATCTTCTTTTTCTTTTTCATTTTTATATTGTAATTTTCTGAAAATCTTAATAAATATCTTATTTAAAAAAAATGTGAATTTATTTAAGGATAATTATGAAAAATGTTGGACTGAAGTGAAAAAAGATATAGAAATATGGTCAAATTTGAAGTTATCGTTGTTAGGCCGAATTGCTGTGATAAAAATGAATGTATTGCCAAGAATGCTGTTTTTGTTTCAAACACTGCAAATTTTGGACAAAATGGACTGTTTCAAGAAGTGGCAGAGAGATATCTCCAGATTTGTCTGGCAGGGCAAGAAGCCTCGTATAAAATTTAAGATACTAACTGATGCTAAAGAAAGAGGTGGATTTGCCCTGCCAGACTTAAAACTTTATTATGAATCAGCCGCTTTTTGTTGGCTGAGAGAATGGATGCTTCTTGAAAACACGGATGTTTTGGATTTGGAAGGTTTCAATAATGTATTTGGTTGGCATGCATATTTGTGGTATGATAAGGTTAAAGCACACAAAGCGTTCAAAACCATATTGTAAGAAAAGCACTGTTTAATGTCTGGATAAGATATAAGGATTTGTTAGAAGATAAAACCCCAAGATGGTTGTCACCAATGGAAGCAAAGGCTCAGAAAAACTCAATATGGAGGCCAAATGGTCGAAGTATTGGGAAATTTTGGAACAAGAGGG